CTGTTGTATTATGGGTCTATTCTGGCTGCATGCCTACAGTATAATCACAATCTTTGATTAAAGTTTTCAGTTCTGTAACTAATTGTTCAAACGGTTCGTTTTCCTGTTGTGCTCTTGATTTAAAAAGATATCTGTTGTATATAATGTTACTTTTCGGTTTGCAGTATTCTTCAAATTTGTCATAATATGACTTAAGTTTCTTTCTCTGATCCCCATGTTGAGTATATCTGTTGGCCCTTTTCACTGACCCATAACATCAAAAAGTTACATTGAATTTCTTCCGTTTCAATTGCCAACGGCCTTTTAAACATGAATTCTGAATATTCTTTAAATCTTTTAAACGCACTGTTTAAGATCTTCGAATCCCAGTCCATACAAGGATTTTGTTGATGATTTTTCTTCCATATTCTTATAACTCTGTTATAAACAAACAATTATTAAGCGTTTTACTGCATAAACTTCTGACACCATGTTGTATTATGGGTCTATTTATTAATAAGTACACAGAGTGGGACTTGTAATATATAACACAGACATGTATTGCTAGTTCTATCGTTTAATGACTACTGAATATTTCATTAAGTATATAAGTGACGGGAAGATAATGGTCATGTGCGTTACAGTATATAAATAACACATGGGTTTGTGGGTAACAGTTAAAATATCACTCAAGGAAAATACTGGGTAACGCCTCGGGTAACATTATTTTTATTAGGGATGATGTTTTTACTCTTGCCCACAAACCAATGTGTTATTTATTTTATTATCTTGAACAAATACTGTGATGATCTGATATTGTCAACTAAATCTAACTGTAACAAAATTAAACCAAGAGTAACAATAACTAAACTGTCCTTACCTTGCATGAGGCCCACAGGGAAGACTGGGCTTGCCCAACTGTGTTGCCTCATTAAATAAAGTCATTACTTACTTACTTACTTACTTACTAAGTATATTGTACTGTAGGCCTACTTGAGACATTATTTTTCTTTTATTCTTTAAGCAAGTGATGATATCTACCAGTCATAAGCATACAATAAGCTGTGTTTTATTTAGAAAACAAAACACAAACCCATATATCATAACAGTTATGATCTGTGAAATCTGATTCTTCTGTGTCCAGAATATTCCCCTTTGCTGGACACGTTTTGCCCTCTTGGTGTGTTGTCCCGCATCTGGAACAGGTCACTTTCTCGTCACTGTCTTGTGGCTTTTCCCACCTTCGGACTAATCGTTTTCTAGGCCTCGCCACGTGGTGAACATCCTTGTCCGCCAAACATGCCATGGAACTCAATTGCTTTTTTGAATACTCCATATTTTGAGAAATTTGCACTGCATTGTCTAAGGTCAATTCTGCACCCTCATTTATAAGCTTTTCTTGAACTTTGGAAGAATTTGTTCTGAATACTTTGCGATCCCTTATCAATTAATCTGTTTTTTCAAAACTTCAGTCTCGTGCACAGATTTTTAATCTTGTCAAAAAAAAGAATCAATGGTTTCTTCTTTCTGAGTCTGATTGTAGAACTTATATCTGACAAATTTTGGGTTTAAGCTGTGATTGTACATATTTTCTGAATTTTTTGTAGTATGTGTCAATCTTTTTTGCCTCTTCGTTGGAGATATCTTTCCATGTGCAGTGGATATCCCGCCCTTTATTGCCTATCCATAACAGAAAGTAGGAAACGATTTCTTTTTTAACGGTCCTGTAAAGATCAAAGCTTTGCATGATGTTCAAATTTATAATATGCTTGTAATATATAATAATTATTATATATTATAATTTGTAAATTCCCAGTCCATTTGGGGCACTGATAATCCAGATAATTCCATTTTTCAAACTTTATTTGAATTGTGTAACATAATTTTTTTTAGATAAAATATTCCAATTTTCTTTTTGTAAGTCCAAGTTATTTATAAAACGTTTTTATTCTGACACCATGTTGTATTGTTAGTTTATTAATGAACAATAATTAATAGATATTAAATCAAGTGCGTTGATACAATGAAGTAAAATAACAACACGATTAGTGTTCAGCACAAGATATAAATTTAATCTGCCTAAAGTCTTAACATGTGATCTTAGATATTCACTAGAAACACTGACCATGCACAAACAAGAACTAAACATAGGGTCAGTTCAAGTTTGTCATGTATGATAATACTACATTTGTTTGACACAAAAAATGATGCTTTTATGCATGAAAGGAAGTTTTCTTATTTTGTTATTGCTATGAAACAAACTAAAACAACAATTGCAAATAAAAAGAGAACTTTATATGACAAATTTACCACCAGTTAGCACTAATAAGCATTTTCAGAGATAATTATGGTAAAAGTTGAACAAAATTACAAAGAGATATATATGTGCATACAATGTCATATAAGAATCTATATTAAACATTAAAAGTGATATTACGGTCATTTTTACATTGTCGAGTTCAGTTGAATTGACTATAAACTTCCAAGGATTGACTGTTATAATCGTGACTGATTAAAAGTTCGTAGTGGAAAAAATTCTTTAATTTTTCTTGAAAATATGTCTTGTGAACTGCGAATTCCAATAGGTAATCACAAGTACGGTATCATCCAAATGGGCTATTGAAGGCAGTCAGATATGATGATTCGTGTGTCAGTTTAATGGACCAGTAACCTTTAGTGGCATCAAGCACACTAAAATATTTTTTGTCCTTCTTCCTCAATTGTACTCATTGGGTAATACGTATTTGAATACTGTCATCGAGTGCTTTTAGATCTAAGCATACTTTACTATTTTTCCTGTCACGGGTTTTTCTACATGTACTAGAGAATTTACCCATTCAGTTGGTTCTGTATCTTTTGTAATAATGCCTTTTCCCAGAATAGATTGTAATTCTTTAGTAGTGCTCAGGAACTCGTCTCAGTGGACATACTACAGGCACTGCAGTTTCTTTTAAATGCAAGGAACGTGTCCCTGAAAACAGGTCAATGCCTATAAACAGGTCATTATATTCGGAAAAGTATCGTTTGTTTTGATAATTTGATACCCTATTAAATTTTATCAACAGAAAATGTTAACTTAGTAAGCTCAAGGTCAATTGATGTCTGTAAACTTAGCAGATCATGGGATTTTCTGTCTACTACATAGAAGGTACTTTTCACATATTTCCCTTTATAACTGCATGTTAAACATAACACTCCCTATCACCTGGTAATTGGCTCCAGTATAGGATAACAGGTGAGTATCTGGGGGTAACAAGGGTGTTTTAAGCTGCAAAAGTGAATATTGAGATAATGGCAGTATGTTGGCTTGTGATCCAGTATCCACTTTGAAATTGATAGGCAGTGCATTGGGGCCTAGATTTAATAAAACAAAAGCGCAGTTTGGTAGAGAAGAATGAAACTTATTTACCGTGTGAAGGAATTAATCCATATCTTCACTATCATTTTCACTGTGAATGTCATTTTGCTTAACATTTTGTTTTTGTATTACATGTACACTGTTTGATCTACACACAGATTTAAAATGATTGAGTTCCCGCAATTGTTACATTTTGATTGAGTTTCCTGCAAATGTAATGTTTTTTTCTCTTTTGCTGGGCAGTTTTGATATTTGGTATGAATTGCTCCGGATCTAAAACACTTGATTTGTTTTTCTTTCTTACGTCTGTCTTCTTGTCTCAGTTTGTTCTGAATGTGGTGGACATCTTCCGTATCGTTGTGCCCCATGATCATCATTTGATGTTTAGCATATTCCATGCTTTGAGCTATTTGTATTGCATTATCCATAGTAAAAGTGGCTCCGTCGTTTATAAGTCTTTCTGTTAATTTGCCGGATTTGCAACCGAACTTTAGGCGGTCAAGAATCATATATTGGTTGTTGATTGTCTTTATATGTATATAGTAAAAACTTCAAAAAGTATTCTTTTAAAACACCCAAAGAGTTTAGACATATTTAGCATGAAACATCTTCTAGTGAGTGTCCCCTGTCCCAGGGGGTCATAATATGTACACATCTTTTGGAATTGTAATGATTTCCCTTAGCAATAGCAACCTGTAATGTTTTTTTACACATGCACTATTTCAGATACTTATGAACTTTGTGATAACAGTTTAATATTTAGATTTTATATCTGCTTTTGTTTATAGTATACAATCTAACTTGTTCCTTGTCATTGAGTTTTTTATATTCAGGTGAGCGATTCCAGGGCCATCATGGCCCCCTTGTTTACCGTTTTTTTCTTTGTGTATTTGTCAGTCTTTCTAAGTTTAAGACAGATTCTAACCATCTAGAAAAAAATCTGTCTGACATGAAAGCCATGTCAGTTTAAATTTATCATCTGTTTTTGCAATAAAAAAGTTTTGTTATGCTTATTTATATATAGGTTTAATTTAGACACTAAAATGAACATTTTCTATACCTATTTTTACCATTATGTTTGTTTCATTTAGTGCTTAAGATATTAACACCAAGCCAAGATGAAGTATTTTTTATTTATGATTCCAATATTCATGTTGTTTTTGTTTTTGCAGGTCAAGCAATGTTTGTATATCATCATTTTTTTGTTTGTAAATATACCAATTTTTATTATCAAATTGTTTCATTTGTTTATAGACATTGGTTTGAATAGAAAATACAGATTATTGAAATAAAACCCATTTTTGTCTTCCTTATTTTCGATTTCATCTCATTGGATGATAAACAATGTATCTAGATCTATAGTGATGATGGTAATAAAGCTTTAAAGTCATAGACAGACTAACGGAAGTTATGCTCTGGTGCTCTGGACAAAAACACCATGGACATGCTGATTCAAGTATATCCTCTTTACAACTTTGTTGAGTGCGGGTTATAGCTATAGTAAGCGGTAATTTCAATGAAAGATTAGTTCCATATATCCCTGATGGTAATGGTCTTGATATACATTAACGTTTGTAGTCTGTTTTAATTCAGCCAACTTGAGTACTGTCTAAAGCTAATTTAAAACAATAAAATACAATTAATGATATACAATAAACACTGGTTATTAATTTTAAAAATTTAATGTAAAAAAGAAAGAAATATGATATTACATATATCACAAAGCATTAGTAAAATTACACTACCTTTTCCAACAACCAAAACAAGTCTTGTAAAATGGTTCTTTTGCAAACTACTTGTATATTTACATACAACATTAGTTCTATACTGACATCTTAATCTAACGTATTATAGTTATATGCTAGGAATTAAGCATTAGAGAGATTTGAAAATAAGATTGATTACCCGAGTCATACTCTATTTATTAATACATATTTATACTGATACAGAAGTATCTGCTAACAAGTAGTATTAGTAAATCATGGTTTTGAAAACTACTGAAATCTAGTTTCTGTGACCAAAAAGGAAATGAAACCTGTTAAAAAATGCAAAACAAGATCAACAAGGAAGGGCGGCATTAAATGAACACCTTTTTATTCCACTTTCTGAAATATTTTTCAATTCCCTTATTGACAATAGTAAATAGTACTTTTCCCACCAAATCTATGTAAACATCAAATATTATTGTTATTGATGAAATGTTAAAACATATATTTTATCTCGTTTTCACTTTTGAGGTCTGAAAACAATCTTACACCAATGGTTTAACATTAATTAATATTCAACTGCTGAAAAAAAATTTATGATTGAATTCCCCTTTGGAGCCCTATTCCTAATGCACAAGCTAAATTAAAGTATTGAGTTTTAAAAAACATGGCACAGCTCAATTAAAGTTAATATTGTGGATGTTCTGTTGAAGATAAACCCCCATTTTTGATGGAAACAAAATATTGTTATATTATATTAAGTAATTAGTAAAATTTGTTATTTTAAAACATAAGCTGGAATCTTGGATATGTCCAAAATATTTTTCACTTTAACACCCTGTATTATTAATCAATATGTATTGTCTTGTAAATTGCAACAAAAATTGTCATACAGACATTCAGTATCATACAGGAAAACAAATCATAAATACATGTACAAATAAACAAAAAATAACACAATAAATATTCAAACCAATAGAAAAAGTATAATATATATCGCCAGCACTTATAATGAATAAAATATAATGAAACAACATGTCATAAAAGGCAATTATACACAAGTAAGGGCTATGCCATATACAATATTTACACAAACATATTTCATATGTGTATACACAACACATGTAAACATCTAATGAACATCCTACATAATTAGCACTATAAAACACATTTTAGAGTTATAAACAACAGTCAACAGCAATTATCACAAAATGTACAAAAAAGCGAAAAGTTTAACAGTAAATTATGTTCCCTAAGAGAAAAATAAATCAGTTTTATTCATCTTATGCACTGAAAAAGCATGTTTGAATATTTAGTATCTTACAGTTACTTGCTTACTTTAGACATATAACAGCTAATTTGCTTTAGCCTTATATATGAAAAATAATCAGTTTGTATGTTTTAGTAATTTAACGTTGGATGTCATGTGGGTTTTTTTTTATATATTTTATATATTAGTTTGAGTAATCTAACCTTGAAAAACTTCATATGCCTTAAATCAGTTCACAAATCTAAATTATTTAACATTGAATCAGTCCCATTTGTTCAAGTCACAGCCAATATACTTTTGTCTTAATCTTGAATCAGCCAATATACTCCAGAATTAACCTTGAATCAGCCAATATACTCCAGAATTAACCTTGAATCAGCCGGTAAACTCCAGAATTAACCTTGAATCAGCTCTTCATCACTATCATCAATGTCATCACTCTCCACCTCACCATCTATAGATGACTTTGACTTCTTACAGATAGCAACCAGGAAACCAATCAAGATAAACTGAAAAATAAATAACAAATGTCAATTTAACGAGAAGTACTCGTAAGATATATGTCCCCATTCCTAAATCTTTATCTTTACAGTACCTACCACCCTATTCAACATTAACCAACCACCATAATTTCTACATAGTTTACTTGATTCAACAATGGAGAAAATTTTTTATCAACTAAATCAAGCAAGGAATGAACTCTTTCCCACGATATACTATATATGTTAGGTCCATACACAAACATGTGCGAGCGCATGTTTTCCAGTTGAAAGGATGTAATCCTGTTTATCTTGAAATACTTACAATTTAAAGATTTAAATTACAATATACAATTAACTGACCAAGAGAAAGGCCCAGGTACACCAGTAATAAGCTGCTCCAAAGAACCACATCTTGTAGAAAAATCTTGTTAGTAATAGTGACATCCTGGTGATTATACACTCTTCTGCAAGGATAGAATAAATTTTAGGCATATCATCATATAATAACAATACATGTACATGTATTGTTAAGACATACATAACAAAATATAAATAGCAAACTAAAACTTGATACTTATTGACACAGATTTCGTAATAATAAAGAACTAAAGTATTTTAAATGATAACGGTGAATAAAAGAGATAAAGTAAAACAAAATGATCTAAACAGAAAGGACATATGAAATTCCACTTGATTTATACAAGTTATAAGTATCCAAACATCATAATGAGAAATGTTGTAACTCTTATTACCGGCATTATTTTAAATAAAAGATGTACAAATGTACGTCTCAATTTCAAAATTAGTGAAACATATGATGGCAAAATTCATAAATGAATTAATACTTTATTACATTTGAAAATCCAAAATTTAATGTATTGATTAACACTAATTTCAAACAAAATCTATGCATGAATTCAGTACATACCCTCTCCTTGGTTTGTACTGCATTTCTCTGTCTTTGTACTGTTAGATTCCTAAATATTTAAAAAAAAAAAATTTTTTTTCGAGTATTGATCAATGATTGATAAATTAGTAGATAGCTGGAGGTTATACATATCACTGACACTGTTAAAATTTTGTCTTAAAGTGACTTCAAGTCTTCAACTTTGGTGGAAAAAGATCTCAGGAGCCCCTCTGTGCATTATTTCAGACACAAGCTGGCACCTGAGTAGAACCACTGTCTTTCCTAAACCTAGCTGGATAGATGAGGTAAATATCATACAGAGATTATCTCATACAAATGGGCAGAGTAAACCATTCTCAACAATCTGACATTATGTAAGGTTAACGTACATGACAAAAGAAACTTACTAAGATGCCTTCATTTCTCAGTTTTGTAAGATCTTACATTAAGAAACATCATATTTCTATGACACGGCACTTTTGCATAAACTTTTATATCATGTAATTTTACTGGTACAAAAAAGAATGTTTTAATATTACCAAACAACTGATTATTCATAGTAAAATCGAAAGCAACAAAACAATATCTGTCACTATACAATGATGAAGATAATTACCTGAAAATGTTGACTGCCATAAGAGGAGTATTGGGGTGTAAGTTCATACAGAATGATGTTAATTCCAAGCTGTATAAACATCAGTATCATACACATCATTAAAATACCCTGAGGTCGGGTACGCCGGGGTCGTATCTTGTACATCTACAAGCAAAAACAAAAACTAAATTTAATGTGAAATTTGAAGCGCAATAAATATAATTTTACTTCTTAGTATGTATATAGAATAACTGCATATATTAATAATCATAAAGCAAAACCAAGGGACCAGTCTAAAAAGTGACAGTCATAAATAAGAAACTTTGGACCATTCTAATAATGTAAAGTTATAACAAGGAAAACTGCAGAAAATTCTAAAAATTGTTATATTATAATGAAGAAACTGAAGACTAATTCATCAATATCAAATGAATACCAGATACAGCCAATTAGGGCTTTAAAATATTTAACCTAGCATTAAATCAACTAGTTATATCAAAAAGTAAAGCTTTGAAATCCTCTGAAAAATAGTTACAAGTATGTCAAACAAAAGTTTAAAAAGGTATAATGATAAGAATACCCTCAGACAGAAGAACCATATTCCAATGTTCCGAATACCAGCCATAGAACTTATCACCAGGTACAAAACAAGAGCTGCAAACAATATGTAGTCCAATGGGAATGCCTGAAACATACATAAAATATACAATAAAACAACATGTGGCATAAATTCAAATATACTATACCGGTATATAAATGTACTAGTAAGTACTTTTACTAATCAAAATGAATAATCAAAACACCTTTTAACCTTTTAAGTAAGGCATTGGTTGCATTTTACATACATGAGTATATCATTTAAGTTTTCTTACAGCTATTCTATATCATGTATATTTATGAATACGGTAATTACTATCTATATTATACAATGAGTATTTGCACACACCTTCTGACAGAAGACAAGCACTATATCAACAGGGTTAGGTAATGTTGATTTAGGCAAGGCATACCCTAATTTAGGGCCTAGACTGTTCATTGTCTTGTCAATACTGAAAAAAAAAAATGTCATGAATGTACATTTTTTAAAAACATCAAAGACTGACTAAGAAAAACAAATATACAGTTATAAAACACTGCAAGCTTTTAATAATCTAAAATTGGACTATGCTTTTGATTTGAAGTCATTCTGTACTTCCTATTGTTTAAAATTAGGTGAGAACCAATTTCATGGAAGCAAACACCTTAATCTGTAAACTAACTGCCCTAGCGTTCAGCTATCGCAAGCTTTACCTACATATATACCTCTTCTATGGTGCTAGTCTTGCTTACTTTCTAAAGGTAAGCTTGTAACTTAAGTAAGCTGATAACCTCTACTACAGTAATATTAATAAGAAAAAGAAGCAAGAAAAATGGGTTTTTTTCTAGAACCCAGCAATCTATCTGTATATGTATCTTACAATTTTACTTACATTCATCTTCTCAATTTTATATTGAGCAAAAAATAAGTCAGAAATAGGAAAACTTTAATCTATTGGAACTTACTTGGTAAGAAGTAGAGAAAGGAAGACCAAGATGGCCACCAATATCAACAAGATACCAAACACAACAGCAAATGGTCGTAAAACAAGCCAACATTTCTGACAACAGGTGTCTCTTGCTTCTAGGTGGCGCTCTTGTCTCTCCATTAATGCCCCCGACTCTTCAAGATCTGACACCCTGGCAGCATCCCGACTTGACATGCTTCGACCTCCAGAGTACTAGAAAATATACATGTATCTTTTTTTCATAAATGACCATCCAAAATAATATATCTTTTGTAAATCATTTATTCAATAATCGATTCCCATACATTATTAAATATTGGAGACCATTTCTTAGGCATTACCTTGGGGATGATGTTCTTGAAATAGGAAATATCTATTATATCAAGATTTTGCAGAAAAGTAATGAGCGTTTCCTTGTTACATTACATGTATAAAAGACTTTATCATGATACTGTAAGGGTTTACTGTCACTTACAAACTTATTGTTGAACAGGGAATGCTAGCATAGTGGTAAAAATGCCTCTCAAACCAAAGACTGTGCACTTCATACCATGCATCCCATAGGGCAACATTACTTGTTGGTTCCAGGTTTGAGGCTCAAAGTAATTAAAATAAGTTTCAAGAACTGTTTCACTTCAATAAATAAAAAGAAAACATAGCATGATACTAAAAAGTAAAAGCTGGCTACCTTGTTTTTAATGGCTTGAATCCTATCTCTATTGTCAGATCTTCTACTCTGTACTTCCAACCTCTCTCGCCTCACATTTCTATTTCCTCGTATCAGATCTATCGGTAAAATGGCCATCCCATAAGCCTAGAATACAAATTTCTTGCATGAGAGGATGACCACCTTACTATTTAAATAAAGCAAACTGTTTGTATAAATCACAGATTTCTATAAGATGTTTATCAATTACATATGAATTATACATATCTAAAAATAAAAGACACTTTGATGATTATATTGATATGCATACTAAGAAATATATCTTTTCACTAAAAGCTTAAGTAGAGATTTGCTTAATGTGTAAAATGAAAATGTGAAGAAAGAACTAATTTCCTTTAAATTCAAACCATTACTCTGGTATTGGTAAAATAACAAAAGATATTATGCTATTAAACCATTATTCTGATATAGGTAAAATAACAAAAGACATACATTAACTTACAGTATATGTGAAGAGAGCCAACATTCCAATGAGACTGAGTATACTGATAACCAATGACAAACTGTTCTCTATCCCTGGTATATATAACATACATTATAAATAACTACTTAAACATTAAACATTCATATGTTAAACAAAGATGAGCTGTCCATAAGACAACATGCTTGACTTTTCTCAGTGTCCGATAGTAAGTAAAGAGGCATAACTCGGTAAAATGTTAACTCAGAGTTATGTAACATAATCCCAAAAAACCATGTGGGAAGTTTCAACTTATTCTCAGGATTTTTTTTTTGATATACCAACTTGCACACAAAAACTTAGCCAAAGTATGATGGCAATACAAACACCAAGCTGGCGTGAGTACAATAGCTCACCTTTTTCTTCAGATAGTCAAGCCAAAACCTAAAAACTTGTTTTAATGCAAATGTTACAATAACATGGTATTAAAAAAGGAATACATAACTACATTTGATATGACTTTTTTACATCTTTCATCTCTTTCAATGAAACAATGAAGCTGACTACAAACTTTTTTTCACAATTCAACCTAATAAAGCTTAAACTATAATTGTGTACAATATTATAACTAATGTAAGATCTTATATATAAACATAGCTTACAGTTACTCTCCATATCAAACAAAGCTTCAACCTTCTGCCATTCTGTAGCATTCTGGTTCTTTGTTGGTACCTTCTTTGTATGAACAAGAGCTCTGAAATAAAGCAATTTGCCTTCTATTATGAACTTTAGCCATTTGCATTCAATCATAAAATTTAAGCAATTTGCAGTCAATTAAAAGCTTTCAATTAAATACAATCTTATAGCAATTTGCATTTAATTATGATTAAAAACTTTAAGCAATTGCATTCAAATTTGAACTTTTATAAATTTGCATTCAAATATGGCCTTTTAACAATTTGCATTCATATTTTGAACTTTAAGCAATACAGTTGTATATTGGCGATGAACATTGTACATGCTTATGCCAATAAAACTATTGAATTGAATTGAAATTGCATTCAATATTAAAATTTAAGCAGTTTGCATTCAATTATCAGCTCATAGTTACTTGCATTCAATTTATAACAGACTTCTTGGGCTTGTCTGTGTAAACACACAAAATATAACTCTATTTCTTACCCAATGAGGAGAAGAACAAATATCACTATAAGAAATACAATTGAGTACTTCAAAGCACCACAACATCTCTGTAAAATAATAAAATAAATATTAACAAAATTGTTAAAACAATGTGTCTCTACAACAATATTCATTTGTTCAGTATAACACATAATTATATGTGTATTAAATTTTGCAAAAAGAGTATTTCTGTAAGGAATAATTAATGGTCTGCTACATTTATTCTTCAGGCAGATAAAATTAAAATAGTTTTTAAAGGGGGAATTTCTTTCTTTTTTAAAAGGGAAAATATACATGTTATTATATGTCTGACAAATCTATAAACTGGCCAAGATTTTGATTTCAGTAACACTTAAATTCAAAACAGACAGTGATGCAATTTCAAATCCAAATCTGACAAGTGTATCCAACAATATTGTTAGGGGGATAGTAAAACAAATAGTATAAACTTACAGATTTACATGTGGCATCATCCTCCCTTTCCTCATAGAAGAAGTACATGAATGGCAGCAGGAGAAACATGCAGAATGTTATAAGACCATACATTGCTGAAATATAACATATGCCATAACCACATGTTCATATGCACGATTCTAGTAAACTCGGGTAGATTCTATGTAAATTAAAAGATATGAAAAGTATCTTAATGGCCCAGTTCAATTTTAAAATAACTCTCATATTAATAATGACTTTGCCCATACACCCTGGGAAAAGAGATGATAAATCAAGGTTTTAAAGGGTAAGCACCTTATAGGTGCAATGAATGAGGTAAAAATTTACATATGAATAAACTTTGATCTTGATCCAAACAAATGATATAACAATGTGTATCAATAACATAACATATTCCATATGCATTTATTTCAGCAACTTTTTCAAATTTTGTAGAGAAAACAGATCAGTACATTTAAAATAAGGTTAAGAAGTTTTAATAAATTCATCAACAACTTAACAAATACTGCTTTACTTACTGTAATAGCCAATCAGAACTGACTGCTCCACTGAATGTCTCGTCTCATTACTGACAGCCCATTCCTGAAATACAATTATATAAGATTAGTTTGATATTTATATATAAAAGAAAGAATGGTCTTTCAAAGAATGAAAACTGTCGTGAAACATTTAAAATCATTTAAAATTCAAAATAACTTTTATAAGCTTAAGTTATGTTCAATTCCTATTACATGTAGCTTCTAGCTAAAAATAATTTCTTGTTTATTCTTAATAAGTTAACCTTAAAATTTCATTTACAGATCTAAATCAATCAAATTTGATTTTCATTATGAGCAAATTCCATGTATTCTGAAATTAAAGAATAGCAAATGAATAACAAGAGTAAAGTTCATTGAAATAAGAAAATATAAATTCTTATTCCATTTCATGAAGACAAAAATATAACCAAAGACTTACACTAAATGTGCCATCCGAATTCTTCATAAACGACACAAGAAAAACATCAACTGGGATCAATGCAGTTGTCATCAAGGTAACACTTAATGCAAGTATAGCACATATTGTTGTTGACCATTCACTGTCATGCTTACTTGTGTAATATTTGATGTAAATACTTGAAAACAACAGAACAAGCTGAAATGAATGATAAATAACAGTCATGTAATTTCAGCAAATTTCAATTGTTTAACCTTGACGATAAAGGTTAATGTCCTATCAAAATATTTCAAAATGTTGGTTTAGTGATGTATGTGGGTTTTTTTGTCCAAAAATAAATTAAATCTTTAAATAAATAACAAAATTATGACAATCTATGCTAAATTCAATATCTGACATTGAGGGTCAAGGTTAGATCAAGGTCAAGGTCACATTTATAAATTGTTTAACAATAAGGGTTTAATGTCATAAGGTTTCTTTTGTCCAAGAATAAATTAAATCCATAGACAAAACAAAGTTATGACAATCTAAGCTACATTCAATATTTGACTTTGCAGGTCAAGGTCATTTATATGTCAAGGGCATATTTGAATTATTGAACATGACATTTGTTACAAGTGATTGTTTGTCCAAGAATCCAGAAATAAATAACAAAGATATATAAGGCCAATTGTAGACAATTTCACTAATTTAACCTTTTAGTAGTGTCAAGATCAAATTTAGATCAAGGTCCAGTTCAATTCAATTTTCTTTAATGTTTTGTCCCAAGGATTGTTGTGCCAAAGTATGAAGACAATCCATTCATTAAGTAAAAAGTTATAGCCAGTTATAGCAACAAACTGAGGAATTACAATAATTTTACCTTCAAGGTCAAGGTCATATTGAGTCAAGGTCAAATTGTGTTTGATCTCCTTAAAGACAGTGATTGCTTTGCTCAAGTATTAAGACAAGCTATTCATAAAAACAAAGTTATCGCCAAAGATATAATTACCTGCTTAAAATAATGGTTAAATATGTGTAAATCAAATCAGCGCATTTACTCATAACATTAATCTAATTTATTACTTATAATTCTGAAGTTAAATAAAATATATACAAATGAGATTAGTAATTGTTAGTTCTGTTCAAGCCTATAATTTTCTTATTCAGTATCTCTAAATCAAATGTTTACTATAACAAGAACTGTCATAATTATGTAAACTAGAACTGTGTCCAAAGGACACGGATGCCCCCACTGACAACATATATATGGTATATAGTGAAAAAATCAACAAAGGGTCATAATTCTGTTAAATTTGGTCGCAGCAAAAATTCCTTCCTTTACTACCATCTACACATTAAGGTTGTTCATCCCTGGAAGTTTAAGCAAAATCTGCCATCTGGTTTAAGAGGAGTTGCGTTCACAAAATTTCTACATAGTATATAGTGAAAAAATCAACAAAGGGCCATAATTCTGTTAAATTTGGTCGCAGCGAAAATTCCTTCCTTTACTACCATCTACATATTAAGGTTGTTCATCCCTGGAAGTTTAGGCAAAATCTGCCATCTGGTTTAAGAGGATTTGTGTTCACAAAATTTCTATATGGTATATAGTGAAAAAATCAACAAAGGGCCATAATTCTGTTAAATTTGGTCGCAGCAAAAATTCCTTCCTTTACTACCATCTACACATTAAGGTTGTTCATCCCTGGAAGTTTAGGCAAAATCTGCCATCTGGTTTAAGAGGAGTTGCATTCACAAAATTTCTACATAGTATATAGTGAAAAAATCAACAAAGGGCCATAATTCTGTTATATTTTGTCGCAGCAAAAATTCCTTCCTTTACTACCATCTACACATTAAGGTTGTTCATCCCTGGAAGTTTAGGCAAAATCTGCCATCCGGTTTAAGAGGAGTTGCGTTCACAAAATTTCTATATGGTATATAGTGAAAAAATCAACAAAGGGCCATAATTCTGTTAAATTTGGTTGCAGCAAAAATTCCTTCCTTTACTACCATTTACACATTAAGGTTGTTCATCCCTGAAAGTTTAAGCAAAATCTGCTATCCGGTTTAAGAGGAGTTGCGTTCACAAGATTTTGGGACGTACGGACAGACGGACGGACGTACGGCGTGACAGATGGACAAACAGACAAGTGCAACGCTATATGCTCCCACTCTGTGGGGGCATAAAAAGCAAATCACGCAAAAACTTAACCAAGAATTTCTAAGTCGAAAAAGGGGCATAATTATGTAAAAAAGCCAATCAGAGTTATAAGGACTTGTGCCAATCATCTTAGATAATCACAGAGAACAACTGTGTGAAGTTTCAATCCATTCCCTTCAGTAGTTATGGAGATACCAACTTACACGCAAAAACTTAACCAAGAATTTCTAAGTCGAAAAAGAGGCATAATTATGTAAAAAAGCAAATCAGAGTTATGGGACTTGTGCCAATCATCTTAGATAATCACAGAGAACAAGTGTGTGAAGTTTCAATCCATTCCCTTCAGTAGTTATGGAGATACCAGCTTACATGCAAAAACTTAACCACGGGGACGCCGACGCCGACAAATGGGTGACTGCATTAGCTCGATTATTCTGCGAATAGTCGAGCTAAAAACAAATCAAGAGTAATGGGACTTGTGCCAATCATGTAAATTAATCACAGAGAACAAGTGTGTGAAGTTTCAATCCATTCCCTTCAGTAGTTATGGAGATACCAGCTTACATGTAAAAACTTAACCACAGATTTATTGGACATGGCTGTTCATCCTATAAAATTTTACAGCTGTAGGTTGATTAATACTTAAGTTATTGAGTGTAAACTGTTTTCAGTTTTAAGGTAATAGTGACCTTGACCTTTGACCTTGTGACCCCAAAATCAATTAGGGTGTTCTACCCAATATGGACAATCATCCTATGAAGTTTGAATACTGTGGCCAAAATGGAAATTTAATTATGCTCCGGAAACATTTTTCAGTTTTAAGGTAATAGTGACCTTGACCTTTGACCTTGTGACCCCAAAATCTATTGGGATCTTCCCCTATATATGGACAATCATCCTATGAAGTTTGAATACTGTGGCCAAAATGGAACTTAAATTATGCTCCGGAAAAAAACCATTTTCAGTTTTAAGGAAATAGTGACCTTAAACCTTTGACCTTGTGGCCCCAAAATCAATAGAGGTGTTCTACCTATGGACATCATCCAATGAAGTCTGAATACTGTGGGCCAAATAGAAATTGAGTTATGCTCCGAAAACCATTTTCAGTGTTAGGGTAATAATGACCTTGACCTTTGGCCTTGTGACCCCAAAATCAATAGGGGTCTTCTGCCCAATCTGGACAATCATCCTATGAAGTTTGAATACTGTGGGCCAAATGGAACTTAAGTTATGCTCCGGAAACCAAATTGCTAACGGACGAACGCCAGGGGGTATAACATAATATGCCCGAAAGCAAATCAGAGTTATGGGACTTGTGCCAATCATGTTAGATAATCACAGAGAACAAATGTGTGAAGTTTCAATCCATTCCCTTCAGTAGTTATGGAGATACCAGCTTACACGCAAAAACTTAACCAAGAATTTCTAAGTCCAAAAAGGGGCATAATTATGCAAGAAAGCAAATAAGAGTTAAAGAACTTGTGCTTATCATGTAAAATAATCACAGAGAACAAGTGTGTGAAGTTTCAATCCATTCCCTTCAGTAGTTATGGAGATACCAGCTTACATGCAAAAACCTAACCACAGGGACGCCGACGCCAACAAATGGGTGACTGCATTAGCTCGATTATTCTGCGAATAGTCGAGCTAAAAAGTATACCATTTTAATAAACACAAAAATACCAAAACCATTTATAAACATTTTCAATCCAAATATATAAATCAAAGGCCTGAAGGGCCATAATGGCTTATGGGTTTGATAAACTAAGATAAGATAATCTTTATTTATAGTCGGTTACATAAAACATATAAACATTAGCTATATAAGCTATTTTCCGACATAACAGACTATCCTTTAACAATACAAACAAACAATCTGTATAAAAGAAAATATATAAAAGGATTAAGAAGATCAATGTACATTTATGAGTGACTCTGTAAAACAAATTAGATTTATAAGCACATATAAATATGGATAAGATAATATTAATTGATTAAAAGCAAATATAACACTACAATCAAACATCACAGAATATTACATCATACAAGAATTCCATTTTATGTACACAACCCTTAAATCAGAATTAGAATTTTTTTTTAAAAAATTTAAAATTTTTTAAATAAATTCAAAATAATAATGATTCAATCTTATTTCAATATAGTTGACCTAAAGTCCAGCATGATGCTTGAGCATATATCAGTAGCAGCATCTGATATATACTCAATCATGAAAATATGGGTGTAACTAAAACATGTGCAAGCATCAAAATAAAATTTGAAATGTTTGTGTAACAGTTGCTGATCTGAGCTGGCCTAGACAAAGTCATGCGGGGAAAGCTTATTTAAAAAGAAAAAACATACATGTATATATAAATACATACATACATATATTAATTAATACCGAATTAAATTAAAAGTAGAAATAACTAGAACTGCCACTATCATGGCGTGAATACCCCCGCATACCACTTTGTCAGAATCAACAGTGGCCATTTAGAGCTCAAGGACAACCTCCCTGCCATTACTAAGCCAGTGCATTGCTAAGTTATGTATTCTACATGCTTCAAATGTGAAAATGTCAAAATCAATACATTGCGGACAGGACATTCTTTAGCAATTGAGAAGAAAAGCTTTTTTTTGTCAAGGTCCCTGTGACCTTGACCTTTGACCCAGTGACCTCAAAATCAATAGGGGTCAACTTATAGTCATGATCAACATCCATGCCAAATATGAAGACTGTGGGTCAAAGGAATCTTAAGTTAATGGGTGGACAAACTTTTTGAAGTCAAAGTCCCTATGACCTTGACCTTTGATCCAGTGACCTCAAAATCAAAAGGGGTCATCTACTAATCATGACTAACCTCCATTCCAAATATGAAGACTGTGGGTCATAGGAATCTTAAGTTATTGGGCGGACAAGCTTTTTGAAGTCAAGGCCCCTGTGACCTTTACCTTTGACCTGGTGACCTCAAAATCAATAGGGGTCATCTACTAATCATGACTAACCTCCATGCCAAATATGAAGACTGTGGGTCAAGGGAATCTTAAGTTATAGGGCGGACAAGCTTTTTGAAGTCAAGGCCCCTGTGACCTTGACCTTTGACATGGTGACCTCAAAGTCAATAGGGGTCATCTACTAATCATGACTAAGCTCCATGCCAAATATGAAGACTGTGGGTCAAAGGAATCTTAAGTTATTGGGCGGACAAGCTTTTTGAAGTCAAGGCCCCTGTGACCTTGACCTTTGATCCAGTGACCTCAAAGTCAATAGGGGTCATCTAATTATCATGACTAGCCTCCATGCCAAATATGAAGACTGTGGGTCAAAGGAATCTTAAGTTATTGGTCGGACAAGCTTTTTGAAGTCAAGGCCCCTGTGACCTTGACCTTTGACCTGGTGACCTCAAAGTCAATAGGGGTCATCTACTAATCAATGCCAAATATGAAGACTATGGGTCAAAGGAATCTTAAGTTATTTGGCGGACAAGCTTTTTGAAGTCAAGGCCCCTGTGACCTTGACCTTTGACCTGGTGACCTCAAAATCAATAGGGGTCATCTACTAATCATGACTATCCATCATTCCAAATATGAAGACTATGGGTCAAAGGAATCTTAAGTTATTGGGCGGACAAGCTTTTTGAAGTCAGGGCCCCTGTGACCTTGACCTTTGACCTGGTGACCTCAAAATCAGTAGGGGTCATCTACTAATCACGATTTACCTCCATGCCAAATATGAAGACTGTGGGTCAAAGGAATCTTAAGTTATTGGGCGGACAAGCTTTTTGAAGTCAAGGCCCCTGTGACCTTGACCTTTGACCTGGTGACTTCAAAATCAATAGGGGTCATCTACTAATCATGACTAACCTCCATGCCAAATATGACGACTGTAGGTCAAAGGAATCTTAAGTTATTGGGCGGACAAGCTTTTTGAAGTCAAGGCCCCTGTGACCTTGACCTTTGACGTAGTGACCTCAAAATCAATAGGGGTCATCTACTAATCATGACTAACCTCCATGCCAAATATGAAGACTAAGGGTCAAAGGAATCTTAAGTTATTGGGCGGACAAGAAAAAACCGACGGACGGCCGGACAGCCGGACGGACAAGCTGATTCCAGTATACCCCCCTTACAACTTTGTTGAGCGGGGGTATAAAAAGGTAAAAAAAAACTGTAAAAAGCTATTGTCCCCATAATGGGATATGTGAAAAGCTGATCAGCAGCTGCCACACACTCAAACACTAACACACTAATAAATGACTACAAATATGACGAAAAGCATCATGTTCATGATATCTTGAAGTTTAGAGAAAATACTCAAAGGCATATCGCTTTCAATGTCATAGATTATCTTTCAAAACAACCTATTACAACTATTTGTGATACATTTTAATTTTTAAGACAAAGTAACATTTTTCACTCAGTTAATCTGTTTTATTACTTAAATCTTAATTATTTTCAAAAAGCATATCTGTTGTGCCTGTTTGGCTGGAAAAAAAAATTCCCTTGTTGCACTTGTTGCACCAAAAAAACTTCGTTGTTTTTTTTAGTCATAGCCTCCTTAATTTAAGAGTTCCCTGCCCTTCATTTCAAACTTGACTTAAAACATGGTGCTGTTGCCATATTATTTTTATTCCTGCTAAATTTTGAGTATATTCAAATTGAAATAATTAATTAATTTATATTCACTGGTACACATAATGAAAATGATAATGTACATAGAAAAAAATTAAACTTACTAAAAGATATGTATTTCATTAAGCACAAACATTAGACTTTACAACATTTGAAGTCAGAACTATTTTGTGTCATCCATGTTAATAGCGAGCTCGAAGAGCTGGCCCGAAGGGCCTGCTCGCAAAGCGAGCTTTATGGTAACACAAGTACCTGCTAGATAGTGATGGTTTTGAAAACTTTCGTCCGAAGTACTGATTGACACATCGCAACTTTTCGAATTACAAGATAACAATAAAAACAGAGATATTCGGATTGAAAACGGAAGTGTAGACTGGTGTCCTGCGCACTTATATGGGAACCATATTAGGACAGGGAACCAGAATAAACGAAAGCAGTGTATAAAATACCGAATGACAATTTTAAAACGAAAAATGTAAAATAAAAATGAACGATTATTTTATACTATTTCACAGTAAGGGAAATGTAAATCTAGCTCGCTTTGAGGCTTTGTCTTTTTCATATTATATAATGAACTGTTTGCTATAAAGATTATTCAGAAACAAGATGGACGTATCTTAAACTGCATAAAGAGAGAAGCTAACATGTCATCAGTGGGCTGAATTTATATATCACCACTAGCAGCAGTGAGTTTGATGTTAGCTACTCCTTTATTGAAAGACTTCACATTTACATTTTTTATCAAAAAATGCTGACCGATATCTGACAAATGTTACCACTGTAACCTTGTGTAACCCTTGTCATGTGGGGGTGAAACAGTGATTTTTTTCCCAGTATTTTACAGCAGTATAAAGGCTGTTTCCCCTAGCTAAAAATAGGTATATTTTCCCCTAAAAAAAGCTAATATTTTCACCTGTAATGCCCTGTGCACTTCACCAGAACCATTTCTTAACAGCATCTGACTTATTATATCAGCTAGAATCCCTATAGCCTCTGCTATGTACCATGCATTATAAATTGAATTGAAATTAAAAATTTTATAAAATGTGTGGGTAAATTCCACTCTCAGTTGTTGGAATTTGATTTCCCCCTTTTCTGATTTATCACGCTATATTTTCCCCTTCAGAAAGCCACAGGTTGTTTTGAAAATTGGATAAAAAATCACTGTGAAAAATAATTGTGATTTTGTGCCATATAGATGCTTTTGTGTGCAATGGTTATAATTTCACAACTCTCAGTTGTTCTTTTCAGTTTCAGTCCAAATACGCAAAATCATTTAAAAGCAAAAAATAGTTTTACCACAATGACAATAACAAAAGGAATCCATCCTGCTGCTAACACTGAATGTATAGAAGCAGTCATATTTTTTTCCTAAGATATTTTTATTTTTGTTAAATAGTCAGCTGACCATTTGTTTTTATCAAAGTCGTCAAACGCTTTGGAATTGCGGAAATAAAAATCTGTGTAATATAAAAGGCTGCTCGGATGTTGGTTCTCGTTTCTTCAAATGACCTTACGGTGAAGCCGGGAACAAAAAGAATAAAAACAAAGGGATTTAGCTCAATACAGGATTGGAGCCAAACTCCTCACAGCGGTTACGTCACGCTTTGCTACTTTAACCACTGCCACCACTGAAATCACGTGATGATAGTTGTATCATGTGACAAAAACATGGCGGCCAGTTTCAGAACGCCAGGGATCCCATATCAAACTGGCAGATTTATAATTACATCATTACCAGACAAAATAAGTTCAAGAAACACAATTTGTTATCACTTTAAAACAAGTGCCGGTCAAATCTTTTTGTGCAATCGTTCAATAACTGTTTATATTCTACCATTGTTTACTATGCATACGGTGTCACAGTGAAAATATATTTCGTTATGTTTACAAAATAATTTTTATACGTATATTTTTTTACTTTCTCGTACATTAAGCATAACTTTTTAACGAAAGAAAACTATAATGATATAAAGTATTATATTTTAAAATTAAAAGTGAAAAAAATATATCCGGCTATATTCGACCGAATTTACTTGTGGTGGCAGTGGTTACTGTACAGATCAGGGGAAGTAACCGCTGCGAGGAGTTTGGATTGGAGCAGTACCTGTAGACGCTTGCAGAAATCATGATCACAAAATAGACAAATATCGTTTTTTTCGCCGAATTTTACATTTTTCCTTGATTATCGTACTTGATTCGGTGTGAAAAGATGAATTAGACCTGTTAAAGTTCATTCCGTTGGGTAAAAAGACAAGATTTTAGCATTTTATCATTCAAGCGCCTTGTCCGGTTCATACCGGAATACGGTATTTAGTGTGGTGCTCCAATCCTTTTTTTAGTCACAGCCAAAACAAAGCGCGAAAATGCAGTTTTCAGGGGGATCAAAACGAAGAAATAAACAACTTAATAATAAAATTAACGATGGATCAAACTGTCAGAGGATACAGTTGTACAAATTACCTCCCACAGATACAATATCTCTGTATGAATTTGAAGATTTTGCTGTTGAAAGGTTAAAAGGTAAATTTTTTAGGCAAACTGGCTCAACTGACTAACGATTAACAATTAATATTTATAACATCAAAAATACTATTTTGGTTTACAAAATTACCCTTTCTCAGATTTTTTAGGCACTTTTCGTCTGTTACAATATTAATGCTTAATGATGGTCCATCCGCCCTTTCAGTTTCAAGCACTAACTTACTGGCACAGAAATTTATTTACATATACCTGTGTGTAGTCTATGTTGTATGAGTGTCCATCCACCTGCTAAGGCACTAAATGCAGCTTTCACTGTCGGGAATGGACTACAGACTTGTCACCAGTCACAGGGTTCTCACTAGGACTTTAAAACATGGAGTCCATGGACTCCGAACCCTGAAAAAGTTGGAGTCCAAAAGCGCGTCACAATTAATATGTTTACAGATTAGTCATTCAATGCTCACAATAGCATTGCTGATATTTTGAATCTTCAAGAGACTTCCAAAGTTTATTGTTATTCAACTACATAGTATTATTATTGTTTTGTTGTTAATATTTATTATGAAATTATTTCATTATAATGCATCAACATATGGAAATCGTTTTTTGTTTTTTTTCCCACTTTTATACCAAATCAAATTTTATTCTGGTTAAATAAGTCCACTCTAAAGACAAAAAGTTTATATTTGTAAAAAAACGTAAATGTACATAGGCAGTGTTTAGCGGAATGAATAGGAAAATCGTGTACAGCTTCACACAGTGTGTAAGAGATTCATCCGATCGACAATTATTTTAGCAAATATCTTCAAAAGGGGGCAAATTGAAGATCGATATTTAAAGATTTAATGTTGATTAAATAATAAAGGAACAATTCATTCACATGTTTGGCTTGGAAAATGAGAATTTTTGCGAAATTTTAGGGTTTCTGGCGAACGTGAAATCGCCGATGTTCGGGATCAATTTTCGGATAGAATCTAAATATCAAAGAAAAGGGTATGTGTATTTTGGTTTGTTGTCCTGGCAATTCGGCACAATATCTTAAATTCTTAATATTCTTATAGAACGTTTTTGCAAGAATGAAACTAAAGGAAAATTGTGCCTATAAAATGCCGCTCATTTGTAATTTGAGAAAACAGTCTTTAAACTTTCGGCGTATATAGTCGATAATTTTATCCTTTTGTCGGTAAAATTTGCTAATTTCCAATCAACTGTTGATCAAAGATATAAAATTATCACCTCGTGTTATATCTGGTAATTACATGTACTGTACAGCGCGTGTATACATTAGTCTGATCACTATTGCGTGATAATGATCGGAAGCGTTATCGCTGATTGGCTAATAGCTTCACGGGTCGATGTGCATAGGACCGCCTACCTATAGACTGACACGCGCTGACGTATTTGTGGTTGTAAACAATCGGTAATGTTTATGAGTCCCCAGGCAAAATTAAGCGTATGTGGAATCCTTGCTCTGAAATATTTGCGTCCAGCTGTAATAAACATGCGTACCGGGACGCCGAAATAAGCGTCCCCGAGAACCCTGCAGTCATGCCCTTATACTTACAGCACAATGTGGTGATAATTAACTTCAATGCAATTTCCACATTTGGTTAAAAGGACCCCATTGGAAATAAGCACAACAGCTTAATGGGCTATCCTTGTAACCATAGATCATTCTTAAACAAAACCATTGTATTGAAATTTTATTAGTTTTTTTTATGCCCCCACAAAGTGGGAGCATATAGCATTGCACTTGTCCGTCCGTCCGTCCGTCCGTCTTTCCGTCCATCCGTCTGTCTGTCCATACGTTCCGAAATTTTGTGAACGCAACTCCTCTTAAACTGGATGGCAGATTTTGCTTAAATTTCCAGGGATGAACAACCTTAATGTGTAGATGGTAGTAAAGGAAGGAATTTTTGCTGCGACCAAATTTAACAGAATTATGGCCCTTTGTTGATTTTTTCACTATATACTATGTAGAAATTTTGTGAACGCAACTCCTCTTAAACCGGATGGCAGATTTTGCTTAAACTTCCAGGGATGAACAACCTTAATGTGTAGATGGTAGTAAAGGAAGGAATTTTTGCTGCGACCAAATGTAACAGAATTATGGCCCTTTGTTGATTTTTTCACTATATACTATGTAGAAATTTCGTGAACACAACACCTCTTAAACCGGATGGCAGATTTTGCTTAAACTTCCAGGGATGAACAACCTCAATGTGTAGATGGCAGAAAAGGAAGGAATTTTTGCTGCGACTATATTTAACAGAATTATGGCCCTTTGTTGATTTTTTCACTATATACTATGTAGAAATTTTGTGAACGCAACTCCTCTTAAACCGGATGGCAGATTTTGCTTAAACTTCTAGGGATGAACAATCTTAATGTGTAGATGGTAGTAAAGGAAGGAATTTTAGCTGCGACCAAATTTAACAGAATTATGGCCCTTTGTTGATTTTTAGTTTTCAACTTGTGGCACATGTAGTCCAAAAAATATTTGACCTAGAGTCATAAGATTGACAGAACAGTGGCGTGTGGGGGCATACGTGTCCTATGGACACATTTCTAGTTTTCTTTTAAAATCTAGGTTAGACTATTTTAGTTTTTATATATATATCATGTCTATCAGTAACTTTAAACAATATTCTGTGCTAATTATAATTCTGACTTGTTGTAGTCTGAATCTGAATAGTGATTTTTTTTAAAATGATTTTATCCAATGCCTCATCTGATTACAGTCATTAACTTAATTTATTTAATTTATTATTTATATGAAATGACATTTTAATTTGTTAAACTGCTATTTTATATATATGTATATCTTATTATGTAACTGTGATCTATGTTGTTGAAAAATATAAAATAAATAAATAAACTTAGTATTAGCCAAAGATGAATTTTGAGCCAAAAGTAAGTCACTGCACTACCTACACTGCACGGCAGTGAATGAGAATCTTAATGTATAGTAAACAAAAGACAATATGAAAAGGAGCTAGCCCTTAAAAGTGCTGTTGGTGCCAGGCATTGTCCTGTCTATCTATCTTCCATTAATGTCAAACCCCTTGTGGCGACGTAGACATGATTCTAGACTTCAGAGACAGCTATGAGATACAAGGGAATCCAGGAACCAGTCCCTTGGTCTTATTGAATAGACCCTTGGTTCTTTTACATGCCCAGTGCACTGATACAATCATACATGCAAGGATTATCTGGATTTCTTACCAGTACACCTCTAGGTTGGTGGCAAACACTGAAAGTGTCTTTGAAAGGATGTTGCCCAGGATCGAACCTGGGTCATCAGGAGTGACAGTCATTGGTATAACCAACTGAGCTATTGTGCTTCTTTCACCTTAATGTCATCATTCTGTGCTAGGGGTTTCTGCACCCTTGCACACCTGCACCCTATCACACCTTCCTAGTCTACTCTGCCTACTTTTAAGGGCCAAAGCCCCCGCGCCCCCTTCCCCCACCCCCCCCCCCCCCCCCAGCAATAGTCAGGTAACTGGCAGGTACAAGTTCTGGTCTTTGTTTATTTTGGCCATCCCAAGTTCTTTAAATCTTCTACCGACACCCTGTGCTTTACCTGCAGTATGCATGCTCTGAGGGGAAGAGAGTAGTCGAAATATTAACAGATGTGTACTTTGTATTTATATCAGATTAATTTACAATGACAACTTGATTTGAATATGTTTTAGAAATTTTACTTGCACAAACAGAGGTGGAGAGACAGTGACCGTTTTAGGATGTTTAAAGTACCTTTCAATACATTTAGCTCATCTGTAGGCCTTGATTTTGCTAGAAAGATATATCTAATACAGTGTAACTTCCGAATTCCGGAACTTCTGAAATCCGGAAACTTCTAGAAACCGAACAATTTTTTCGGTCCCGATTTTTTTCCTTCTATTTTCTATTAATATAATACTTCTGAATTCCGGAACTTCTAAATTCTGAATTCCGGACGATTTTTCGTAAAATTTAATAGAGTCAAATCAATGCAATTTTACCTCCAAAATCCGGAAATATCCAAAGGTGTGAAATACATTGTAAATCGAGAATGTTTACCCTGCAGGAAGATTTAATCTCCCTATCGATTGTTTACCAATTAGCTGTGATCGTGTAATTTGACACACGTTAAAATCACAAACTGTGAAATGGTATGTTTGAAGTGATGCGGTTAATTAAAGTAATTTACGGCGGTCAGTTAATTTGAAGTGTTTATTAGCGGATTAAATGACAATTAGTTGGGACAATGTATGCATCAAACGTCTTTAGGGATTTTATTGCATTTGATGCACTAATTAATTAACTAGCATCGGACAATATGTAAGTTTATGCAATTAACAACATTTCTACAAACTGATAGAAATTCAAAGGGATTTGCAGTATTAAATAAAGTGTTAAATATAAATGTTTTCTTTTCCTCCACATCTTTATTTTGATTAAAAGACTATTTTATATGATATAACAGGAATGGCCACATTTTCCTGGACATTTAATGACATTTAGTGGCTTAGTCTTGTCCACATTATCTGAAACCTCTGAATTCCGGAAACCTCTGAAATCCGAACTTTTTGACAAGTCCCATGGGTGTTCGGTTTTCAGAAGTTACACTGTACTAAAAAAAAATTAAAAAGGTAATTGTTATTGATTATGACTTACTGACTGATAAACAATTTATTTCATTTGATTTAGACATAAAGTTTCATTAGTCAAAAGCTTAACTTTTTAGCTCATCTGAGCTGGCTCAGTGTGAGCTTAGGATTGTTAAATGTCTGATGTTTGTCATTCTTTATTCTTTGTCCGTCCACATTTAGTTTGTTAACACTCTAGTGCTCACATCTTTGGCTCAATTTTCACTAAACTAAGTCAGGTTGTTTGTCCCAGTAATTGTTCAGACAAGTTGGAAGATGAGTCATGTCAGATGAAAAACTAGGTCACAGAAGCCAAAAATAGAAAAATCTTGTTAACAAACTAGTGGCTACTGTTTCAGACCAAATATCCTTAAAATTGGTCAGAAACTGCAGAAAGGTTGTTTTGATGATTTCTAGATCCGGTTTTACCTGGGATCAAAAACTAGGTCACACAGCCCACATATGGAAAAACCTTGTTAACACTCTACAGTCAAATATTTCTGAAAAGAGGAAATTGCTCTAACACTAGAGGAAGCATTTTCACCTTGTCACTAAGAGCTAAATAATCAGGCGAGTGATATAAGGGCCATAATGGCCCTCTTGTTTATATTTGTATGAAATTAATATAAAATTTGACACTTTATTTGCAGTTCTGAAAGCTGTGGAAACTGCTGGAGAAAAATATATGAAAACATCAGATGAGTATGAAACTTTTATGCGGGATCAACTCAGAAACACTAGATTCAGCAAACTAACAAAGGTGAGTCATATCACAGTCTAGAACTTTCACTAAGGGGGAGAAGGTGTGTAAGAGGTGGTAGTTCTGCAATATGGTATTATGAGGGTCCCGGTTAGAGTCAAAGTCAGTCTGCACATTTTTCTCACCTGGTGACATTTGGGGTCCAAGGTGGCGTTGTGACTGTATAAAGATTTAAGTAAATTCAAGTATTGTTATATGTTCATGGGTCTAGAACTGTTCATTAATTAGGGGAGAAGATTTGTTTCTAGCCAGATAAATCAGGTGGTAGAGCAGCGGAGCGATATTACAAGGGTGCAGCAAAGTCGGGTCCTTGTCAGGCTTCACATCTTTCTCACCTTGTGATAATCATCAATACTATTGTGTTATAATATTTTTATCAATACTATTGTGTTATAATACTTTTAAGGTATTTTGTTTTTACAATCATGGTGCATAGATATACTTTTACTTTCTTTTTTCTGATGTTTTTTTTTGAAAACAGATTTTTTTTAGTCTGTGCTATGCTGATGCACATTTGATATTTATAAGTAAAGGAAGCAAGTAAATAATGTAGAATGATATCTAATTTATGATGTTAATAGCCTTTGCCTTATAGATGATATGATTTTGTTTTTGATAGAGTGACAGAGAAGCTGAAGATGATGAATTGAGAAGAATGGATCACATATCCCATTTTATCCTCAGATTGGCTTACTGTAGATCGTAAGTGTGATGCAGATTTTTGTCTGGAAATTTTGTTTGTTTTAATTCTTTAGTACAAAAAAAAAGTCGCTTTTGTTCCAGACATAGGACTAAGATTATTATACCCCAGCACAACAAAGTTGTAAGGTGGGTATACTGGAATCAGCTTGTCCGTCCGGCTGTCCGTCAGTTTTTTCTTGTCCGCCCAATAACTTAAGATTCCTTTGACCCTTAGTCTTCATATTTGGCATGGAGGTTAGTCATGATTAGTAGATGACCCCTATTGATTTTGAGGTCACTACGTCAAAGGTCAAGGTCACAGGGGCCTTGACTTCAAAAAGCTTGTCTGCCCAATAACTTAAGATTCCTTTGACCTACAGTTGTCATATTTGGCATGGAGGTTAGTCATGATTAGTAGATGACCCCTTTTGATTTTGAGGTCACCAGGTCAAAGGTCAAGGTGACAGGGGCCTTGACTTCAAAAAGCTTGTCCGTTCAATAACTTAATATTCCTTTGACCCATAGTCTTCATATTTGGCATTGAGGTTAGTCATGATTAGTAGATGACCCCTATTGATTTTGAGGTCACCAGGTCAAAGGTCAAGGTCTTAGGGGCCTTGACTTCAAAAAGCTTGTCCGCCCAATAACTTAAGATTCCTTTGACCCATAGTCTTCATATTTGGCATTGAGGTTAGTCATGATTAGTAGATGACCCCTATTGACTTTGAGGTCACCAGGTCAAAGGTCAAGGTCACAGGGGCCTTGACTTCAAAAAGCTTGTCCGCCCAATAACTTAAGATTCCTTTGACCGACAGTCTTCATATTTGGCATAGAGGCTAGTCATGATAAGAAGATGACCCCTATTGATGTTGAGGTCACCAGGTCAAAGGTCAAGGTCACAGGGGCCTTGACTTCAAAAAGCTTGTCCGCCCAATAACTTAAGATTCCTTTGACCCACAGTCTTCATATTTGGAATGGAGGTTAGTCATGATTAGTAGATGACCCCTATTGATTTTGAGGTCAAAGGTCAAGGTCACAGGGACTTTGACTTCAAAAAGTTTGTCTGCCCAATAACTTTAGATTCCATTGACCCACAGTTTCATATTTGGCATGGATGTTGATCATGATTAGTAGATGACCCCTTTTGATTTTGAGGTCCCTGGATCAAAGGTCAAGGTCATATGGACTTTGACTTCAAAAAGTTTGTCCACCCATTAACTTAAGATTCCTTTGACCCACAGTCTTTATATTTGGCATGGATGACTATAAGGTGACCCCTATTGATTTTGAGGTCACTGGGTCAAAGGTCAAGGTCACAGGGACCTTGACAAAAAAAGCTTTTCTTCTCAATTGCTAAAGAATGTCCTGTCCGCAATGTATTGATTTTGACATTTTCACATTTGAAGCATGTAGAATACATAACTTAGCAATGCACTGGCTTAGTAACCTCAGATTTGGCAAGGAGGTTGTCCTTGAGCTCTAAATGGCCACTGTTGATTCTGACAAAGTGGTATGCGGGGGTATTCACGCCATGATAGTGGCAGTTCTAGTTGTCATAGATTTTTTTTGAATACTCAATTTTCTGTTACTTTTGTCTTAGAAGCTATTTATAAAGATAAGGTGCATATCAAGGAATTCTTTCCAGAGGGGTCACAAAATTCGTACAATGAAAAATGCATATTTGTTACTGATTGACACATAAGCCAAATCTGAAGGATCATGACCGTTTAACAAGGTATCTTTCATAAATTTTTATTATTTTATGTTTAGTGTTGGGAAAATAGGGTTTATCATATTCTTTCAGAGAGGAACTTAGACGCTGGTTTCTAACACAGGAAATGGATTTGTTTCGATTTAGATTCAAACTTACCTCAGATGAACACAAAAAAGAATTCCTGAAAGAAAACAATTTAAATTATGAATCGGTGAGTAAACATAGTTCTGTGTTTTTTTGGATCATTTAATATTAATTATTATATTTTCTGTTTTTATCGGACAAGAATTACATGTATTTGGTTTGTACATTTGTATAGTGTTTATAATAATTAGTAATCTAATGATTGCTAGCCACATGGGTTCAAACCCTGTCAGGGGCAAGTCATTATTTTCTTGAGCAAGAAACTTTACACTCATTGCTCAGTACTGTTTGGTTCCAACAGATTCGAAAGTTTGTCTATTATATAATCTTATAGCTTCCAGCACAATTGAACTAAAATAAATTCTGTATATTAACCAACAATGTATCAATAGATTTAATATTACACAGATTTCATCCGAGGAGAAGACTAAATACCAGGAACAATTAGCAGTTGTATCTAATAAAGCAGCTAGCTCTGTAGAGACAATAGAATACTTCAAGGTATGTACATTAACAGAAATATCATTGATTATTAATTTGAATCCAAACAATAACATTGAATAGAATTGATTTTTGAGAGGTGATGTATGTTTTCTTTGATTTGATAAAAAAAAATGTCTCAACTGGAATGTATCAATTTTCATAACAGTGTAGTGATGGTGATTTTTAATTTTTACCTTGAATTCATTCATGCTCATGACAAAAAGAATGCAAATTTTTTAAAAGACATTTTATATCTTGCTTTAAATTTAAAACGATATAATGTACATGTAGATATTTTCATTGAGAAAGTAATACAATATGGTATTACATTAAAATGATTCTTAAAGCATGTATAATTGAACTTATTTGATAAATTTACATAGATGTGTTTGTATTAAAAGAATATACTAATAGTAAATACATAAATGCTTTATATAACTACAGGTACATTTTACGGAGGTGTTAGACTTGGTACAGAAGAGGAAGGTTTACCTACATAAAGGGAAAGCATTTGTACCATATACAGAAATGATTTCATTGTTGATAGGTGTATATAGGGCCCATCTCTCACAAGCACTTGCTGTAAGTTAATTAATTTTTCTAATCCATTAATGTTTTAATACTGTAACCTTTTTTTCTGTAAAGAGGATTAATTTATCTGGTAAAATTTCTGGAAGTGGGATTTAAAAAAGTGTTAGTTTGGCAACTCTCTTGTGGTCCCAACATTGGTCTAGTTTTAAGGATATTTGATAAGAATGTAATTTTGAACATGTTAAATTGTTTAAACACAGAGATGTCACTTCCTACATAGGGGTGGGGTGGGGAAACACTAGAAAATGTAATTTATTTTCTGAAACCTACTTGGGTAAGAAAAATTGATAAATAAAATAAGTAAATATGAATGTCATCACAACTGTCTTGTTTCATTGTTGTTTTGTATTTTATAGATAACAGCAAGGGCGTTACCTCATTTGGAAGAAGATGAACGTTTGTTACCTATGTTGTGTGGTCTCAGTAAACGTTACATAGGCTCCGATTATAACCTGAAGAAAACTTCAGTTGGTCAAGTCACTGCAGATATGATCGAGATGGTAATATTGATTATATAATAGATACATACATGTATTTTTAAGTTAATTAGGCCATTATACTTCTAGACAGTAGTTTTTAAGCACAGTTAATGCATTTTAAGCAACTAGTTTGATTTCTTGGCCTATTAGCTGCAAAATTTTATGATTAAAGTATTTCATGTGGTAATTGTAGGATGTTTTTGAAAACTGTAAAATTTACTAGAATGATTGGTTGAGTTAAAATCATGTTATGTTTATATTTTGTGGTATTTATGGCATTAGTAAAATAGTTTCAGGTCTATAATAATCAATATGTATATACTACTTTTATGCTTTCATAAAGGAATAAGGTAAGTGTATCCCTGCATTAAAATGTTGCTGTCAGGCATAACAAGGTTTATTTAAAGCTAAAGTATACTTGAAGATACTAATTAACAAGAATTGAGTGTAGTGTGTATCATCAACCCTGTCCTTTTAAAAAGAAAACATAAAGTTAGTGGTTTTACTCAGGTACCCAAAGCTGCAAATATTGCCATATGATCTATACTATGTTAGTGTAAAACCAAACCAAAAAAGAAAAAGAAAATAAAAAGAAGATTAAGTTACATCGCAGATTACTTAATTAGTGTTTATTGAGATAATCACATTAAAGCTGAATTAATTAATTGTATTTAATTTTAAAGTGCAAATGTAATTCTTATTAATGGTGTTTTATAGACTGGACATAAATATAAATTATATGAACATTGACAACTTAGAAGATAAATCAGTTTAACAAAGTTGTATTTGTTTGACATGTAATGTCCTAAATTTCAGTTATTAAGCACTCTAATAACCAAACTATTGTCTGTTGGGATCTTGTGTGACAGAGTGGTTATGGTTCTTGACTTCAGTTCACTAGCTTTATTCTAGCTTGGTTAGTGAAGCTATCCAGCTAGCTTGTATAGTTCTTCTCGAGTGATTACTTAAGTTAGTCTGCATAGTGTGCACTCAAGGTTCCACTAATAACACTGTAAAATTGCCATACATGTATGAATTTTACCATATAATATAAATTTAAGATTTTAGATGTGACTATAAATTCCATCACATACCCAAAAAATGGTCTGATATGATTCCAAGGCATTTTGATATAATAGCCCCCTTTACAAATGATTTTTATGTACATCATGTATGGATGCTAAAGTAATTTCACACTAATAATAGTAATAATAATAATAATAATAGTAATAGTATATTCAAACTTACATTAAAGTAATTTCACACTAATTTTTTCAGCTTTCTAAGAAGTCTTTTCCGTTGTGTATGAGCCATCTACACACATCTATGCGACAGAATCATCATTTAAGACATGGAGGGCGACAACAGTATGGTCTGTTTCTGAAAGGTATTGGTTTGAGTCTGGAGGAGGCAATTAAATTCTGGAGGTCAGAGTTCACAAAACTTATAGATGTTGACAAGGTAACTAAAACTTCTGTGTTAAAATTAAAACTATCTCATGTGATCTCCTGGTATAAGACCCCCTTATATATGCTGCCTGGACTTTTTTTATAAATAATTTGAATAAATTTCTTACATCTTAAATTATTCCAAGGAACAGTAATAAGACACAAGTTAAGAATGAAATAACTAGACATTTAATATAACTGGTGTTGAAGTACATGTACAACATTCACATCACATTCATCAGCAAGGTTCAAAAGTTGACACACATTGAATGGGTCTTACTATATTTGGCAACATTTGAATAGTATTATACATGTGTACCTGTAGAGGTCATGTAATTGACCTTTTACAGGCAGTCATATCAAATCATGTTTGGAATATGTAAACAGAGCATTGGACAATATTACAGAAATAAAGTATTTCAAATATCTTATGCCAAATAATTTGGCAAAATAAAGCCTCAAGCAGGCTTTTGAACAAAGGTATCTGGTTTGTTTAATTTATATTAAAGTGTTTCATACATATCAATATTCAGTATAAATTAAATACTTAGTGCATCTGTATGTGTATACTAGTTATCAGAAATTAATAGCATAGTTTAACAATGAAATAAAACAGTTTGACTTATTTTCCAGTTTGACAAGCAGTATTTGTATAATATACGACATAACTATGGTAAAGAAGGGAAGAGAGCTGACTATACTCCGTACAGCTGTATGAAGATAATCATGTCTAATGCACCAGGTCCTGGTGATGCTCATGGTACGGTAAAAAATAGTTCTTAATGATTTTACTAAGTGTCACCAAGAAAGAAATACATTTTAGAGAAAAATCACATGAAACTAGGAAGTGCTTTGAAACTTAAAGAGTCTTATGTAGTAAATGTACCTAGAAAGTGTACGAATGGTCAGTGGTTCTACACAGGCCCTCACCTGGAATGATTCACAGAGGGACACAGTGGAGGTCTTACTCTGACAGTAATGAAGGAAAGTTGCCATATTACCTCAACATTATTACATGTACTATGACCTAAAGTCATTAGGTTTCTAGTCATGAATTAACCAATTGGCCATACCAACACTACTTTAAAAAAAATTGTTTGATTTAAATTGTTAAAATTGATATAAGATATGACAATATACAACTGTCAAATGATGAAATAGATATTTTATCATTACTCGAAATATGTTAATGTACATGTAACTTCTACAAGCATAAATGTTTTTATTTCTAGGTTGCCCATTCAAACATACAGATATGGATTTATTGAAACAGAAACTGAAAAATATGGCAGTAGGAGACAGTTACTTGGAAAAGGTTTGGTTTTAATAATTAGAGAATATTGTTGGAAAACAAAGACATTAATGAAAAAGTAAAATAGTGAGAAAAACTTTTGTAAAATTTAGTTGGTGGAATCATTTTTCCAACACAAATTTTCATAGATCAGAAGTACAAAATAAGGACATTGCAATTGGCTTATAGATGAAAATAATTCCAGAGTTTTTACATGGAAATAATAGAAAACAAAATATCATCTACGTTTAAAGTGAAAATAAATTCATATGAAAAAGGTACACTCCCGGCGGAAAATATTCAGAATAGTAATATTTTCATTTGATATTGTTAAATTTTGTTTAAAAACTAGTTTGTTTAAGCTTGATTGGGATGAGCTTGTAACATACTTTAACCACACTGAAGTCAGATTCCTTGAAGTTACCAGTAGTTGTGTCATTTGAGGGAACAGGATTGTAATCCTAGTAGGGCTTGAAACCACAATCTCTGTTTTGAGAGGCAGACACCTTTACCCACAAGGCCACCACTCCCCTTCATATATATAGTGTGTTAATAGACTTAACTCTGGAATAGAGAATATTTTGGAGTTTTCCCAGCTAATCCAGTCGTACAAACTTTTACAGTTACAGCTTTGAAACTAAGTGAAACAGGCTGACAAATTAATTGTGACAGGTAGTGCACCGTGAAGCTATAACAGTAAAAGTTTGTTTCTACAGGAGGAATAGCTTGGAAAAACCCACATTTGCTGAGTTCTGGATAACATCTATTGATCAATTAAAGGAATTATTTTTAGTAACATTTTTTCACATTTCAGATCATGTCAGAAGTAAAGGCAGGACGATATAATGTAGCTTGTACAAGATATTTTGAGGCAGCTCATAAACTACCTGTAGAGTACCAGGCTCAAGCTTTCAGTCATCCTAACCAGTACTTTGAAGAAAGCCAGAGAACATTGAATGGAGAAAACAAAAGTAACACTTTACAAAAACTATAAATATGAGAATTTCCAGTTATCCAGTTATTCCAGAATCACAAACAATTCCATGTGTTGTTCTATGTTAATCAAGTCAACCAGTTACCATGTTTTAACCTAATGTAGGAATTTGATACACAGTCATGCAATTTGCATAAAACTGTTAATACTGGAATAGCCATCTATCCTTTTATTTAAATCAATTTATTACCTAATGCCTTCTGTAAGTACTAATTCCATATTTACAACTGTTTTAATTGAACCGCTGAAATCCTTGACATGCGCATTGATGAAATGAACTGTTTACCAGTTAATATATTTAACTGTTACACCCCTATCGACATCATTTGGTACTTCTGTTAACGCCGCCTGCCACAGTTTGGTCTTCGAATGTTGCTCAGCTCATTTGTCTGTAGGATTTAGTTGTAAATAATTAAAACAGTTGTAAAAATCTTACTAGTATGCTGTTGCAATATATATTTTGGTTTAATAGCAAAGTATTACGTAATAAAACATTTATTTCATAAGTGTTTGTGGAACAGTAAACTTTTGTTTCTCTGTATCAGGGATGACATTTGGAACTGTTACCTTTGGCTGCTGGCAACAGTTCCAAATGTCATCCCTGTTACTTCGGGGCAACAGTTTTGACTATTGCACAAACACCCATGAAATAACTGTACACTATTTTTAAGTTGAGATATTGAAGTTCCATTAATTTCTTTTTATCTGGCCAAAGGGAGGTGCCATGTCCCTTGTCTATCTGTCTGTCTGTAAGCAGTGTCATGTATGCTGTATGTTTCTTGACCTGCTGGACCGCTGTTGATGTTACATGAATAAAAGACAAATTTCTTGTTTGTTGTTAAGAAAGTTTATATGAAATATAATGTTCATCAGTCTGAAAACTGTATATCTGTATTACTCATTGATTATCAAGTGATGTAAAACATGCTCCCACTTACATGATATTTATTCCAGCTTTATCTACAGGAACTACAACATGCTATACTTTTTATTCCAGCCTTATCTATAGGAACACCAAAAACACCTCGTTCCCAGGGGTCGTCACAGCAGTCCCAGGGAACACCAAAATCTCAACAATCCCAGGGAACACCAAAATCTCAGCAAGTTAGTAGTCAGTCAACATCACAAAATAATGGCCACGAGGATATGATGGATGATGACTTTGATATAACCGAGGCAGAAATGTCCATGCAAGCTGATAGATAAAAGATTGTCCTTATAGTGTTGAAAATATTAGCTATGACTCACCTTTGGGTATTGTTCAGAAATATCTGTTATAATTGATACTATAAGAAAAAAGTTTTGGATAAGTGAGAGAAATGGTTTTTTTAAATTTTTTTTTATTTTTCTAAAGACACACCCAGTTAGGTATCATCAAAAATTAGTGTTTGAAAAAGAGTGTAATAGTAATTTGTGCAATTTTGGATATTTCACTGATAATTTTTAGCTCGACTTTTTTTTTTTTTGAAAAAAAAGTAGAGGTATTGCTATAGTTGCGCGGCAACTTGTACCTGGATCATAACCTTTTTATTCCTTGGTGTATTGTCTTCATACTTGGCCACAACAACCCTTGGGACAAGACTTTTCAGTAGACCACCCTAACCTTGACCTTCATCCATAATGACATTGACCTTCAAGGTTAAAAGTCCAAATTTTGCTTGTTCATGCTGTTATTGGCTGTAACTTTGTTAATTTTGAATGGATTGTCTTCAAACTTGAACATAATATTCTTCAAGGATATCCCTTAAAAATAACCAGACAGACCTTGACCTTCACTCATAAATGACCTTGACTTTGAAGGTCAAATTATTGAAATTTTTATGTTTTGGCTATTGTTGGCTGTAACTTTGTTATTTTTGAATGGATTGTCTTCAAACTTGAACATAATAATCTTCAAGGATAACCCTTAAAAATAACCCAACAGACCTTGACCTTCACTCATTAATGACCTTGACTTTGTTTTGGCTGTAACTGGCTGTAACTGCTATTATTGAAGGGATCAACTTCATATTATAACAGAACATACTTAAGGACAAGACCTTGTTGTTTATCGTGACTTCACAACGTGACTCCGCCACGTGTATCTATTTATAGAATTTTCTATTTATAGAATTGTGTGTTTCTATTTATAGAATTTTCTATTTATAGAATTGCGTGTCTCTCTATATATATATATAAATTAGTATATTTATATATAAAAAATATATAGAAAAAACTAATGTGACAAGACAGAATGATTAATTTTATAAAAAGGAAACGTTAAGATTTTGTTCAAACATTTCTTTGTTTGCTTTTAGAGAAAGTAAAAAGTCGAGCGTTGCCCCTGCCCGGCGGTGGCTCTTGTTATGTATAAAATCAGTTAAGTGTGATTAAATTGATTGGTAATTTTATTGAAGTTTAAAATTTGAATTGAATCATTGAAGCAATTTGTTCTTCCTATATGTCAGGCAAGATTCTCTTTATTTTGCTTCTTGTATATTATTTTATTGAGTAAGCAGTGTAAAATTGTTTGTCTGCCATGAATATATATGTATATGCTTTGTTCAGGTACTACAATTGGGAGACATGCTTATAAATATAGTTTGCAATAATTTCTTGAATGTGAAAAGTTCAAATTATAAACATTTGTTTAAATTCATTGTGAAATGAATAAGTATATGAAAAATTCAGTTTTTCATAATTAACTAACCAACGATCAAGCTATAATATTAAGTTTATAGTTAATCTGTTCAGATAGTTTAAACAGTTATCTATACAATGTATTAAGATTATCATGCGCAAAAAACCACTCTGTGTTCAAATATATCAGTGCTAAATTGTATTTATATTTTGATTGCAAATAAATGTGATAAATATACAAACCTTGTCCACTATTTCATTTTTTGCAAGGCAATTCAGTCTGGGGAGCTTTCCTACATACCCCTGTGCAAGTAACTAAATGCAATATTTAATAAAATGGCACTTTTAAGTTCTCTTATCTAATAAACAAATTTGTTATTTTAGATTGCAACATATGAGCTTTTTAGAATAATTATATCTTATCCAAGAATCAATACTACACGTATTGCGCCAAATCCAGATTTTGGTTGAAGTTTTAGTGCAATAACTATTAGCAGTAACTGATTCTACTCATGCGACCAGTGTTTCTATGCTATCTTTATCATTACAAGGATTTACAACGGCCTTTAGATATTTATTTGCTACCATCACCCACATTTTACTTGGAAATTACTACAGGTATTTGCTTTCAATTCCTTGTTGGCTTTCACACCATGTATGGCAAGATTCAGAACTCTGGCTGGCATCTGTTTTTCAAATCTGGAGAATCTTGTCATTTTAAATACCTATAACTTGGGAGGCCCTCCAGTTTAAAGGGCAGCAACTGAACATGAAAATATTGTGGATTTTGGGAATTGGTCCTATGTTAAGAGTGGCAAATGCCGTACTTTAGTCCCTAGTCTAAACATGATGCTTCATGACAACTTCACAGCCAATATTAAGATTTCCATATACATAGAACAATAAGCCAATAATTATACTAAGGAAACAAAACTGTTTCATGAATTTTATGATACTTCTTGGATACAAAACTGTCGGATTATTCATTCAACACAAGATCAAAAGTTTAGATATTCTTGAACTCGGCTCTTACCCTCTCAAATTAATGTGAAAATGTATGCTACTACTGTTGAGCTAGTCAAGCCAGCATAGCCTTGCTGTCACAGAATACTATACTGTTGCTAGCTTTGATAGTAAGACTTGTATGGTAAGGATGAAATATTCTTTATATTTAATGGAAGAACCAGTTTTGTGAAGAGCATCTTCACAGTTGCCAATTAGATTTGATGTTCTTCATTTTGTAGACGTTTACCTTCCTACACTACTGCCTTTTTTGGTCTAATTTACACAGACTCGTACTTGTTGATAAAATGCTTGATTTACCCCAATTTCAGATATTGACTGTTTTTGTGACAGTCATGTTCATTATCCATGCATGCTTCAACTATTTCTCTGTCTATATAAGTAATCCCCATGGCGTGGCCAACTGATCTCCGGAAGCTCAACCTGTGTTCTTCCCATTGTCACTTTATAAGTAATATTTCTACCTAAAAGAATTTCTATCTGTTCAAAGATACAGAGCAGACAAAATTATGAAATTTACAAAAAATCACTGTGACCTTGGAGACTGCCTCCATGGTCAAGGGGTTAGAGTTGACGACTTCTAATGCAGTTACCTCTGGTGTGGGTTCAACCCCCGGGAGATGCTTTGGTAGTTTAGCACAGAGGAAGGTAGTACTGGTGTAACTCTCCAGGTGAGGAACGATGGTTAGGAAACTACCTGCCTATATGACTGAAATACTGTTTGGAAAAGACGTAAAATGAAACAAACTGTGACCTTGACCTGAGGAAGGTCAAACCTGCGCTGGCACTTCTCATAATGTTTAACATTTCTTTTATTGAACAGATTAAGTAGACACACACACTAGATGTTTCATGCTAAATATCTAAGTTCTAGCTCTTTGGGACTTTTAGAAGATGATTTTTTAAGGTTTTTCTTTCGGTTGTCATGGCGACAAAGAGTTCAATTCTTTGAACAATTTTCAAGATGTCTATCCAAGGAACATTCATGTGAAGTTTTAACCTATGTTAAGATTTCAAGAAAATATAAACAGAACACGATAATTTCTTTCAATAGCCCTGCTTTAAATCCTTATCAAAGTAATAGAAAACAAGAAATAGATACAGTAATGTTTATTCCATACTATACAAATAAACAATTTCATACACTTTAAAAAAAGCTATATACACGTTTTGTACAAGACAATAGCAAGACTCAAAACAAAACAATTTTACAGACATTAACACACACAAAAAAACTAACTTTGTCTAACAATAGTAGTAAAATCAAATGATTAATAATCAAATTTTACAAGATAAAATTAGTAATTCATATTTTTGCATCAATTAATTTGCATCTTTTATGGTAAAATATTTTAGTACACAAAGAATGGTAAATCCATGTACCAGTAACACATAAATGCCCATTTGTTTCGATAATTGTCAGAAAGCTGTTTTATAAATATGGTATCCACCAAAAAATATGATGTTCATCTACCAGAAAAAATGTGTTGTATATATTAGGTCAACATTTCAGCAACTGACAATAGATCAAATTAAACAATTCTTAACATAAAGGCAAAAAATCATTTGATGAACTGACACATCTGACAAATATTGCATTTTATATACATGTATATGTACATTTGAACAAAACAAACATGGCATGATAATAAAACAACTTATATTCGCAATTATTTCAATAAAAAATAAAATAAACAGCCATGTTTGTAAGACAGAAGTTCTTCATCTCAAATCTGTTGATATAAATTATGGTCGAAACACACTCCTATATTTTGAAATTTTTTCTTTATGGCATATACTATAGTACGCAATAATATCCTGGACATCTGGTATTGTTCCAGATGTCAAGTGACTGTCAGGTGTCCAGCAGATGGTTTTGTCCCAGTAAAAATAGAAATCTGAAATAACGTCCATACCAGCAAGTAATATTACAATTTTATGCCCTTTCAACTTCCAGTTAATATTAATAATTCAAGAACAGAACGATAGTTCACAGACAGTATACTAAGACACAGGAAATGTTAAACTTTCAGAAGTGTTTCTGTATGGCCAAATCTAATTAACAATTATCAGTAATAACTTAGATCAATTAAAAGAGTTGAGCACCTTCGGCTTGCTGGACAAGGGTTTCAACTTCTGTAATTAGTAACTAGCCAGCATAAATTGACTGCATTCTTGAATTGACTAAAATTTAGTGCCAGAACAAGGTGAAAATGACAGCTAACGGGAAGTTGTAATTAAGGATTATCTGCCCTAGTGATACGGCATCTCATGTTGATAATGAACAAGTGTATATCAAGATTGCAGTGAATAACTTTTGTACTTTCTCAGAAAATGAACTATAACCAAATAACTATTACAGGTCAGTGATCTTGACCTTTGACCTCAAAATCAATGCAACAAGTTTAAACTTTTAAATGCTTTTATTTTAGGGGAAAAACAAAATATTCTCAATTTCGAAGTTACTCGATTTATCACTTGGCAACCAATAAATTTCCAATAGGAAAAACAGGCAGTGGATGTACTTTAACATGTATTTCCATTTTGAGACAAAAAATAAAATAACAATGCGTCAGATATAAAAATACATATGAAAATGCAGAAATACAATCAAACAACTGAATTCACATACTCAAAACATGAATGTTATTTGTGAGTCACTATAATTTAACTGCATAAACTTCATATAATTCACATACATAGTAAGGATAATTCAGATTGTGTGAACAATTAAGATTACATTCATACATGTACATTTTAGCAGGGTTTCTGAAATTCTGTCCAGTGTTGGATTCTAGCACTATAACTAAGTAGTCTTTGTGTATACACTGTAACTAAAGTAACCATGGCAAGTCCACATAAAGAGCTGACCTTTTATCATGTTTATATATATAGCTTTAGTTTTATACCTTACAGTCCTTGTAACGATTCCAACCATCAATCTGTCCACAATACTTTATAACACAACTATTTTTCCGCCTTTATAGTAATTCCATCAATGGATTTCACTGTATTTCCTGAACTATCTAAATCAAGATCAATCGCTAATGTTGTTACAGCTTCCCCTGCATGAACACTTGCAAAGTGATTTTCTATTTCTCCAGATACCGAAGTAAACCATTGACATTTTGAACATTCAAAAATCTTTGCTTTCTGGTGCCCTAACATATGTAAAAGGTATTCTTTTTGTTTTTCAGATGTAAAGTCACAGTTAATACTGTGGCACATGTAGTATCTGGAGGGCTGACGAAGTTTCCTTGATATACAGTCCCTGTAAATGAACTCTTCCCCGTTGTGTTCATCTATTAAATGAAACTTCATATCTTTCCTGGAGTGATAAAGTTTTGATGTGGAACAATATAAACACTCGTAACTCTCTCCAGTTGCAACCGTAGCTGGTCTTCCTCTCCTTGATGGTGTAACACTTTTACTATTTGTCCCTAAAGATGCATTTGAGATTTTTACAAGCTCAACATTTGTTGCCGGAATTCCATGCTTATTCTTTGCATGGTTAATCAAATCATTAGCAAAAGATTCATTTACTGTGCATTTGTCTGAAGGACAAAACAAAGCATAGAAGTTTGGATTTTTTCTCTCTTGTTTTAAAATGTCTATTGCTTTAAGAGGTTCATTTTTGTGTTCCTCTTGTATATGTTGCCTCATTAACTTGGTCCCAAAATATATCTTTGAACAGTTCAGACACTTGTACAATGGTGGAGCTTTCATCGACTTGACTTTCATACGACATTTTAGAGCAGATTTTCTAGATGGACGACCCCTGCCTTTCCGAACTTCAGGATTTTCACTCTCTAAGTATTCAGCCATTGCCTTTTCATATTCAGCCGAAGGTACAAGTCCAGCATATTCATTTTCATCTGTTTCCTCATCATCAGCTTCATCAACTTCATTATCAGATTTATATTCTTCTGCTTCAGGTGATGGTGTTGCTTCTTCCTTCAACTTTTCTTGAGCTTGACGCCTTTTGCTCTGATCTGGAGAGGTCTTTTTATTCGGAGCTTCATCTTTAGTAACAGTTTCTTCTTTTTCTTTAGATTGTGAGGTAGTATCAGAAGGAGCTGCTGGTGTAGCAGGCTGTGTAATTTTCACATTCGAGTTGTGACGTTCAGATATATGCAACTCAAGATCACTACCTTCTCTAGTCTCCCAGAGACAGAAGTTACAAAAGTAAACCATGTCTCTTTTGTTCGACTTACTGGCTGGTATGTCTTTAATGATGCAGCTTTTGTCTCCATGGTTTGTCATCACATGCTTCTTTAATCTAGTGTTGTTATTGGAAATGTATGAGCAATAGATGCAAGCATATTCAGCTGACTTGTCAAGTTTTGTATCTTTCCCAAAAGTCATTCCATTTGCAGTCTTCTCAATGAATGTTTTAGTCAGCTCCAATGACTTCACCATCCCTGCATCTACATCTTTCCGCTCAGTTCCATCTAACCATGGGGTACATGTACTAATGTGTTCCAAATACTCGTCTGTTTCTTTTGTTCTGAATGAACATTTGGATTTAAGACAGAAGAAAATATAACGCTTCTGTCGAAGTTTGACTGCTTTCATATCAAGAGCATATATCACACACCCATTATGCCGTTGAAAAAGATGGCATCTGACTTTATCTATATTGGGATAACTAAAGTTACAATGAGCACATTTATATGATACTGGAATCTTTTTCTCTTCTTCTGTTTCCTCAATTCTTGGTGCCTCAACTTCTGCATTATCTATTTCAATACCTTTTGTTTTGACCATTGAAACAGGAGGTTTTGGAGGAGGGAGTGTTGTTGGAAGTGTCTTGTTAACAGGACTTTGAGATGAAGATGATGAGGCAGCTGCTGGTGATGAAGAAGATGAAGATGATGCTGATGGGAGATCACTTAATTTTACTTGAATAATTGTACTACCTCCTGATGGACCTGAAACCTGCTGGGCATCAGATGCTTTGATTTGACTAAGCTCTTCTTCAGATGACACAAGCATAGCAACATATTTGTGTGCCTTACCAGGGTGCTGAGCATTAAGATGTATTTTAAGAAATGACTGACTAAGTGTCACAAAGCCACAATATCCGCAGTTCCAACAGAGACCAGATGAAACTGTTACATTAGATGAAGTAGTGGATGTAGGAGCAGGATTTGGTTCTTGAGAAGGTATAGGTTTTGCCAGTGGCGATTGTTGTTTTGGTTGTAGTGATTGTTGTTTTGGTTGTAATGGTTGTTGTTTTGGTTGTACCTCTGGTTCTTTTGATGCGGTTATTGCAGCAGTTACAGCTTTGTGTCCACTCATAACACTTGAAATAACAGGCAGGCTATTACTTTCTGTTCTTGTAACTGCTTGTTTCTTAATAACACTTGGTGTGATAACTTTTAATACACTGGCAGAGGGTTGAGTAGAATCAACTTCTTCTACTTCCATATTCAGCGATTCTGTATCATCTATACGTGCCCTTTTTGAAGGAGGGGTTTCACTGGTCACATCTTGCTTTCTCTTCTTAAGTTCATTATTCTTCAAAAAGTCAGGCAAGTATGTGCAGTACTTGAGAGTGCTAGCTGTTTCAGAAAAACAATCATGCTCTGAGGTGCAATGGTGTATAACAGCAGCTCGTGAAAAAGACTGAAATTTGCAGTACTTGCAGTGAAATCTATGCTCCATCACATGCTGTAAAAGTGTGGCTTTATTCTCTGACTTGTAACTACAGAAATTGCACCAGTAATAGGTTATATCCATCTGAAGTGGCTGACCTTGAGGGGTCAACAATATGATCTTTGACCCTACAGCACACACAACGTCAGGGTCACAATTTGTTTTGTTAGCTTCATTTACACAAACTTCAACTAAAGCATCATTTATGTTTGGCATATCTTCCTTTGTACATGACTCTGTTGGATCCTTAGGTGTCAAAATACTACCATGGCTTTCAAAAACTTGCTCTGTGTTTTTAGGCTTAACAGTGCGTGGGTTAGGTTTGAATGCCTGCGCATCACTCTGTGCCAGCAGAACTTCATTCTGTACAAGTAAGTTCTCAACAACATTCTTCACAGTAAGCTCTTTGTTTTTATTCTCAACCATCTGTTTAAGAAGATCTCTTACACTCCTTGAAGCTCCGCCACCTTCATCATCTTCCTGAAAATATAGAATTATACATGATGAGTCTAGAATACATATATGTAATTTATCACTAGAATACTTTTGCAGTAAACATGCATGTACATTATAATGATTTTAAGTATTCAAGTACTTGTACCAACACAACCTTATCTTTGGAAACAGACAAATTCACCCAAATCTGGGCACAGTAAAGGATGAATGACTGACAACAAAATCACTAGACACAACCTTCAATGTCCTACTTTGAGATCTAAGTGTTCATGTTTCCAGCGGACAACCTTGTGTTTGTGACAGGATTTGTTACCAGACAAGCCCATCAATGTACCTTGATAAAATATTACTTTTAAAGTAATAAGTGTGATTTTGACCACTGAGCTACTAACTTGTTTTCACTCATCAAACATTGTTTTAATAACCACATATTTAAGCCAAGTTGAAATCTGTCAATGAATGCAAAGATATGCAAAATCAGTATTTTGTGACATTCAAGAAAGAACTTGATCATCTGCCTGTTGAAAATCCACCCCTTGAATGACAGTTATTGACAGGACCCAAACATATTTTCACATTTTTGGTTCGGTTTTACATCGCACCAACACAGTTCAGGTCTTATGGTGACTTTCCGGCTTTACTGGTAGAGGTGACCCTCTGTGAGTTATTTCAGGCACAAACTGGCACCTGAGTAGAACCACCAACCTTTCGTAAGCTAGCTGTATAGCTTTCTCACATGAAAGTATCTGAAGACATTTGTACGGCTCAAACCTACAGCAGTGAGAGCAATTAGCTTGAATTTTACCTTAACCACTCAGCCATGGATGCCCCTTACACAAACATTTATTCACTTTATATATTTCATATAAATATATTATATTTGAAGTCTAAGAGTGAATTTCACTATTGAGGAACACACTCAGTGTATTGAATGTGACACACTATCTCCATGTCCCACATCTTCTAACAAAATTGTTTCAAAATCCAATCAATTAATGAGAAAGTAATAAAACAAACATGACTATCTTTTCACAATTATATCATGACTTTTAATATTTAATTGTGTCCTTAACCTTTACAATGCTTGCCCGGCTCTTGGGCATAACACAACCTCTTCATGTTGCATATATTTTTTGCCTAGTATTTAAACATCAGTTAAAACTTTTAGACCAATAACGATCAAGATACCTGAACGAAAAATTTTCTTTTAAGTTAAGTGTGACTTTGGACTTTAATATACAGTCAAGACTGTAATGTGACTTTCCTTGGGACCTTCAGAAAAGAAGACATATGACAGGAAGTCTCTTAATACAATAACAAAGAAAATAATTTTTTAACCATCTATATACCATTGTGACTAAACATACATAAATGAGTGAAGGAATAATATCTAACCAATTGCAATAAAGCATAGTTTTTTATGTATATAAAGTCATTATTCAGTCAAAATGCAGGTGAAAGTTATACCAGTGACTTCCAATTATGATCAGAAAGACAAGTCTTAAATTAATTTAATACCTTTAGTGCTTTTAAAGACTGATGTTGCAAGCCGATCTAAGAGCCTGCTTAGTTTACAACTGGGAACAGGTAAAACTCCATTCTATAACTGACATATTCTATCAATGTAAAAAGTGGCATAACTCCTTAAAGTATTGCTTTTAGAATAATGCCCCTTGTCTGACAACTTTCCATTGTCATAATTATAAGGTATTTGAAGTTTCATGTTAATAGATTTGGTAATTTTAAAAACATTCTACTTTATAGGCAATTTGAACTAAATTGCAAGTAAAAAAGTGGCATAACTCCAAAAATATAGCTTTCAGAGGTATGCCTTGTTGCGACTTTCAAGTATTTCAAATTTCATGTTTATACTTTATAACATGGTTGAATAATGGGCTACATCAAAGTTTTTGCATTAGCAGAGGACGACAATAATGATGCAGCAATCATAATACATCAACTTTTTTTAACAGAAGTGATTGAAGTAAATCGCTATGTGTAATATATAATGTACTAAAAATTACCTCTGGCTTTTCCTCTGTATCTAATTCCGAATCAACTGGTTCTTGCTTCACTTCTGGTTGTACTGTTAATGCAAAAATATTTTGGTTAATGTCTAAGGTAAAATTTAGTTTATTTCAAAACCCATATTTTATCTAAATAAAACATACCATTAACAATATCCAAAATTAAGTGGAAAATTTGCAACAGTGATGTTGTTTTTTGCTTTGTTTTATTTACTATATATTTGGAACATATGATCAGAGTACACCCAACAATAAAAATATTCCATTATCCGAAATCTTAAAACCAAACCATTTTCCATGTTCCAAATTGACTCTCTTCCATAATGCATTGTATACTTTATAGAAACTATGATCCTCTGTATTTGTATATAAGTCAGAGATTAAAGACAATTTTATTCAACAATTTCCAACCTTTTCTTATCCCTTCATGAATTAATTGATATTCATATAAAATTCCCTGTCCTAGTATATATGTAATAAATTTGTAACTGATGAAGGCTTGAAATAAGCTGAAGCGTCACAATAAATACATAAAATTATTTCTGTCTTGTTTGTTTTTACCATAATATAAACTCTATTGAATAATATATCCTTTGTAAGAAGTCAGTATAACTGAAAGAGTGCTTATTTTAGAGATAAGGCAAGTTTCATCCTTTACACAGGGTGTGCAAGCATAACTGAAGTATTGCATGTTATGAATAAAACAATTTACAGTTACAGACAAAGCCTGACAAGGCAATCAGACGTCCGCAATAGTAGTCAAAATATTTTGACATGCCAAAGCTTGTTCTGGGGCAGAATCTCGCTTGTAGATGGTAAATATTGCCAATATATGATATACCACAATATCTCTGATTCTTGACTCATAGTATAGTACAATTAGTTGGACGGGGCAGTGATACCAGAAGAACCTACAATGTATTATCCATACATCCGGTGATTTGTTATAATAAATATAATGCTAACCATCATTAGTAAACACCTGGTAGCCTTCATACACACCAATCGATTTCTTCTGTTGACTTGCCATGATAATAGAGGCAATCTTCAGAACTTTTATTGTACTGTGCTGCCAACGTTACTGAAATATAAAACAAGAGCTGTCACAGGAGACAGCCAAGCTCGACTAATAAAATACTGGACGCAGTAAGGAGGACAAAACTATGAAAGAAAAACCAATTATGTATAATTATGTATTAAGTTATAGTAAAAAAATATCATTTGTTAACATAAATTCCAAGATCAAGGGGAATAATTCTAGAAATAGTCTCGCTAGAGTTATGAACCTTGTCACACAACATGTGTGTAATGATAAGAAATATATATTTGAAGTTTGAAGTAGATACCTTAAAAAGTAAAGAAGTTATAATATTTCTTAAAGAAAATCCTAAGTTCAAAGAAAGATAAATCTGTAAATATTGCTTCAAGAGTTACGAACATTGTCACATAAAATGTAATTGATGATAAGGAATAAGTATTTGAAGTTTGAGGTAGATACCTTTAAAACTAAAAAAGTTATAGTAAAAAATAACATTTTTCTAGTAAAAAAATCTAAGTTTATGGGGAGATAATTCTTGCAATATTAGTGCTAGAATTATGAACCTTGTCACATAAGATGTGGATGATGATAAGTTACATATATTTGAAGTATGAAATTGATCCCTTTAGAAATAAATAAGTAACAGTAAAAAACAATATTTTTTAAGGAAAATTCTAAGTTCAAGGGGAGATAAATCTGAAAATATTGGTGCTAGAGTTATGAACCTTGTCACATAAGATGGGGATGATGATAAGGTACATATATTTGAAGTATGGGGTTGATCCCTTAAGAAATAAAGAAGTAACAGTAAAAAATAGTATTTTTTAAGGAAAATTCTAAGTTCAAGGGGAGATAAATCTGAAAATATTGATGCTAGAGTTATGAACCTTGTCACATAAGATGTGGTTGATGATAAGGAACATATATTTGAAGTTTGAAGTTGATACCTTAGGAACTGACAAAGTGATAGTGAAAAATATTTTACTGCACCAAAACTTTAATCTGAAATCTGGACGCGGACGCCGACGCCGGGGCGAGTAGGACAGCTCTCCATATACTTCGTATAGTCGAGCTAAAAAATCACAAACAAAATTAAGTTTAAGTTAAAAAGTTTTAAAGCAAGACCACTTATTAAAATCACCCTATAAATCATCACAGTCAGAGCAACAGGTATTTGAGTATTTACGCAATTAATTTTATAAATACGCAATTGATTATTTAAGAATGCGTATCAAAACCCATTTCAAAAAATAAAATACGCAATTGTATTAATCAAAGGGCTGCAAGCTCTGTGGTATTTTCTGATCTTTGCAATCTAAATCATACTGACTATCTGTATTTATTTTCCTATATAAGTTTATTTTTATATACTATAATTCATCTTACGCAGCGACTGCGTTAAAAAAAAATTTCTATAACAGTTTGAGATTGATACATATGGAATTTTGCATGACTAGAGTTGCATCAAAAATCATTTTTTATGACAGCCACACTTTATCCTTGCATATCGTGGCTACTTCCTTAAAAAAGACACTTCAAAAAAAAGTTGCCTCGACTAGGATTTGAACCTTAGGCCTCTCACACCCTAAACGAGCGCGATACTCCTGCACCACGGTGAAGTAATACGTAATATGTAGCCTGAATAAAAACAAAAACATTGTAATTCTAAATTGAGAATTTCCATTTCGTGTTTGTAATCCTTATCAATTTCGAGGTATTTTGTTCAGGATAAACCTGTTTAACACTGATAAAAATAATTTAGCGAAACTCTTCTCGCCAAAACAGTCCAACATGTATATATTCCACTACTCGGCAGTCAGATTTATTTGTATACTACGCCCTGGAGTATTCAGTAATCGACATAGCTAAAAATAGCATTTTCATTGATTAAAATGATATTCATCCGCGAAATTTGTGATTGTAACCTCATATTTCTATTGACTAATCTGAACTTTCAATGCACTGTAATTCGTTAAATGCCTACATTAAAAATCATTCTGCCTTTTAAATTGCGGGTTTTTAAGCAGTTTTGAGTGAGAACTTCTTTGCGTTGTTAGGTCTGTTAGGAAATTTTGTGTTAGACCGTGGATGTTAGCTGTGTATTTACTGATCTTGCGATCAGAAAATACAAAAACCTGTGCGTATTGTCATTTTCATCACCGCAAAATTAATCTGTCGTACGCTCGTAGTTTTGGACAAATTATATCGATATGCATGCTATCCGAATATTCCCGAATCAATGCTAACTAATCAACGGTCTCCGGTCTTCGACGGTCTCCGGTCTCCAAAGACCGACTAAGCCATATCAATAAAGCATGAGACCGTCGATTTGTCTACTCAGGTTGACGGTCTTTACAGACTGGCAGAGACCGTTGATTTTGCAGAGACCGTCAATAAGTAGGTCCCAGCAGCGAGCTGTAGCAATATGGCGTTGTACAAAAGGGAAAATGATTTGAAATATAACAGTCGTAAGTAATAAAAAATCAGTCAGAAAAGGAACTTGTTAAAAATATTATGAAAAATAACATGAGCATTTTTTATAAAACATAAAACAATTGTGAAAAGTTCTAGTAATTTGTTAATCCTATTTTCTTTTTAAAACAGTTTAAATTTTATTGATATTGAAACCATAAAATTCATATCTTCATAATTGAATACCCAATTGATTTTGAAATCATAGGGTATCGAGTTTTGGAATACCCAATTAAATGGAGCCAATACCGGACAATTCCAAAGGAAATGATGGAGTAATACCCAATTCACTTTTAAAGCTTATATGTTGCTCTGTTAGTTTAACAACAAGCTCACTTTCAGCAACATTAAATCTTGTTTGTTATAAGCTTCAAGTTTTTCTAACTATTCATTATGTTGATAAAGGCATTTACAGATCACACCAGCGCAATACTACCCATTGTTTAGAAAGCATTCTCAGAATGTTTATAATGCATTGCATGTCAACTATGAAATGCCCTCACCTTGGATAATCACTGGTCAGAGCTTCCCCACCCCCACCCATTAATTCTGAAGTAAAATCAGTTGATCAGATTTTGTGAAAACAAAGCATGTTTTTCTTTAAATTATGAAATTTTAACTTTATTTTCCTTTAAATGATGAAAAAGAAAGCTCAAATTATATTGACATAATTTGTGAAAACAATTAACATCTGGTAATTACTTAAAGTACTTTTCCCCTAATTGTTAAAACACTTTGGAATTGAAAAATTGTAGGTGTGAAATGTCTTGCATGGCCTGGTAAAAAAATTTCCTTTAGCCATTTAACTACAAAATGTTTTTATCAATACCATAACATCTGGCCAAAATTTAATTTTTTTGGCTAAAATTATTCAAATTTTAACAAATGACTAATGACAGAGTGAGTCCTGTCTTGGGATAATTCATCCAACAATGAACATTACACACTTACTCTCTTGTATAAAACAGATATTACAGTGTCTGGCATTGCCTGACAGGTGTTGGCACAATGAATTAACTTAAGCATGAAGAAGTTATTTAACCCATTTTGTTTTATACAGTCTTCAAAATTAACGCCAGTCCGAGGCCCGAGGCCACTACATTTAGCATCGGTCCGGTGATTATTGCAAGGTTGGTGGTCCGACGGGCCAGTAGATTTTTGGCCATGAAAAAATATTATAAGAAAATTTTATCAAAATAATGAAGCAGGGTTCTCTAAAAGATTGATCTTTTTGCCTTTTTGTAAATGAAACCCATCAATTCTGTCCTAAATGTTTAAAATACAGCGAAAGATGTCTAAATTGTATTGAGTAATGAAGGCAGCCATTTTTTTTCTTGGATATTTTCCGTACCGCATCGTACAGTTACGGAAATTAAACCATTGTTTACTATGGTCATTACTTAGCTATGATTTTGTGATTATTGAGTTAAGTAAATATTTTGTGTGAAAGTGATTTGTTTGAAGCAAATTGCTTTGTTCATGTTCAATTCTAGTAAATTTTGCCTAAACATTTGGTCCTTATAAATTTTTCAAAGCTGTCAACATATGGCCCAAAATACAAGAAGTATTATGCTTCTTTCAAAATTATCAAGGGAAGCATGATAAAGTGTTTTCCTTTACCCATCAATTTATTACTATCTATGTATATGGACCGGCTAAAAATCACAAGGTCCAGTAAGATTTGAAATTTTACTGGCCCGAATGTCCTTTGCTTTTTAAAGTTTTTCGTGAAGACTGTTTATACTTTGCATATGTGACATATTTTTTAAAGCTACTATCCCACACATTGTAGTTTTTTAAATACATGTAAAATGTTATCAAAAGATAAAATTTGACCACAGACTCGTACACTTACATCGGACTAGATGATTAATAAATGTCTTGTCCGAAGAAAAAAACAAAAGGTTTTGCTATGTTAATGATGCTGTAATTTTAAAGCATTTTGTTTTGTAAATATTGACTTAAATTATACACACACCCATTAAGTAGATCTGTTGGTTGCAGGTAGAACAGTTGTGCGCTTTGCAAGTTTTTTTGGTTTTTTTATCCTGCAATTGATTGCTGCACAGTATATCATAGAAATTTATATAGTTTATGTCATATATTATGCTCAATAAACAAAGTTTAAAAGAAATATATTTATTAACTTTCTCGAAATACGATTTTTTATGTCATAAGCAAGATAGGGCATTTTAACCAGTCTGTTTAAACAACTCTTTTTAAATTACTTGCGATGTTGACGCACAGACATGTCTACGTACGTGAGGGCTTTGACATTTTATGGAAGATATATAGGTAACTTATTACTGTTACATTTTAATTTACTATTACACACTCATATTTTCGACTACTATCCAGAATAAGCTATGTCCGGTTACCATATCACTTTGTCCAATCGTAATTTTACGCAAACCAATTTTACAGCCGAATTGAATAGATCGTCCTGCAACTGAGTTGCTTACTGATCATTTAGAAAATGTAACATAATAAATTGTACGTTCCATATGTTCTTCAGAAAATTCAATAAATTGCTGAAGCAGTGGAAAGTAGGGGAGATAATTTACACTTGACTGGCGGGCACCGTCACTGAAACCCTTCATTTAAGATTTCACGACTGTATCATACAGAACAGCATGTCAATGACGGTTCAAATCAATACTATCCACAGTAATGTCATGTAGATTTTTTAGATCCATGCAAATATTAAAGTTAAAAGGGGCAATTAGTAACCTACGCTCTTCTTTTTCTCTTCTTTTTCTGTTGAACCCGCTCAGATTGACATCATACTGCTATGACGTCACAAAACAGGTGCGATACCAAGAGGCTCACAAAGGGTTTAAATAATTATACAACAGTTATCATAATTAAAACTGTAACGCACATAGCATCTGGCATTCTTATTGAACAGCTTTACATATTTTTATGCTGATGGTTTTCAACAGAATTATTAGCATTGAGATATACAAATTTATATCAATTGTGTTGCGTCCGTAGCCTAACGGTTTAAGAGTTGGCCTGCCCGTAGTCCTAGGGCACAGGGGGTGCAGGGGGATAATTTTATATCATTCCAAACGTAAATGTAATTCGATCATTGGCAACTAATGCAATTCATATATAACTTATGATAATGCTCGTATTTTTGTAGATCTTTTGCTACCTTTATTACACTATATACAATGTATATATAAGTTCAATAGTCCTTCTTTGGATTTACTACTGACAATTGAATGTCAAAGAGGCAAGCGGTTTTTAAAAATGGCAATTAATATATTGACTGAAGTCTACATGAATATAACGCTATAATTACTATGCATCATGTTCATATTATCTCATTCACTGCAATTGGATTGTTAAGTATTAACACGGATTTAAATTACAATGTCAATTAAAGTCCGTGGTATTAAACAGATGTTATATATATATATATATATAATTTATACTGCCCTTGTGTAATCGATCTCCAATTTTGTGCATTTCATCCCGTGTTTTTTAATACTTTTCGGAACCAACATCATGAACATTGAAAATATTTATATGAATACAGATATTCAGTAAATTAAGAGAGGAATCAGAGGTTACTTTCAATATAATGCAAATATGCATTACTTCTTTTTGAAATTTTGTATCCCCTCTCTGCTCCATATACATGTACAAAATATAAATGATGTTCGCAAAAAGTAGGTGGTATTATGTTATCATCATAAATAATATATATTTTACAAATGGTTATTCATGATCGAGAATGTGTCCATATGGCGTAGTATTCACTGCATGAACTGTAATTTGTTTGCAACTTCAAGACCCGAGGGCCGGTGGGTGGCACGTAGAATTTAAAGCTGCACGCCTCCAGATGAGCCAAACTATTTCATAAAAATCATTATTGAGAAAAATGCACTAATATTTTAAGAAAGGTAAAAACATTCAAGATCCAAGTGATATTTTATATATTATATGCGGTTTAAGACTGTTTTTGCAGTATTTATCACCATATTTCTACTGCGTTACGGTACTATGTTGGCCACTTTTTGGTAATTTTCTTGGATTGTCAGTGCCGATTGCAATATATAAATTGCTTTATTTGTTCAACTCACAATATTTTACTTTTAAATACATTTCCGAAATTTTCATGAAAATTAGCATCAATCTGCCGAGGCGTGCTGCTTTAATAATGAAAGAAATGGAAAAAAAACTTTATTAAATAATTCTGTTCGTTTCAAAATATGTGTTGTGTCGAATACAAATTCACAATCAAATTTGCAGTGTCATTGTTGGCTGGCCATGAGTATGATTGCTAGTTAGTTCTGTATACATTTGTAATTATGTCTTCTCCATTTGAATAAAGGAAACCACAGATAAACAGGAAAATTTTAAGAAAACTATATATATGCGCACATATTCAAACGGTAGCTCCCCTTTAAATTAACACTTTAAGAGCATGACTGGTGACTTGTCCAGGTTCCGTACTCGACAGCGCAAACTGCATTTAAAGTGCCTTAACCTGTCATTTTGAGATGCCAGGGTGCTGTTGTCGTCTCCAGCTGCTTCCATCTACACACGAAGGACAGAATTTACGGAAAAATCAGCCCCAATGAACCGGAAACGACAAGCCTAAAGTCTCGGACATGTGGTTAGTATAAGCAAACTTGAAACACACAAGAACGAGGAAACCCCCTTCGTCCGCTGCTAATCAAAATATTTCAATGAGACAAAGCTATAGATTATGAGATATTTTTGTTCTCGGTCAGAATCTCGCTTCTAGAGCGAAGGTATTGACCAAACACAATTATTTGTGGTCACGTTATCTGTGATTGGTATCCAAAGAAGTGGACATTCAAGTTGTACTGACGTTCGAGATGACCACTATGATGTTACTCGTAACCAGTGATACACTAGTATGTAATATACACATCCCTGTTGTAATGAAGCTTTCTGTAAAGCACTCACTGCAACCGAACTTCAACAACGAATCCGGTCAATGTATCAAATCAATCGGTTAATCTGTCTTTAAGTATATAAAGCTATCTGTGATAAATATTGGACCGATAATCTTATGGTGGATTTACTTAGAATGCATCTTTATTATTTAATATACATGAATATTGTAGGTGAATAGAATAAAAAGTTCCGTCTGCTATCTAAAATTGGATTAAATTGCACCATTCGCTTTGTATGCAATTTTCTACGATATCTATTTTAATTTAAACGTTTCTCAGTACATCAATGTAAACTAAATGACTGCCAACTGGTCAACCAAGGATATTATTTAAATTACTTTAAAGTGTCAAAAGGTTATGTAGTTTCTATTGGACGATTTTTTTAAAGATGTCAATTTATATCTTTTTTTAGCTAATGTGACCTGCTGATGCATCATACGAAAACATTATGTAACTTTTGTAGTTTGGTCCACTGTTGAAGAAATTGTGAACAGCAATGTAGGACAATCCTTATAGCCATGCCATCATAAAAATTCACACCTGAACACTGCTCAGGTGAACTAAAAAAATAATCACAACTAAAATGGAATGAAAAACACAGTAAGGGCAAAAAAGAAAAGAAAAAGAATACAAAATTGTAACAAAATTTATTTTTTTAATGCAAAAAATATTAATGATAAAGAATCATCATGATTTATGATACTTGTCTTGCTGACATTTTTATAAGAAATTGAGAGCAGTTTAATAACTAACACAAAATGGCAAATTCTTATCAAGTCTGGATCACTGGTCAACAATTTACAAATCTTCTTTCATAGTTTATGTGATTAATCTGAAAAACATAAATCAAACAGGCATCTGTCCATGTATATCCATATTCTAATTTGTTTATTCTACTTAAAGATCCTGTAACACATTATTTTTATGGTTTTATATACAAATTATGATGCTCAAATTAAGATTTAACGATATTGTAAGTTTCAAAAAACATTATTTATAAAGATTTTACCGAATTTAATATTTCATGTAAATAAAGGGAGGTAATTAGAATTTAGTTTTCTATAAATTCTAAGTCAATTTTTCCAATAAAAAATGAATGCATATAATTTAATGACTACCTTAAATATGTACAAATATTTGCAATACATATTTTACATATTCTTCCATGTTTGAAAATTGACAAGTTTACATAATTACATACATATATAATTCAATGAAGAGTAGTATGCAATCTCAATTACAAAACATACAGCATCTCAGCAAATAGTAGTCTGGTAAGTTAGCACTGACATGTCTTGTATTATTCTGGTAGCAAATGCAAGTCACTTTTCACAGGTATCATCCAGATTTAAGTTTTAACGAAAGATAATGTGTACCTTTAAATTTTTTTTTCTTTATTCCTCCCTTAAATTTTTCTTATCATAATGGATTATACATAAACAAATGGTAAATACAAATTATATATGTGATACAAAATAGCACCTTATTGTTCTGCGTTACATATGTAAGGAGAACTTGACATTCAAGAGTGGTTAAAATAAAATACAGCCTTAATGGTTATATATAAGAAAATATTATGAATCACTCTGCTTTATTTGGTTATAAGTTCATGGTATGAAAACAATTTTTGATTTGCATCTTATCAAGTATAACCCCCAACTAGCTGTTTACCTGGTATCAGCACATAAGTCTTCTAAATGTACCATAAGAAGCTTAGTTATATCTAAATTCATCCAATGATGATAGCATTAATAACTTTTTACAACAATCATCAATGTATTTTTATGAAATATTACATTTTAAGTCTTAATGTGACCTTGACCTTTAAACTTTGCTCTCACTCATATTCGCAATCCATCCATTCATGAAACATCTACCAAGAATCATGACTTAACATACAAGTGTGGCCTTGACCTTTAAGCTGGAAACCTAATTCTTGCCTATGACATGTGATCTTAATGAACAGGGAAGTTATTTTAAAATACATCCAGAAACGATGATGGGACACAACCATTTATGCCTTTTTATGGAAAAGTTGTTAGAAGTCTTAGAGTAACTTTGACCTTTGACCTATAAATTGGGTCTTGCATGCATCACATCATCACAATTGGCTACATATTTATGCAAACTATTTCAATATCAATCGATGAATAACAAAGTTATGGACCTGGCAAAAAGCAGAGCAGACAGAAATTCATCTGTCAAGACAATTAAAAAATATATGCCACCCACATACCTTTTGGGGTATAACAAAAATGTTACAAAATAATGTCAAAACTGAAATAAATGCTGAACTAATAACAAATTAATAATATCATCTAAGAAGTACAAACTTTTTACATTGAACACAATCTTCATGTCTTTTCACGAACACATCACTATTGTTTTTTTTTAAACAAAGACATGTCCATCTCATGCTTAATTTTCCTCAAATAAACTGTTCTTAACACCAAATTAGCTTTCTGACAGTAAGCACAAATTTGTTGTACAATATCAGTATGTCCTGTAAGAACATGGAACAGTCCAATTAACAAGAAGGTGGTCCCTCTGACATATTATATGAGCTGATATATCAGTCTTCAAGTCTGGCCCTAAGTTGTAAGAATTTCTTTAGGTTCCAGTCTTTATGATTTAACATATCAGGTCCATTGTATACACATAACACAGTCATGTTCTTAGCATACTCCAGGTCTGGCAGCAACTGTAAAATAAAAATGATAACAAATCATAACATGTTGTACAATGGAACCTCTGAAGAGCGACCCTCTTTAAAGCAATCACCTCTTTACAACAACAGTTTAAAATTTTCCAAATTAAAGACTTCAAAATAGATTTAACTGAACGGTTCAACCTCTCTAAAGCTAACACTCTTAATCTTATCAACAACCAAAATAGTTGCCTCCCAAAGGGCATTTCTCTGCAGAAGTTGTACTATTGTTTCAAATCATTATAGCTTTACTTAATATATGTCTGAACAGATTTTTTTTCCAGATCACTGACATTAAACCAACAAACTTAATACAGCTTAATAACAAACGGGCGTTTTAAAAATGCAAAGATAAAATATCTAAGTTTTGCTGAATTTTGTCTTTACATATTGAACTAGTTTAGTGCAACTTTCAACAAGTATTGTCCTAAAAGCTTACATAAATTTCCTAACTTTGGAGGAAAAACAAAGCAAAACAAACTGACACTCAGTTGCTTAAGATGATACATGTAAGAACTAATATCATATTTTATTTAAGAAAATACCTATGATCAATTTTAACACTGAAAAAAATCTTGAAATAAAAGTCATTTACAAATTAGCAATGAGTAACATGTTTACCTTTGGAGTGAGTAGGAAATACTGTGAGGCAGACTTATTACAAACTGTATTTACTACTAATTCAAACACCTTCCTTTCGTTGTGTGGATCCATGCCCTATAAAATGTTGCAAAATTGATAGAATTTGTACCAATAAATATTATGCAGTTATATGATTTTCAAAGACAAATTACTTTTTTTACAACAGTTACATATTGTAAAACTGGCATTTAACCAAATATTTTCTCCTTATAATACTGTATGTTTGTAATGTCGCTTTTCATTGGATAGTCATGGCATGTTTATGGTTTTATGTACATGGTTGCTGTGGATTTATGAAGAAATCTTATTTTTTCTCAAAACAAAAAGAAGCATGCTGTATTATAAATGTGTTATAAATATTTCTGACAGGTTACATGGCTGTATATAAATGGTTGTTTGCAATGTAACAGTCACCTAACGGCTCGGGTTATATTTCTAAACAACCGTTTATAAAGGTCCACATAACCTGTCAAAAATATTTATTACTAATATGAAAGATTTTGCTGCATTTGGATTAAACAAAAAACTTAGAAGATAAAGGCCAAATCTGAGATCACAATACTAAATATTAATCTACGTTTTTCAATTTGAAAATAGTACTCCAATACCAAAAACTTTTTCTGTCTGTCAGGCAAATAAAAATTTAAGTCTTTGAAAAGGAATCAATAAGACAAAGTAAACCTCTGAGTCAATGAAAGTTAAATATTTTCAAGATCAAAACATAATAGTAAGGATCTTGATTATCACATACCTGATTAATTTCATCGACACATCTGAAAGGACATTTGGCAAGTTCCTGTAAGGACATCATATACAAGACTGTTGTCACACTTCGCTCACCACCACTCTGATGGAAGGGAGACAACTCCCTAAGTTGTTCAGAGTCACGGAACTTTACTCTGATACGTACACCATACTTGCTGTACTCTTCCTATAAAAAAAAACGAGCTTTCTTCTTTATTCTAATCCCAAATTAGCTGGTTATTTTTTTCTATTTTTTTTTTCTATTGTTCTTTTTTTTTTACAGAAAATGTCTTAGTTGAAACATAACATGTAATTGTAAGAAACCAATCACCTAAGTTTTAAATGCAGAATGAGGACAATAGATTTATCAACCAGTAACAAGATTATCGTTTCAAAAATAATAAAACAATGAAGATGATTGGTAAAAACAGGAAAAATATTGGCAGCTACATTTACACCCCTTGTTGTGACATTGTTACCGGTGTATAATGAAAATTTAGAGTACATTATATATATCCATTTGGAGGTTATCAAATATTCTTTATATTAAAAGTCCATTATGCCCCAGAAATGCTTTAATCGTTATTTTTCAAAAGCTTTTTTGTTTTTGGTGTCCTGTTACAGTTTCCAAAAAGTTACTCTTGGCCAAAAGCATTAACCATCTTTTGTTTCGGTTGCCTTTCTGGCAAATAGTTCAATAACAGTGATTTAGTATTTTGTATTGAAGTAAAAATATGACTTTGTTTACATTTTGCTGCATTTATGACAAATAATTTCACATTCAGGATTACTTTCTTCAGTTAATAAACATCAAATCTTGCTCTAAAACCATTTTTAAACATTATAAAGAAGGAAAAATATTTTCAATTCTGAGGCATGTGATTTAAAAGCGCAATATAATTATCATACAAATAAAACATACAGGATTATCTGGAATGTGAAGATCAACTTCTCCTACACATTTTAGACAACTAAAGAAGTGACTAAAACTTTTGTTTATTCTTCCAATCAACTCTTGTAGTGGGTCTAACCATTGTGATTTGGCTTCCTCTATAGTTGCCTGTATAAATATAAGACAAACGTAGAAACTTTTTGCACAGAGTTTCTATATTATTGACAACAACTTAAATTTTGAATGACACATATTCTTTAATCACCATTCATCACAAACAATCAAGTGCATAAGCTTCTAGGAGTACAACATGACAGCATTAGCTATACTAATATATATTAGTTTGAAAGAAAAAAATACATTGTAAACATCATGTACATGTATTGTCAGTGTATTGTCTATCAACACAGAATTTTAGAAATATCATATTATTTTATAGTGACAAATATAGTGAGCCTAAACATGAGCAATAAATATTTTAAACAATTTATTGAAAAATCTAATGATAACTTTTATTAAACACACACATTTTAACTGAAGTCTTAAATCATATCATCTTTGACTTTACAAACAAATATAAACAACCAGTTATTAGAAATATCTGCTTTCTAACCTTGTTTAACTTACAGTATGACAAACAAATATCAAATTTCCTAATGCATTTTTATTTCCATTTATTGTATGAATTTCTGTTAATTACACCAACATTCAACCAATATACTGCTTCTATCAAATAATACATGATTTACATTGGAATTTACTGTAATATCATTATTATTCGTGGGGCACTAATTTTCATCATTTTTGTGGCTAGGTCAATCCATGAATTTAAGATCCAACGAAATTTCATTTAAGCTGCTGTAAGATTATTTTTCATCACATTATTTCCATCTTTTTTTTAAAGTACCCATGAAATTGTTCTTTGAGACAAAAACACGAAATTTCATGTCCATGAAATTAAGTGAATTCACAGTATTGCTTATATTACATGACAATATAAACCATCATGCTAGTACTATACCTGATGACTATCTCTCTCCTGTTCTTTATTTGCTAGCTGTGTTTCTAGTCTCTCTATCTCTTCTTTACGTCTCTTAAACTCCCTAACAACCTGTATCATAACATGAATATATTCTCACTTTAATGCAACAATAATAATAACCAAATGATACAATAATTCACTCTACAACAAAACCAATAAATCTGACCAAATGCGCAACCCTTCAATCTTCCTACAGCATAACCTTTCAAACTTTTAATATTTCATTAATTTTTTAAAGCAAAAATCCTCTAGTAGTTAACAGCAAAACTCCTAAACCTTATAACAAGAGGGCCATGATGGCCCTAGATGGCTCACCTGAATTATCAAACTCATCCAAACAATTACCTAGACAAGCATTCTGACCAAGTCTCATGACAGGTGAGTCAAAAATGTGACCACTACAGTGTTAACAAGGATTATCCATATTTGAGCAGTGCGACCTAGTTTTTTACCCAGGTGACACATATTCAAACTTGACCTAGAAATCATCAAAACAAACTTTCAGACCAATTTCCAGGATACTTGGATCAAAACAGTAGCAACTAGAGTGTTAACAAGATTTTTCTATTTTTAGCTCTGGTGACCTAGTTTCACATGCGATTTCGAACTAATCCAAGCAATTACCTAGACAAGCATTCTGACCAAGTTTGATGATAATGGAGTCAAAAATGTGACCACTAGAATGTTAACAAGGTTTTTCCATATTTGGGCGGTGTGACCTAGTTTTTCATCCAAGATGACCCATGTTCGATCTTGACTTAGAAATCATCAAAACAAACTTTCAGACCAATTAACAGAATATTTGGATCACAACAGTAGCCACTAGAGTGTTAACAAGATTTTTCTATTTTTAGCTCCTGTGACCTAGTTTTTCATCCGAGATGTCCCATGTTCGATTTATTCCCAGCAATGACCTAGACAAGTTTCCTGACCAAGTTTGATGACAATTGAGTCAAAATTGTGACCACTAGAATGTTAACAAGGTTTTTCTATTTTTAGCTCCTGTGACCTAGTTTTTCATCCGAGATGACCCATGTTCGAACTCATCCGAGTTATTACCTAGACAAGCATCTTGATCAAGTTTGATGATGATTGATGCAAAAATGTAACCGCTAAAGTGTTAACAAGGTTTTTCTATTTTTAGCTCCGGTGACCTACTTTTTCATCCGAGATGACCCATGTTCGAACTCATCCAAGCTATCAACTAGATAAGCATCCTGACCAAGTTTGATGATGATTGATGCAAAAATATGACCGCTAGAGTGTTAACAAGGTTTTTCTATTTATAGCTCCGGTGACCTAGTTTTTCATCCGAGATGACCCATATTCGAACTCATCCGAGCTATTATCTAAACAAGCATCCTGACAAAGTTTGATGATGATTGGGTCAAAAATGTGACCACTAGAGTGGTCACAAGGTTTTTCTATTTTTAGCTCCTGTGACCTAGTTTTTCATCAGAGATGACCCATGTTCGAACTCATCCAAGCAATTGACTAGACAAGCATTCTGACCAAGTTTGATGATGATTGGTTCAAAAATGTGACCACTAGAGTGTTCACAAGGTTTTTCTATTTATAGCTCCTGTGACCTACTTTTTCATCCGAGATGACCCATGTTCGAACTCATCCGAGCTATCACCTAGACAAACATCCTGACCAAGTTTGATTAAGATTGGGTCAAAAATGTGACCTCTAGAGTGTTCACAAGGTTTTTCTATTTTTAGCTCTTGTGACCTAGTTTTTCATCTGAGATGACCCATGTTCGAACTCATCCGAGCTTTCAACTAGATAAGCATCCTGACCAAGTTTGATGATGATTGAGGCAAAAATGCGACCGCTAGAGTGTTCACAAGCAATTGTGGACGGCCGGACGGACGACGGACATTCATCGATCCTAAAAGCTCACCCTGAGCAAGCTCAGGTGAGCTAAAAAGCTTTAAATTTTGATCTACTAACAGCTTAACCTTAAATCTTCAACCAATCAATATCAAAGTCAATGTGACATTGATCTTTGGTTTACTAAATCCAAAACAAGTACATGTATCTTTCTAAATTTTAGGGCAATCATTTTGTTAAGTTTGAAGGCTATAAGTCAAATGGTATTGATTACTGAACAGGACATGTATGTTTACAACAAGAGCACCCATATGGAATCTGTCTATTTCATCTTTATTAAGCAGTGAGCTGAAAATGTTTTTGGTAACAAGACCACTAGTAAACCTCTTCATTTTTGAAGTATCTGCATATTTTTTAAATATGTTCTCTGAATACCCTTTTCATGGAGGAGTAAGCAATTAGGTCAGAGGAATGAATTTTAAAATAACCATGAATATGACTTTTCATTAGAGATCAATAAACTGTTCTGTATATTTTCACATTGCAGCAAAATCTGAATATTAGCAAAAATAATGACTTGTCTATGTCACTATGTACCAGTGATAAGTCAGGCCAACATGAACATCTATACTGACTGCCAAGACTGTATACTATCTAAGTAGAGTAAAGGTAAAACTTACTCGTTCATCTGTCTGTACTGTACAGTCTGCTCTAACTTGGTGCTCATGTATACAGTTATCTATCTCCTCTATTGTGTCAGGTAGACCCGCAAATGTCTGAAATATTGGTGTAGAAACATTAACATCTTGAAGTTATTAGTTTGAATTCAAAACTTGTAGACAATAAACTTGTAAATAACAATCTATTGCATAAAATGTATTAATCACTGTATGGCCTCTACAATGTCATACTTCAGTGCGAGTTCATTCGAAACTGTGTACAGTCCCCAAGTGAAAGAATGTGTGTCCTCTGAAATACTTGTACCATATAAACATAGTTCATGTGAAAAAGCAACATTAAACTTTGCATACATGAATAAAAGGCCTTCCACTGAGGTTTATAACATGATGGGACTGGGAATATTTTTACAAGATTAGTGTACCTTTGACAAAGGTCTCATTGTGAAAAAAAAAATGCAAATTTTCAGACCATTCCCTGTCCCAGTTTTCCTAGAATAGTAATACATTTCCTGTAAATGTTCAAAAAATAAAAAACATTGTAACAGTTTTCCCTCAAATTGTGCTAAGAATTGCACAAAAATGATTTCATATTTAACTTTTTTCAATCTATTTCTTTACCATCTTTTGTAGATTTTTCCATTTTAGTGTGTTACTTGATCTTTGTAAGAATTTCAAATTTGTGTTATTAAGCTTCTTGACCACAGTGGATTTCCTTTAAGGTTTTCATACAAAAAATAATGTAAGTTCCACATATTTCTTCAATTCAAAGAAGATCTATTTTAAAGGGTAAATACCTGAAAATACGAAATAAATTCTAAGTAACTCATTTATGATATGGGAGAATAGATTTAAGACTTAACCTGCTTGAACTGGACAGTGATTATCATTTGTCACTACTATAGAGCATGGCCAGTCAGTACTGCAACTCTGATCATGTTCTATACTGTTGTGTTAGTAAGATATTGTTGCTTTTTAGACTAAACTTTAACTTTGAATGGACTGTTCCAAATTCAAAGATGGGCAAATCCATTACACAAATTAAGTAGATTATGGGTTTTAAAGTGTAATAAGAAACATACTGATTTTAAACTAGGAGATACTTCTTCATCAGGTCCAGTACCGCTGGCTCTCTTTGCTGCCAATAAAAGTCTTTTGGCTACTTCTTTACAATTACGTAACTTCTCCTTGATTCTCTCAAATTCTGACTACAAATGATCAAAATAGAAATAAACAAATCAACAATCAAAGTCAATCATAGAATCATCTTCAGTAAAATAAGACAGTTACCTTTATTCTAGAGAAGATATTAACAAAAATTTCTTATCCTTCCATTGTGAAACCAGATAAGCTACAGAAAAAAAGTTGAGTGTAACTAGTAACTCAAGCATATAGATTAAAACAATCCCTAGGTTTATCTCTCCTATCGCTGTTCAATTGATAAGAAACTAATAATACCCCATACTAATTTGATCTGTTAGAATTTAAAACATCAATTCATGAAAGATTTACATCATCAAAACACGTTTAGTATTATGACTTGAAATGATTATACATCTTAACAGTGGGTATATTTCCAATAATAAATATGTGTCCCAGCAGCTAAAACATTTTCATAGTTTGTACATGGTGCTTCAGCATCAAATGACTTTATTCTTTTTTTAATGATTCCCACATTGCCTTTGATGATATTTTGGTAATTCGCTGAGTATTTGTGACCTGAGGCAAGTTTGGTGTAAAAATGTTACCTTTGTAAGTCTTCCTATCTGACACGACTTAATGCTGCACCAGGTAATGTAACAAAATATGAGAATTTACCTTATCTAAGATAAGTCTATGTGATCTCAGTTGGGTACATGCTTGCTAAGTGGCTTTGCTGTTTCTGCTAAATATGCACCAGTGAATTCTTTTAAATTTCATTTTGGAAAAATTGAGTTTAATAGTCAGCTGTTTTTCACTGCTGATTTAGAAATCATATGTAATTGCTTGCCAGAAGTTCAGAAATTGGTCATTACTAGTAATTAGTTATCCAGGAAAGCCTGTAGAATGGCCGCTGAGATTTGACCAAAAATGTGTTAAAATTGGGGTTAAAACCTGACAAACAAAAGTACCTGCATAAACTTCAGATGAGTATTTAATACTTAAGATATATTATAGATATATATACATGTATTACCCTCAGATAAGTATATAAATTACCTCAGCTGATTGTAGAGTTTGAGACTGTTCTCTGATATCTGCCTCTAGTCTGTTATATTCTCTAATAGTTTCAGCATGACGTAAACTCATCCTTACTTTCTCTGTACTCGCTTTCACACATTTCTGTAAATAAACATAACAGTAAAATATGCTACATAATATATGTTCTATATTCTACATCTATATACTTCCATGTAGTTAATTGTTTTTCAAAGTCACATCAACACAATAAAGGTCATGTAGCGACTTTTCAGCTTAACATGTGGAGGAAGAATAAGGGGTAGAACTATCGACCTTCTGTACATGTAAGTCAGCTTGACAGCTTCTTCACATGAATAAATCTGAATTCTCGGGCAGGATTCAAACCAACAGTAATGAGCATTATGTGACTATGTTAGCAACCTTCAACGCTGGCCACATAGCATATGAATAGAAAATAAATATTATACAGTTAATGAAATCATCTTGAATAACAATTATTGTGGCAGATCTTAATTACAACAATCAGAGCAACAGATAAGCTTTAAAAGTGAATTGAGTATTACTCCATCGTTTCCTTTGGAATTGGGTATTGGCTCCATTTAATTGGGTATTCAAAAACTCGATACTCTTCGATTTCAAGATCAATTGGGTATTCAATTATGAAGATATGAATTTTATGGTTTCAATATCAATAAAATTAAATTTAGATATCGTAACTGTTTTGATTAACAGTTTACTAGAACTTTTCACAATTGTTTTATTTTTGATATAAAATGCTCATGTTATATTCCATAATATTTTTAACAAGTTCGTTTTCTGACTGATTTTTTATTATTTGCGACTGTTTTGTTTCAAATCATTTTCCCTTCTGTATGACGCCATATTGCTTTTCAAAGCGTCTATTGATACAGCTGGGACCTACTTATTGACGGTCTCCGCAAAAAACCGGTCTCTGCCGGTCTGTAAAGACCGTCAACCTGAGTAGACAAATCGACGGTCTCATGCTTAGTCGGTCTTTGGAGACCGGGGACCGTCAAAGACCGGAGACCGTTGATTAGTTGGCATTGATTCGGGAATATTCGGATATCATGCATATCGATATAATTTGTCCAAAACAACGAATGTACGACAGATTAATTTTGCGGTGATGAAAATGAACATACGCACAGGTTTTTAAGACAATTGCGTATTTTAATTTTTTTAATGGGTTTTGATACGCATTCTTAAAAAATCATTGTGTATTTTATTAAATTAATTGCGTAAATACGCAAATACGCACCTTATCTGTTGCTCTGAACAATGGTCATTAGAAAGTAACAAATGTCCTTGAATGAAGCTTTCTTTTTCTCAAAATAATAACAAACAAGTTATGAGAACTAAAATACAAAAAAGTTTAAAGATGTATTATTTGCTATTCTATATACTATTATTATTTATACCTGTGTATTTTCAAGATATTGCTGAAGATTCTTAAACTTTTTTGCATTAATGTCCTGAAATTTTTTCGCCACTTTTTTTTCCTCTGCATCTAAGTCTATTGCCTCCCCTTCAACATTTTGAATCCTAAAATGTCATACAACATAAAAATTATTTATCAAGTATTAATTTTCAAGAATATATGGTATTAAAAGACATTTAGTTATCTATTTTACAAGATACATGAATGTATTTAGCATTAATTTATTAAACATAGGTTGTGTATTACTGTGAAATCATTATTATTTGTGGAGGATTAATTTTCGTGGATTTCATGCAAAAAATTAAGTGCTGACAACAAATTGTGTCCAAGATAGTGTATAGTATGATCAGTCTGCAGTTGCATAAATTATTCGTATTCTGTTGCTTTATGGATGTTTAATCAATGATTAATGTAATGCACCAGAAACTAACCGGACTGATGAGTATAAAATATTTTCCCTATAATCAATGCACATTTTTTTTTAGTATATTTCACAGCAACAGGTGCACATCTGATAAACCTTATTTTCCATACACAGGTCCGTTTTTTTTCTCTCTCTCAAAGTCATAAAATATATCCAGACAAATTAAAAGTTCAATTACTATGAACTACAAACTTACGTTTGCTTCTTAGCACTTATCTGTGACTGGAGTTTCTTTTTAATGTCTTTTCTTGTCATCAAACTTTTCTGAAAATAATTATCAAATTTATTAAATTATCTGGGTAATTGTATCTGACAAGCAAAATATTAACCGAAAAAGTACAAATAATGGTAAAATTTACGTCATTTTATCTGATTACTAGAAGACTACATACAAGTCATTGTGGTTTCTTGAAATAAACTAAGATCTCTTTTTGATGAGAAACACTTCTTCCTCAGGAAAAGAGATTTCTTCTATTTCATTAAGCTTTATTTTGATAGTTATACGAGCAATAAATCCCAAGATTATTATTAAAATATCTATTATTGAAACATGTGCCATGTAGTTACCTGTTTAAATTCATCAACAAATTGACAATAACCTGTAATGTGTAGTTTAAACTATCTTAGTTTACTTCGGAATATACTACAGAAGTCAAAATATCAGTTTTTAACTTCTCTAAATGGCACAGACAAAAACTAACTAAATTTAATGTCCCTCTGTTGTAAAAAATTCAAAAGAACAACCAATGTCAAAAATACGTATTTTAAGAACATGTTTAGATTACTCACCCTATCTTCTCTGAGCTCATTCAAATGTTTGTCAAGTTGGCGTGACTGAACCTTCATATTATTGTACAAATCTTCTTCTTTTCTAACACTTTCTGTCTCAATCTAAAAGACAAATATTCCATTTATATAAGTAACTTTTAGTATCCCCGAGATAGGCTCCATGTTTTCCGTGTCAAAATCATATTTGAGTGACACTTTTCTATAGAATGAAAATAACCTGGTTAAGATTTTCCTTCTTTGAAACAGTCAAATTAACAACCCTCTTTCCTATCTAACTTTTTCACCTGTAGGCAATTTTTCTGATTTCCAATCATTCAGTTGACTTTGTAGAATTTTTTCATTTTTTTTAAGACTGCTCTTTGCATAAATGTTTTGAAAAATTTCTTTAAAGAAAAGTAAAGAAACATGCTTCTTTTCCTTTCTGCCACAAAAGAACTTCACTAAGTTTAAGTTGAAGGGACTGATGTAAAGATTTTGAGACATCACACCGTCAACTTGTGTATTTGGCTCAATCCTACTTACAAAATTTCAAGCAGTCGAAATGAACAAGCAGCTTTGAAAAAGCATAAAAAAAAACAAAAAGGAGTATTAAATTAATTTAACCCATGAGATTATCGCGGTCTGCTTGTGATCAGAAATGAAACTACTCTTATGTGCATCAATCAATGTTTCACTATCGTTCACTTCTTTAACAGTAGTATATTCACTTCACTGCTAAAGGAGCTTATAATGAATAAAAATTTGTAAAATTTCTCGCGCAGGCTTGTCTGGATCCATGCTGGTCGCAAACTCATTATGTTGGTTTTGTCATGACGCGGCTCAAATGCTTATTGTGATGATTACGTTATCCTAATCTTACATAATGTTTTGATGAGCTTGCTATAACGGTGAAATGAACCTCGCTTACAAAGTCTACTTTGATATATAAAAATTCTTCATATTTCTGTTTTTAAACTGTGATTAAAAAACATTTAGTTTATATTCAAATCATATCACTGCAATTAGAGTGATTACTTTCAAAGCATATTCTCACACACTGAAATGTGAACAAAAGCCTGCAATAATTAGCATTATACCAGATATAATTTACCTGTATTTGGTTAACAAGCTCTTTCTCCCTATTATCATCCATTGATACAGTCAAAAGTGTGGGATTTCTGTAAAATAATACAATTTAAAGGGATCTATACAGATTTTCTTAATAGTATAAGGAATGTAGCAAAAGAGACCAATATCCGGATTTTAACAGTAATAACAGAAAATTATTTTATGATACTGAAAATGATTATAATTTTCATATATACAATATAAGTATTATAAATTAAACAAGCAAAGAATTTTAAACATTTTGATCTATATTTGAAATGATAATGTTTTCATGGGATACTTGAAGTGAATAAAAACATAAAAACTTACTTAAGTTTAACACTTCTAGAGGATGTTGATCCATCATATCTACTCTTCTTTATCATATACTAAAAACCAGATAAAATATACTAAATTATCACTGATAAAAACAGACTATGACTTTCAAAATGATGGGGACTTCTTTTTTAATTTTAGGTCAGTAAAAATTTATAAGTAATTATATTGACCATTAAAAGCTATTATGACAAGTAAACAGTTTTTACTGTAAAAACCTCACATGTGACCTTCTGTACATTATTCAGGGCACTTGAACAGAAGCATGGAGTTTCCAAAAAGAAATTCCTTAACAGTTTCAATTTTACAACCAAAGGTGATTCAAAATCATTAACCTTCACCTCAACATTGAAAATTTTATCAAACACAGTAAAACATTATCAGTGTTTTTCATACATTCCAACATTTTCAACAATGAACTTCAGTATTCCTGTCTTAATATTGTTCATGTTCAGCTTATTTGTTCCTTTTTCCATCTTATTTTCATTGCTTTTACTATTTCTGTTGAAAAACATATACTGAAACAAAAAAGAAACTTTCTCCAAGTTTGAATGTAGATATGTTAGTACAGTTTTTCAATCCTTTTGAAACTCGATTTTTACGTTAAATAAACATATCGGGCTTTCAAACGGGGATTAGCTGACCGATTTTGCAAAACAAAAGTTTTACAAGCTACTACATGTATATTAGTGTGTACATCTAAGTGGTACCCTTGAACAACTGGCACATACTTTGCGAAAGTTTCTTTTTTGGTTCAGTATAGTATAAAGTAGTAAGAAAAATTGAACAAGGTCTTAGGTAGAGGAAATAATAAGGCATCACCAAATACATGCAGAAATCATAACTGATGAAAAGTAAACAGATTGTGTGTACTGTTAACAGTTGTTTATTTGTTTATATTTTATTTTCAAATTGTATGTGAATGTTTTAGTACCTGATTGTCTGCTGTATAGAAACAATTAAGATCTGGTTGTTCCTTCACAATTTTATCTACCAGTTCTTTAGTTCTGTTGTCTCCAACTGGAATGCTTTGAACTTTATATTGTGTACATAGAAACTTCATTACAGCTTCAGGACATGTAAACAAATCCATCAGGTAACTATGGAAACCATACTTTCTAAAAAATATAATAATCATATTGTCCAACACATATAACTTCAAACATATACTATGTTCAATAATTATTCTCTGATCATTAAATGTCATTGTTAAACATAAAAATCTGCTTTGTTTAGTATGAAATTGCTCTTTAGTCTTTCTAGAAAAGATAAAATAAATAAAACAAGAAACATAAGATATGCTTAAAAAATCTATGTCTCTTACAGCAAATAATATGAAGATGAGTCACTTTGTTCACTGTCTGATCATTATGAACATTTAAGGTATTTCAAATTCACCTATCTAATCACAGGAAAATTACAAGCTGACATTTGACCTCTACATACCATATACAAAACACCATTTGTGATGATGTGTTTATAACAAGAGCTGAACAATTGACCAGACAAGCCATTTTTAGACCAATTCTTTTACATATAATAAATGTGAGATAATGTGACACTTGCATTAGAGCAACACTAATGATTTTTGTGCAAATATAAACTAGAACTGCCACTATCATGGCGTGAATACCCCCGCATACCACTTTGTCAGAATCAACAGTGGCCATTTAGAGCTCAAGAACAACCTCCCTGCCAAATCTGAGGTTACTAAGCCAGTGCATTGCTAAGTTATGTATTCTACATGCTTCAAATGTGAAAATGTCAAAATCAATACATTGCGGACAGGACATTCTTTAACAATTGAGAAGAAAAGCTTTTTTTTGTCAAGGTCCCTGTGACCTTGACCTTTGACCCAGTGACCTCAAAATCAATAGGGGTCACCTTATAGTCATGATCAACATCCATGCCAAATATGAACACTGTGGGTCAAAGGAATCTTAAGTTAATGGGTGGACAAACTTTTTGAAGTCAAAGTCCCTATGACCTTGACCTTTAACCCAGTGACCTCAAAATCAAAAGGGGTCATCTACTAATCATGATCAACATCCATGCCAAATATGAAGACTGTGGGTCAAAGGAATCTAAAGTTATTGGGCAGACAAACTTTTTGAAGTCAAAGTCTCTGTGACCTTGACCTTTGACCTGGTGACCTCAAAATCAATAGGGGACATCTACTTATCATGAGTAACCTCCATTCCAAATATGAAGACTGTGGGTCAAAGGAATCTTAAGTTATAGGGCGGACAAGCTTTTTGAAGTCAAGGCCCCTGACCTTGACCTTGACCTGGTGACCTCAAAATCAATAGGGGTCATCTACTAATCATGACTAACCTCCATGCCAAATATGAAGACTATGGGTCAAAGGAATCTTAAGTTATAGGGCGGACAAGCTTTTTGAAGTCAAGGCCCCTGTGACCTTGACCTTTGACCTGGTGACCTCAAAGTCAATAGGGGTCATCTACTGATCATGACTAACCTCCAAGCCAAATATGAAGACTGTGGGTCAAAGGAATCTTAAGTTATTGGGTGGACAAGCTTTTTGAAGTCAAGGCCCCTGTGACCTTGACCTTTGACCTGGTGACCTAAAAGTCAATAGGGGTCATCTACTAATCATGACTAACCTCCATGCCAAATATGAAGACTGTGGGTCAAAGGAATCTTAAGTTATTGGGCGGACAAGCTTTTTGAAGTCAAGGCCCCTGTGACCTTGACCTTTGACCTCAAAGTCAATAGGGGTCATCTACTGATCATGACTAACCTCCATGCCAAATATGAAGACTGTGGGTCAAAGGAATCTTAAGTTATTGGGCGGACAAGCTTTTTGAAGTCAAGGCCCCTGTGACCTTGACCTTTGACCTGGTGACCTCAAAATCAATAGGGGTCATCTACTAATCATGACTTACCTCCATGCCAAATATGACGACTGTAGGTCAAAGGAATCTTAAGTTATTGGGCGGACAAGCTTTTTGAAGTCAAGGCCCGTGTGACCTTGACCTTTGACCTAGTGACCTCAAAATCAAATCAATAGGGGTCATCTACTAATCATGACTAACCTCCATGCCAAATATGACGACTGTAGGTTAAAGGAATCTTAAGTTATTGGGCGGACAAGCTTGTCAACTGTCAGCTCAATGATTGTGGCCTAAAAGTACACATACAACAATATAATAAAATTAAAATAAATTCATATGATAAACAAATATGCAATGATAATGTGATAAATATTATTAGACCTGTATTGTTGTATTGGATGTTTAGGATGGCAGGTATCTAAGGAAACTCTAGGAGGTGTTTTCACAGCATTAACCCTGAGTTTTTGATCTTCCCTCATTAAGTCCATGAAGGTATTCATATCCTCACTGGTATCACATACAAATGCTCGCATATCATTGAATGATATATGATTCTCCAGGTACTTGGCCATATGCGGATCTTTCATGTTTACCTGTTCCAGAAAAAGACATATTATTACAGAATGTTAAATAGTATGTTTCATCCATTATTTCATAAAATTTAGTTTCTGTTCAATTGTACTTTCAATTTGACAAATTTAAGCATCACAATTTTAATTTCTTGTAGCATTACTTTTATTCAAAATTGATCATGTTGAATGTTAATTACACAGATAGCATTTACAACTGTTACCTTACATTTTTGCAAGGATAAAGACAGAAAACATGATTGTCTGTTAACTGATCCATTGGGGCACATTGCCTAACTTAATTTAACATTTCAATGTCTTTAAATTTGACTTTTGGTAAGTTCACAAAAACTTTTACTTTTAGCTATGCCTTAATGTGATGAAGTAATACCCATTATGTGATATATAGTAATACAGCTAACTTTATAATATATATTGTTATGAAAAATATATAAAATTTACGCTGCTATTCATGTTCTAATCTGCAGACTATTGATAACTTTATTTAAATATGCTTCAAAGGTTTTAAAGGGTTAAAACACTCATAAAATTATGTCAAACAACATACAATAAAGGTGTCTATACATTTACATGATTGCAGTGCTTGAAATAAGCATCAAATGTGATCATATATTATAATCAAATATCAAAGTATTAATCTATATAGCACTATAAGTTTGTGTCCTAAGACACCTAGCATTATAAGAGTTTGTGTCCTAAGATACCTATAAGCTAATGCTAAATCACAATATACTGGAAAATTGTTGCACCACTACCATATTGTACTAACTAACATTCTTTTCTTATCAACTTTCAACAAAAATGTTGTAAAAATTTTACATTAACTCACACAGAGCATAATTGGTTCATGAATATTCCCCTTGAACTTATCTCTGTTTTCCCTCAGCCACATCACAGCATCATAAGTGTCCTTATGTTTTGCACGTAGAGTTTGAAGACGCTGATTCTCAATGTTACGCAATGCCTGCAAATCTTTTGACATTCCTAAAACAAGCAGAAAATTTTAACTTTTACACTGGTAATTATGTATAATACACTTGCCACATTTTTAATTACAAACCATTCATTATCACAAAAAGAGCTCAAATTCAACATCAAACAGTAGAGTCTGGTCAGACGGCATTGATAAACCAGTCAGTACTGATTCTTTGATGGTATGGGCAGGTCTATATTCTTCTGGTATAGGCAAGTCTATATTCTGCTGTTCTGGGCAAGTTTTTTTTTGCTACTTGTATTCAGAGTCCTTGATCAATCATTGTTTTTTATATCTGTCCAATCTTAATCATAAATACAAGCTTCTATAAAAATATCTGCCTTGAATAAACAAGAAAGCCATCCTTCACATACTGTCTTCAGACAAATAACCATTGCTATACATGTGCTGCACCAGTACTTAACCTTGGAAGTACATCTATGTTATACTCAAATCATTGTTTTTATATTTCAACACACAGATTAAGAACTCATACACTACCGATTAAAAATACTTGTTAAAAATTTATCTTAGTTATTAAAAATACTTGTTAATTTATCTTAGTTATTAAAAATACTTGTTAAATTATCTTAGTTAGTATCTTTCTTCATGGAATTCAGGTAGTGTATTAAACAGTTGCTACAGGACTGCCAACAGCAAATTGCAAAATCAGCGGAAAATACGCCGGGGGTCAAGGGGGCTGCGCAAGCCCCCTTTGCGGGTCCAGGGCAGAGCCCTGGTGGGGGACCAGGGGGGGAGACCCGCGGAAGCTCCTGGATCTCAAGGAGCTCACGAAATCCGCGGATTTCCGCGGATCTGCGGAAAATCGGCAGCCCTGTTGCTAGAGACAAAATTTTCATGTAAAATTCAATAATAATTTTTAATGTGACATGAAAAATGTGGAGTAGTTTTAGGATATTTATGATGATAATTTTATTTAAGCCAAACTTATTCTCTCTTTTCAATTAAGTATGCTGATAACCTAGGATGCTTTACACATATCTAAGACAAGAAATGATAAGTTTACCATTTATATTTCTTCTGCGACCCTCTATCTTCCCTCTGAGATTTTCACCTTCCATATTGATATGACCTAATTTCTGTTGTGTTTCTCTCATACCTCTATTTACTTTTTCGAGTAAAGGCTGAAATATGAATAAAAACATCATTTGTTATACAAGTTGAAGATGGTAATATAGCCAGAGATAAATATAACACTCAGCTGGGGCATCAGCATATTTTCCTTGACAACACTACTTTGAGAAAGCATAAAATTTTCTAATTTTCCCTGTGAGATTTTTAAAGAGTGCAAATAGAAATAAAACTCACAATACACAATTTTAACTAGGAAACATTGTACACAAATCCAGCAGGTTGTGGGTTAAACATTATTTTAGGTATTATGTTAATATTTGAAACAACTCACTAAACAAGGATAAATGTCTTTAAAGATAGCACTGATGTCTTATATAAGAACAAAAGAAACAAAGCACAAACACTACTCGTGATGATGAATGCAATTACTGTGTAACTCTCTTTGCATAATGTCATACCTGAACATCTTCAGTTTCTTCTGTATTTTGTAGTTCATTTTCTAATGCTTCCAACTGTTTGTTCAAATCCCTCACTCTGATAAATATACAATGTTCATACTGACATAAAACTAACACCTACTGAATTCCTTCACAGAGATTACTGTAGCTATTACTGAAGAACCATTGCAAAACATGGATTTGATTTCTACAATGCAGAAGGCCAATGAGTCAAGGTGACAAACAAGAGTCAAAATAAAAGCAAAACTTTAAACTATGAATTTTCTTTGTATAAAAGACTTTGGCAGGCCATTTTTGACCCAAGGAACATAACTTTGACATTAAATCATCAAATTCTTAGGGTTTTTTTTTTGGTTAAGTTATCTACTGAAAATGAAAAGTCTTGGGTACATTGTTAATTTTCTGGTAGGCATATAACACATTACCTTTTCTTCCTTGCATCTTCTTGGTCCTTTTTAAATTTAAGTTCATCTTGTGCTTCTACATACTGGAATGATAACAATATTATTACATTTTAACCCTTTCAATATTGGAACTGAAACTGTCATGTCTGTGCTACCAGTATATAGCCAGAGTCGGCCTGCATGACCAGTCAATATACTATTGGCTTATCAGTTTTTGAAGTTTGATTATTAACTGTTTTTACATACTAATGAACTTTTTAAAAATACAGGTAAAAGATATCTACAATTAAGTTGTTGTTTGTTTAAGGTCACACCTACACATAAGGTTTTTTTGGTGACTTTCAAGTTTACTAGAAGGAAGACACTAGGTGCCCCGTACATTATTTCAGGCATGAGCAAGCATCTGTATAACTTCAATCTTTACCTACCATATTGTATTCTCAAATAAACAAAAACCAGAAGTATCTGATAAGATTTTAACTCACAGAAATGGGGGTCAAGTAAATTTGAAGTAAGCAACTTCAACTGTTCAATTTGGCCACAAAGGCCCCTATATCAACAATTACAGCCAGGTCCTTTAACAACTACACAATATAGTTACATATAGTGATTTCCACAAACATAACTCATGTCTCCTCACAGTTCATATTCTGATATATTCAAATGTCTTCCTTATTATAAACTAACCTTATCAGTTAAGTTGTCTCCTTCCTTCCCATTAGCTTCAGCTTTCTTTGCAGCTTCTTTTAATTCCAGGCCCTTTAAAACAGAAATACATGTACGGTAATAACTACTTATTTAAAATTTCCTACTGGAGTATACCTCTCATTATATTCCCTTGGTTACAATAATGTATCATAGACCAATAGATATTAATGTATCTAAGGGTGCATTATCTGATCATAGGTTTGCTATGTTAAGTACTATTTAGGAATTTAATTTTTCATCTGACACACCAATCCCAAGATTTGATAAGTTCTATAATCTCAAGACCTGTTAACATGTACTTCTTGAAATTGTACATCTACAATTATCATTATTAAATATGCTTATTTCTTTTCAGATTTAATCCAAGGAAACATTTTTTTATGAGTCGTAAATCAACATAATCCAGAATAATATCTTGAAACTATCAGATGTTCTGTTCTTTTCATTCTTTCTTTAAGAACAAATTCATCTAAACTTTACACAGCTTGACAGCTAATACAATGACTAACCTTGGTTTTCATCATATTATCTATAGACTCTTTATTCTTCTTGGCATCATCCAACTTTTTCATCAAGGGAGCATGAGCTGCTCGTATTTCCTTTAATTTTTTTTCTTTTTGCTCTTTTTCCTCCTTGGTACTCATATATTGCAGTCTTTCACACTCATACTTCTACAAATAAAGAACAATAACTTTTTTAGCATTTGGTTGCCAGTGTTCAGGATTTGTCAAAAATGTAAAGAGCTTGCAAGTATATCTTACATCCAACAATTTTTGAAAGGTAATCATTATTCAAAAACTAGAATTACATAAGATGATATTTGTGACTTATGTACCCATTTTATTGCCATTAAAATTAACTTCTATTTTGCCATTTAAAAAACACAAATTTAAGAAAATTCTCTATTCACTTACCACCCAGGCTTTTTTGATCTCCAGTGTTGCTATTTTGGCAAGGAAATTTTCACGCTCCTCAAAATTTTTCACATCTTGTTCAATTCTTGCATTTTTCTGCACCTCTTGATTGATACGCTCTTGGAGATTCTGAAATTCTTGCTCTAAACTTTTGGCATTGGTACGGGACTCCTTCAGTTTCTGATGGCGCTCATACATTTCTGGATCACCAACCTTTTGACGTTAAAAAAATAAAGGCAACATTTTTTATTTGTCCAAACTGAAGCAAATATTTTATGAGCTAGAAAAAGTAGGAATACAAACAGAATAAAAAAATGCAAGTTCAACTGTTAATGACTCTGATGACAAAATGTCATAATAATAATTAAAGCTTTTTAGTAACTGACATTCATTTCTTTAATTTAAGGTAGACCATGGGTAATCACTAATGGGCACTATAAGGAACTGTAAATTTGACAACAGGACAGTTATATGTCTTCAAGGTCACCTGTATGCAACATTTAAATAAAATTTACCGTGTGGTTTATGAGTTATGGATATATTTCTGAACTTTGCCATTAGAAGGGCTATTTTTCAGAAATGAGGAAACTCTAAATAATCGGTAATATCATCATTATGAAAAATGTTTTCCTATTGCTCATTGTTAAGAAACAAATAATAACATTCAGGTAACAAATTACACAAGCAAAATGATTGTTTCTAAACAAAATGTTCTTAATATGTATAAAAATGTTACCCTACCCCACCCACTTTAAACACTTATTTGACCATTTCCCTATATAAAAAGCCTTATTCAAAATATCCCTAAAATTTACCACAATGAGGGGCTGTTTTCAAAGTTTGCCTAAATTTTCTTAAAGGTATATTGGTTGATCATGCGAAATATAAAATACTTTTACCGTGTAGTTTTTATTTTATTGAACTTTAAAAATATCTGGTATCATATTTGCTATAAATTTTGGCATTATTTAGCAAATAAATACCTACAATAATTATATAATTTAAATCAAACACTTTTTTCTTCCATAAGGGATCAGAGAGATACATAAATAATGTTAAAAAGAAAAAAAAGAAAGAAAAAAAGTTGCCCCTTCTGGGGTTTGAACCCACACCCCTCAATTTCAATGTAGTTGGCAAGTGATTCTAGCCTATTTGAATACTCTTCAAAGTGGAGGTAATGCATTACCCATGGTCTTCCTTAAATTAACATATATTTAAAATATAAATTGTGTAGGAAACAATATAAAAATTCTTACAGCTTTTTCTGTGTTTTCCAGTAACTCAGATTCACTCATCTTAGCAAAGTCAGCCACTTTCTCTTGTGGTAAGAACTGTGTAAGATTTCCTACTTGAATATTTAAACGACTTACTAGTTCCTCAACCTGTAACAACAAGTAAAAACATAGACTAATCATAGTTATTTATTACTGCACTACAAATGTTTAAGGCCCTCTAAGTCCTGAAAATCCTGTTTCTGGATAGCTTCCTCAAATGAAAAAATCCCAAGTCCCTGTAGGGTTGAACCCAATGACCTTAGCCACTCTTTATATATGGATATTGTTGGTAGGTGTAAGATAAACAATCAAATAGTTAATACAACATATATTTATAAAGCAAATATTAAAGAATTAGAACATCAACATTCTTTTTTCCAAGAATTATTTTACAAAAATACCCAAATGGTATATTTCTATTGTTTTTATCAATATTTGAAATACTTATGGAAAATGTGCCTTTTGTAGACCAATTCACTTTAAAATGAAATTTAAGAAGAATTCATAAAAGGGACATGTCAAATTTGGCACTACAATATATAGATCACAATATATCACATACAGCTTTTTGAGTGGCAGCTCTCCCATTCACCCACCATCTAGTCTGCTGACCTTCCTTGTTAATTTCTCGAGCAATTGTCCAATTATCTCCATCTGAGTTGTATCTGATTACAATATATACATGTAATGAAGTAATTTAAGTGTGAATATGCACAGATAAATATAAATCATGAACAGATTTTTTTTATAATGTAATTTGTAAACACTAGTAACAGTACATTCAAGTGGTACAACAAACCGCATTATTGTTAGGCAGTGTTGGCCTACTACACAAGTAACACCAAAGTACCAAAACATTTTCTTTAAAGTATAAAACAATTATGTTTGACTATTTCAAGCACTGCAACCTACACACCTTAATGGAATTGGATCCCTGCAACATATTTTAAACAAAAGATGCTATTGGAAATTTTAACTTAACATTGGATGTTTATTTTGTAATTGTTTGGTAAGAGTTCTAGAAGATTCATTTATAAACCATCTGGAAATTAAACTTGTACAGCTTTGGAGTTATCTCTTTTATCGTAACAATGTTTTCTGGCATGGGTTTACTGTATATCATATTATCAGGGTTTCTACTAGGAATTTTTATTAAAGAGTCCCAGGGACTCGTGCTCATAAAATATGAGGGTCCCAGAGAAAAATATGAGGGTCCTAATCATTTATTACTTTAAAGTAAGGTATTACTTATATATATTGTCTAGGTTTAATTCTTTACATTTATATACATTGTTCAACTACATATGCTTTTTTATTGACCTTGTTAAATAAAATAAAAAATATAAACCATTTATTATTAATTGTTACTTTTTATTTTTTCATTTCTTTCATTTGGCTGAATGTTTGTGCAACTTGCATAAAGTCAAGATCTTTCACATCTGGTCCGACTAATTTTATCAATTGTTTAACTGCATATAGCTCTACGTCTTGATGACGGACAAATGTATCTATTTTGGAAGTTCAAACATCCATTTTCCGAGGCAAATGGATTACATTTTTTGGTTGAGACGCAATGGCTGCATTTCATATCCGTGGTCGTCTCGTTTTGGACGAGCCACGGATAAGTTAACTTAGCCACTTTTCATTAAAATTGGGGGAGCAGCCGACATGTTTTACGATTTATTTTATAACAAAACACGTATAGACTGGGACGCTTTTTTAAAGTTGACTAAATTCTAGTGTGCGCTGTTTTATTCCGTATTAAACTGTAATTAATTGAAAGAAAGACAACCCTGCTGTATTCAATATTAGAACCCGTCTACCAAATTACGTCATTTCCTTTAAAGAAGCGGAAGGAATTTCCAAATGATATTTACGGAGGAAAATTTAATTTGCGTCCCCATGGACGCACACTTAGAGTAATTGAGGGTCCTAGGTTACTATTTTTGCGTCAAGGACGCAGGAAATGTGCGTCAATAGAAACCCTGTATTATATCACAATAAGGGTATGACCATAATGATGCTGTGCACCCCTGGTAAGTAACTGAACTATTTCTTATTTTTGCTGATTTCATTGGGCAGCATGGATTATGTTCAAAATCTGGAACCATCAAACAGCCAAAATGTAAACCAGCTTTGGCTCATCAAAGTTCAATTTTCAACAAATATTGCTTTCAAATTGATTTCTATAGAAAATAAATGGGTTAAAGTGATACACATACTTTACTGGCAGACATTTTAAATTATGATTTTCATTTCCTTGAAACCAAATAACATTCATAACTATATAATGTGTAAAACGTTTGATATTTCTAAGCAATGAAAACTACTTACAGTTCAAGTTCAATCCTTGCTTTTGATTTTCCATATTTGATAAAATCAGTTGGACTCTGGGCACGACCTAACCAGCTAGTTTTTCCTGCCAAGCCAAGACAAATTGCACAAACAATTGTGGATTTGCCAGTTCCATTTGGTCCGATGACAACATTCAGATGAGGGCCACATTTAAACTCAACAGAGTCATAGGTTCTAAATGAAAAATTAGAAGAAGAAACATTTCAATTATGTGTTATGTACATTGTACTCAGGAAAACCACATAATACAACAGGACAAGTTACTGCTAAGTGCCACATTATCATTTTGTTCAATCAGTTGTGCGCCTTGCCATTTTGTTTGTTGAGAAAGGGTATTTTCTTATTGGAGTGAACAGTGAAACAAGTGACATTTTTGATAAAAGTGAAAATAATAATTACAGCATAAATATAGGATTTACATACTACACTTATGGATCAATCAGCTGCCAATTGGACTCTTAAGAGAAGATCACTTCTCAAGTCTGTAGATGATTGTCAAATAACGGCCTTCTATTATATTTAGACTAAATTTAGTCTTATGTTAAACATATCCATATAAAACAAGAACAGTGGGATTATTTCTTTTCATAATAAGTTGTGGAACTATTCTTTTCAGATTAAGATTTGCCTGGCTTAAATGCTATTACTTCAATCAAAATAAGTACTGTGTAATCATTATTTGAGAGGGATTACTTTTTTGTATTTTGAGTTTCCGGTCAACCACTAAAATTAAGTCCAAACGAATAACTTGTGCTCAAGATAAATCGCTTTTTAGAGGCGAGATATTGCCCAGACACGAAAATAGCACAAAATACAGTACAATTAGTTGGACTAGGTTAAAAAGTGTTTCTGTCTCTGCAATTTATTTGACATAAAATGTCAGTGACTTTTTCTTTCGTCAGTATGCTAAACTTTGAGCACAAAGTCAAAATAGGCATTAAGACAAAATTTGAAATTGTGCATTCATGAGCAAACATTCAAACTAGTTCTTTTCAGAATAAGTTGTGGAACTATTCTTTTCAGATTAAGATTTGCCTAGCTTAAATGCTATTCCTTCAATCAAAATAAGTACTGTGTAATCATTATTTGTGAGGGATTACTTTTTTGTATTTTGTGTTTCCGGTCAACCACTAAAATTAAGTCCGAACGAATAACTTGTGCTCAAAATAATGTAAAATACGCTCAATCAGTCAAAGAACCTTTAAAAGATTGGGATGTGGTTCGCAGTTGTATACATCTTTCATAGACAAGTTGTCTACTAACCTGTGGCTTTTGTGTTTGATGTTCAATTAACAATAAACATAGATACATATAAATCATATGCATCAGAAACTAAACCGACTGATGAGTATTTCATTCAGGTGTGTACCCATATTTTGTTTCCTTACTACATGCATACAAAATGAAAGTAAAAATAGTAGTGACGTAGCTCAATATCTGTCAAACCGCACTAAACTAAAGATGTTTTCAGGGTTAATAAGTAGTCATAATATATTGATGTGCCAAAGCTAGATTCTGAGATATTTTTGTTCTTGGTCAGAATCTCGCTTTTTAGAGGCGAGATATTGCCCAGACACGAAAATAGCACAATATCTCGTCACAAAGTACAATAAGTTGGACTAGGTTAATAAGCGTTTCTGTCTGCAATTTATTTGACATAAAATGTCAGTGACTTTTTCTTTCGTCAGTATGCTAAACTTTGAGCACAAAGTCAAAATAGGCATTAAGACAAAATTTCGAAATTGTGCATTCATGAGCAAACATTCAAACTAGTTAAAGTAATTAAAGTAATTCTTATAAGACCTGTTACATAATACAAACTGAAGACCGACAATTTTCACATTTATAAATTCATAAAGACCCTTTTAACACACATTTAAATTCTAACAATTACACAGTTTCACTCCAGCTAGTTTACGGAACGTCGGTGGTTCTACTCGGGTGCCCGTTCGTGCCTGAAATAATGCACGGAAGGGCACCTGAGGTCTTCCTCCACCAGTAAAGATGGAACGTCGCGATATTACCTATACTGTGTCGATGTGACGTAAAACCCAAACAAACAAACAAACACAGTTTCACAACAGATTATAAAATACAACTGTCACTGGCACTTGATAATTAAGACAGATTGTCAGATAATTACCATAGGAACGTGTCTGGTTGTTTGATCAGATATAGATAACGTTTCCTTGCTTATGTCAACAATTTATTAGCACAATGCAGATTATTTATTGTTTTTTATAACCGAAAATGGAAACTTCCGTGATTTTACTTCCTTGTATTTTTTAACCTGACAAATGAATTCCATGAATTTACGACCCCACAAATTGCTACTTTATTCACAGGGACCCAGCACAGTGTTGCAGCATTTTTTTTCTCTACTTTTGGAATGATGCCGGTACCAGATTGATTGGGAAAATGCGAAAAACATCTTTTCAGCTACATTTAAGATTAGTCATAATGAATAAAGACAGCTTACAGCTTCCACTGTCCAGGTAGAACTATTGAGTGGTGATTTATATAAACATGTTTGATTTTAAATGATTAAAGAGAAATCTCATGGCCTTGAACAGTCATATTTGGAATTATCACTTCAGAAATTGGAAATTTTAATGTCTTTTTTCCATTGGGAACAGTACCTATTTTGGGTAGTAGTTATATAAAGAAAAAAACACGGTGTTGGGATAGTGTATAAAAGTAATTTCTGAATATGAAAATGAAAGTTGAAAGCTATCATGTGACCGATTTGAAATGGATTATTTCATTGGTTGATTAAATTATGAAGCTGACCTGAGTCACAGTATCGTCTAATCAAACTGAGTCTTACAACCGGAGCCGAGCATGTATCATGGCTTCAAAAAAATATTTTAACAGAAGAGTAATAGGGAGCTCGAAGAGCTGGCCCGAAAGGCCTACTCGCAAAGCAATGGGAGTACCTGCTAATTAGTGATGGTTTTAAAAACTTTCGTCCGAAGCACTGAATTGACACATCACAACTTTTCCAATCACATGATTACGATAAAAGCCGAGGTATTCTGCCTGAAAATTGAAGCATGGACTGGTGTCCTGCGCACTTATATATATGTGAACCATAATAGGACAGGGAACCAGAATAAACGGAAGCAGTGTATAAAATACCAAATGACAATTTTAAAACCGAAAATGTAAAATAAAAATGGGTCAAAGACAGAAAAGCCCGGGTTGCATATGTATACAAAATATCATGAGGCTGTGATGTTACTTAAATTTTCTACCACTAAATGACCATTGATGTTGAAAATTTAACTTAGTTGGTAAACCGGTAAAGAATGAGCATCAGACCTGAAATGGAATCCCACAATATGGGACCACATGTCAATGCTGTGAACCACATATCAAGAGGCTGTGGTAAGTAGTTGCTGAGAAAACTGTAACGAAAATTTCCTACTATCTTTTGATCATTAATTATGTCAAAATTTAACTAAGTCGGCAAACAAGAAGTGGATGAGCAACAGACTTGAAATCGAATCCCACGGTATGGGACCAGGTGATAATGCTGTATACCAAATATCAAAAGGCTGTGATAAGAAGTTGCTATGTAAACTGTTACGAAAAATTTCCAACCATTAATGTCAAAATTTAACTAAATTGGCAAACAGGAAGTGGATGAGCGACAGACCTGAAATCGAATCCCACGATATGAGACCATGTGTTAATGATGTATACCAAATATCAAAAGGCTGTGATAAGTAGTTGCCAAGAAAACTGTTACGAGAACTTCCTACTATTGACCATTAATGTCAAAATTTAACTAAGTCGGCAAACAGGAAGCGGATGAGAGACAGACCTGAAATCGAATCCCACAGTATGGGACCATGTGTTGATGCTGAATACCAAATATCAAAAGGCTGTGATAAGAAGTTGCCAAGAAAACTGTTACGAAAATTTCCTACCATTGACCATTAATGTAGAAAATTTAACTAAGTCGGCAAACAGGAAGTGGATGAGTGACAGACCTGAAATCGAATCCCACGATATGAGACCATGTGTTAATGATGTATACCAAATATCAAAAGGCTGTGATAAGTAGTTGCCAAGAAAACTGTTACGAAAATTTCTTACTATTGACCATTAATGTTGAAAATTAAAACTAAGTCGGCAAACAGGAAGTAGACGAGCGACAGACCTGAAATCGAATCCCACAGTATGGGACCATGTGTTGATGGTGTATACCAAATATCAAAAGGCTGTGATAAGTAGTTGCTGAGAAAACTGTTACGAAAGTTTTTTCCCCACCGCCCGCCGCCCAACATTCACCATACTATAACCCGGGTTTGCACCAGTGCAACCCGTCCAAAAACGATTATTTTATACCATTTCACTGTAAAAGTAAATCGAGCTCGCTTTGAGGCTTTGCCTTTTTCATATTAAAAAGAACTGAATGTTTGCTTTAATTGATTGCTTTTGGAACAATTTCCAGCAGTAGGTTGTTTCTTTAGTGTTTATCTTATATATACAGTAGATGATGATACATGCTTGGCTCTGGTTGTAAGACGCCAGTTGTTTGCATGTGTGTTCGACTCGTTTGATCTTTTTGTTGATGTATTTCAAGCATAAATACCAGGCTACAATGTACATGTCATGACGGTCTCATCTTTCGGACCTGGGTGATTTCTGACTTTCTGGCTTATCTTCAGTAGTTTGCGTGTAAATAAGGGTCTGTTCATAGTGAGTTTTGATAGAAAAATGTATTTTGCATTGATTCCACGCGAAAATCTGACGATATTACCACCCACATAATTTTCGTACTTGGATGTTGCATACCTTGTCTATAACAATTTAACTGTATAACAGTAAAAAAACATTTTTTTTAAATAGATCTAGATTCTATATGAATATTTTATTGCATAAATAACATGGTTAAACACATTTTAGCTAGCACCTTTGCACTGTGCTGGGACCTTGTGACCACAGACACTTGGAGTATAGACCCCGCCCTTCTCCGCCCCTGAATATAAAAAAGTAAAAGTATTATCTATTACAAGAATAAGTTTTAAATTTTTGCTTATATTAGTATGAGACGGTTAAGTGTCTAACACGTGAACAAGTTTCAACCGAATTTCATAACATATTAAAAAAGTCAATTTTTTACCAAACGCTTCAATTTCCTGAAGATACCAAGAAATGTAAACACAACTGACCTACATATATTTCAGGTATTTATGTTATAGCATGCCATTTATTTCTGGTGTAAATCAGTCTATGCATATATTCCTTTAATAAATAAATGCATGTTATTTTCAGATCGTACCTTTCTTCCAAGCTTTGCACTTTTAATTACATTTTCCTAACCGTGTCACATGCTTCTTTCCGAATTCATGACGACTGGAATGTTTCCCGTAAATTACAGCGGGAAAATCGCTGGGAAAAAGAAATTCAATCGCAACTACTCGGCCCTTTCCGTCAGTCTTCTTGATTTGGTTTCTGTACTGATTAGGGGAAGTAACCGCTGCGGGGTTTTGGTTCTCGGCATGAAAATGAAAGCGCAAAACAGTGCCGAAACTCATTCCAGTCGTCTCACATCAAAGGAAAGCGTACGTTGTTATCTTTATGAAATTATGATATTTTAGGGACTTTTTTAAACGTTGTTGAAATAGCGGAAAACAAGTTTTATATTCAAGACGTGACCAGGTCGTAATAATATGCAAAAATATTTGGACGTACGGTTTGCACGATAAAAATACACAAGGTGTATACAAGTGCGGATCAAGGAGCCCCCGGAGCCACGCACATAACCCCAAGTGTCTGTGCTTGTGACTTTGTTAGCAATATTCCAGGGTCCGATACATTTGATGTCTTCCCAAATGTAAAAAAAATATCAATATTCTTGAGTGATCCTGTCAAACATTAGCCGATTTTCAAGCTTACGGGAATTAAATTAAAGAGAGCTGACAAGTAAAAAAAAATGTTTTGGGGTTTGTTTTACTTTCACTTTTGTCTTTTTATCATTTCCATAGTAAAAAAAACTTACAAAACATTTTCCAACTTTATTTTCACAATTGAACCTTCACAATATTTAGCATCTTTGGATACAACAGACTTCCGCATGACTGACTAGAAAGCATGTAAAATTAGAAGTAAAATCAACTTCGCAAAAATGACGGCATTTCGCGCGATAATTTGTTAATAATTTACAGTAAACGAAATTTTGGACAGGTATAAAACCCGTCAGCTAAATTATGTCGGTACACCTTGCCCGGACATCCGCAGCAGGTCTCAACCCAATCTCCACACAGTGATCTCCCCTTAATTCTTCGGCTTAGATCTCTGCCACCAAGGTCCCCAATATATCAGAATTTCTGATATACTATATTTTTTCAAAAATTGTTTTATTTACTGCTTTTATCTATCAGATAAGTTTTCTCAAATTGATTAAACAATGTTTATGGATAAATAATTAAATAATGTGAATATTTAGAAATAATTTTAAAAATTATGAGCATATTTTCTACCGAGACACCGTATCTACAGACGCCAAGTGACATATCCGTAGGCCGTAAAAGTTTATTTTATTATTATTCAACAATGAAATGTTGAAACAGTAGTAATTATATAACGTTTTAGTTCTTCCTTTGCATAGTCCATGGAATCTATGCCTAGCGCCAACTGAAAGTGGATATTTTCTTCAGCCAGTTATGAAACTAAAAGTGAAATAATTTACTTTTGGCTTTGCTCTTAATCAAGTATAAGTTTTCTCAGTTGCATAAGTACCATTCCGAAAGTATCCTGTAAAATTTGTGCATTAATAGATCTTTTGTATTTTTATAATGTGATTATAATAGTCACAAATAAACGAAGGAAAAAAATTCAACAAACCACAAGTAATTACAATAAACATTTTTAAGTTTTATTTGCACACACAACACAGGAATGTAAATGGGTATCTGTACAATGAAAATAAAGAGTAATAACAATTTTATTACATGCTTTTCTGTGGTTTATAGAAAAATATCAGTGATATAAAACTGGTAATTTCACTTTTTTGAATTTAAGCCCCTGACGTTGTTTCAGTGAAATACCAGCGTTCACAGAACTGGGTACCAACTTAATGAAATGAGTCAAATGACGTCGTAAATTTCGTCAAGTCGTATTATTATATGTCCCGCTTTTCATTAAGTATTAGGTTTAATGTCTTTTTAAAATGTTTCTTTGCATATAATAAGAGGAATATTTGTTTAGTTTAGTGTAAGATCGAAATAGTTATTTCACCTTGTGCCACTTGTGAAATATACCTTTGGTGCTCAATGGTGAAATATATTCCGATCTTACACCAAACTAAACAAATATCCTTTATATTATATATTGCATAGTTTTTAATTTGTTTGATAACTCATTTCTGAATGTTTGTTAATCATACATACATGCAGGTAAAACTTAATAATTTGACTATTCAGCCTCTGTATGAATTTCATGGAAATAAGATGGAAAATATATTAATTGTACTTGTATGTTAATCCAAAATATATAAGTGGTATCTTACCTCCAAAAATGGTTTGTAACCTGGTATGTTTCCTCCATTGTACCTTAGCCTCCATTAATCAATTTGTAGGACATTGACAGCAAGAACTTGAATTTTACTGTTGATGTGGAGTGGTACCTTAATGGAAGATTTATTGTAGATTGTTCGCACTGATTTTGGGTACCGGTATAAATGGAATGAATTTCAAATTTTTTTTTGACTGTCTTACTATAACACAAAAGATAATTTCAAAGTAGATTTGCAATTTTATGTCAAATATGTTCTCAACAAAATGTGTTTACTTTTCCAGGTTGTGTAGTTTGGAAATCAGAATTATCAGACATTTTGCTTGTAAGACATTGAATGCAGGAATTTAAAATGTAATGTGGAGTGGTACCTTAAGGTAAAATTTTCAAATCTTGCTTTTTTTTCAATAAATTTGGATAAGGATTTATGATACGCATTTGCCAAATTAATGGTGAAATTTTATCAAAATATTACATACAGAAATTGAAAAAAAGGTTTTAAAAGGGGAGGTAACTAGTATACATAAAAATCTATTTGAAATTTATTAAATGTGACTGTGTCTGTGTCAATTGACTAAAGTTGAAATAGCTACATATTTGAGAAGAGACAGCTGTGGAAGAAAGATAATTTTCTCAAAGAAAAAAAAATCTATTAAGTTTATATTTTCCTGATTTTTCAAACTTTTTTTTGCAGAAAAATGGCATGGATGTATTGAATTTCAGCTGTGCATGTAATTTTATGTCATATATGTTCTCAACTTAATGTGTTTTTTTTCAGGTTGTGTAGTTTGGGATCAGAATTATCAGACCAGTATTACTTGTAGGACATTGACGGCAGAAACTTGGAGTGTTACCACAATGATATTTTCATCAGTGAAGCACTTCTAGTTTGAAATTATGACCTCTGTAATATCTGAATGTTTAAAAGAATTAAATCCATCATTTTCATTAAAACCAAAACAGCTAGAATGTCTGAACCATATCATTGAAGGTCGAGATGTTTTAGTTAATTTACCAGTCGGATATGGCAAAAGCCTTATTTACCAGATGCTGCCAAGCATTATGGAGAGGATGGGACGAAGCAGGACTGTGGTCTTGGTCATATCTCCACTTAATATAATTCAGGAGGACCAACTTAAAAAGTTACAAGACCATGGTAAATTATCCTACATTTTACCATTTTGTGATGGGAATTCAGAAGTAGATTTAACAGGAATAATTGATGGCAAATATTCGATTATATTTTCACACCCAGAGACTATACTGAATACAGACTTTGGAAAGGTATTGCTGCAAGAGCAATCTTTCATTGAAAGGCTGGCTGCAGTATTTATTGACGAATGCCATGTAGTAGAACAATGGTATGTTTTGCATTTACTTCAATTAAAACTTATATCCTAAATTGACCTAGTAAAAGTGTGTAACCTCCTGTACCATCATGATGTATGATATTATAACATATTATGTAATTCATTGTAGTCATCTGTCTGATTAAACTTAATTCCTGACGAGTTTGACTCTTTAAATTTTAAGGGTACGTACATTTTGTATGAATTAATTTTTTCATTAACTATACAAAGTCCTGATATGTTATTGTTATTTCAAACATTAGACCCGCATTTTCACTATTGAAAATTGAAAATAGAAGGACCCAAGGATTTTGTTATTATGCAACAAAATTATTGTTGCCTTTATATATTTAGACATGTGACATAACCGTTAAACATGTGACATAACCATTTAAAGCGACAAAATAAATCAGGTGCAATTAATATTTATATCATGTATGGCATGATGCCCTACTAGAATCAAATAAATAATTATCCTAATCCTAATCACCTGATAGAATCACTGTTTTTTGTTCCAATGCAAATCATTAAATCACTATATTATATCAGGATTGATAACTGCATTGTAGTCTTATACAACATTATTAGCTCGCATATACGAAGTATATGGAGAGATGTCCTACTCGCCCTGGCATCTGCGTCAAATCATTTCAGTTTAAAGTTTTGTTGCAGTAAAATATTTTTCACTATAACTTTTCATTTCTTAAGGTATCAACTTCCAATAATTATGTTCCTTATCATCATCTTATGCGACAAGGTTCATAACTCTAGCACCAATATTTTCAGATTTATCTCCCCTTGAACTTTGAATTTTCCTTAACAAAATTTTTTTCTGTTACTTTTTTATTTCTTAAGGGATCAACTTAATACTTTAAAGATATGTTCCTTATCATTAACCACATCTTATGTGACAAGGTTCCCAACTCTACGCCAATGTTGCAAAAATTTTCTCCTTATAAACTTAGATTTTTTTACTTGAAAAATGCTATTTGTTTGCTATAATTTTTTTAGTATTAAAGATATCTACCTAAAGCTTCAAATACATATTCCTTATCATCAACTAGATCTTATGTGACAAGGTTCATAACTCTTGTTGCAATATTTTCAGATTTATCTCCTTTTGAACTTAGAATTTTTTTAATAAATATAATAACTTCTTTACTTTTTAAGGTAATCTTCTTCAAACTTCAAATATATATTTCTTATCATTACATAAATGTTGTGTGACAAGGTCCATAACTCTAGTGTGACTATCTCCAGAATTATTCCTCCTTGAACTTGAAATTTATGTTAATATATTTAAAGAAATATATTTAAATCCTAATTATTTTTCTTTCATAGTTTTGTCTTCCTTACTGCTTCCAGTATTTTAATTTAATTATTGGAGCTTCGCTGTCTCCTGTGTGACAGCTCTAATGTTCTAAATACTATCATACCTTTCAAAACCATGCTTCAAGACAGCTGCTTCAATTCTTGTAGTTTAATGAAAAATCCTTTTCACTGTGTGGAAAGAGATCTGAGTTCAAATCTCAGCAAGAATATGTTCTTTTTCTGGAAGCATGATCTTGTACAAAAATTGTATGATAATAGATAAATAATAAACACTGGCATATCATAATATAATTTTCTTTTATCAATAGTTATATTAAAATGACCAAATAACATGCATTTTAAACAACAATTAACACAAATTGTTTTTTAAATTAATTGGTCATAACATGTGAATAAAATATCATTAACATTTTAAAAATACTGCAATAGTTAAAGACTGAATACAAAGCTATCAAGCAACAACAAAAAAATATTATCATCTACATTATGTATTTGGTAATTTTGTAAGATTTTAACTCTAATATTTTTCCAGGGGTGAACAATTCAGGAAAACCTTCCAGAAGATAAAAACTCTTCCTGCAATATTCACAGATGTTCCCTTCATTGCTTTAAGTGGAACACTTACATGTAAACAGATACATAAATTACCATCTACAATTGGACTTGCCAATCCTGTCATTATTCAAGAAAGCCCAGATCGAAAAAATATTTTTCTGAAGAAAATTGAAAAGATTAAAGATACTGATGTAAATATGATTTACGAAGAAATATATAAGACAGAATGTGACCAGCTTCATCAAAATCAACATAGTTTCCCTGTTACTTTACTTTTTATGCCTTTGTTTTATATAAGTCAAGCTGCTGCTTATTTGAAATACTTATTTGGTAAATGTGACATAAAGTCATCATGTTATGCTGTGTTATTTTCTAAACAGGATAAAGAAGTAATGAATACTACAATTGATGACCTACACAAACAAAGTCCAAGAATAAGATTAGTTTTGACTTCCTCAGTAGCAGGAATGGGGTTTGATCCCCCAAGTGTTGTGAGAATTATACATGCCCAACCACCCCGCAATCTCTCACAATACTTGCAAGAAATTGGGAGAGCAGGCAGAAGAGACCAAAGTAGCACGGCTACTCTTTACTACAACAAAAGAGACATTGCAAAAAATCTGCCTGGTATCCAGGATGACATAGTAGAGTATTGTTCCACCAACAATAAATGTCTTCGTGAAATGCTTCTAAAAACTTTTGGTTTTTCCAAATCATGTAACATTCCTGCAGAGAAATGCTGTTCTTTTTGTTTGGACGAGGAGTTGAAAAAATTAGCTGAATCTGGAGCATTTGATGAAAATGTTCAGATTATATAATATGTGCAACACTTGAATCATTTATCTTTACATGAAATGAGAAATTTTGATTATTTTCAGCAGTGGATAACACAAAAGTAACTAAGCAGGTCTAATTATCTCACCTTGATTTGGGATTTTAAAGTCATTTGTGCTACTGATTAAGTCAAAAATACTCTTGTTTTATGTATATTTTAGGTCTCTATAAAAGAGTGCCATTATAAATTGGTCTTTATCCCTCATCTGAGATTAAGTGCTATCAAATTTAAAAGGTCACATTCTTCAATGCTTAATAGATTTACTAATTATATCAAATTGGGTCATTTATTTAAATTAACACATGCTGCATAAATGAAATAAAACAAGATTGCATTTGTGAAAATGCTTTTCTACCACATTATTACAACATTATATACAATATTAAGGAGGAACAGGGGTAGTTTTATTTCTGGTGTATTTACAATGATTTTTGCTAATATGCCATTGATGTATGTTATTTGAAATGTCATTGATGTATGTTATTTGAAATGTCATTGCTGCATGTTATTTGAAATGTCTTTGCTGTATGTAATTTGAAATGGCATTGATGTATGTTATTTGAAATGGCATTGATGCATGTTATTTGAAATGTCATTGATGTATGTTATTTGAAATGGCATTGATGTATGTTATTTGAAATGTCTTGGCTGCATGTTATTTTAAATGCCATTGCTGTATGTAATTTGAAATGTCATTGTTGCATGTATTTGAAATGTATTTTATAATTATCTACAATTCCACTTAACACATTATATATATAAAGACAGAAACAAAAACAACAATTTGTAAGGTATGAACAATTGTCTGAAATAGTAGAAGTGAACAATGTCTTTACATTATCATTTTTCATTGAATGTATTGTAATTAATTTATTCTGAAGAGAAATTATTCAAAGATGAATAATTTCTCTTCAGATCTTATAATTAATGATTTGCAATAGAAAAAATCAACAATATTATGTATATTTCACATTTTTAGAAGAGGGATTGAATTTTATGACATTCCCAAGATAAATGTAAAATAATTATTCTTTACTGTGAGTACAAAAGTACAATGTACACATTTTATTACGTACCATTGTCATTGTAAACAATTTGTTGCTAAAATTCTATGAAAAATCTTGTCTAGAACCACCGAATATAAAAACGTTTGGTATACATGATATGGTTTTTATTTTAACAAAATGTTGATGTTGTCTAATGTGTATGTTATGAAAAGGCTTCTGACCCTGCCTTCTGGAGGACATTTACAATCTTCATTTTTTTTAATAATTAGGTTTAAACAGATAACCAGCGAGAAATATAGTTTCTGTTCCCTAAAATTTGACTACATGTATTTAAATTCTGTACTAATGGTTTCAGATAAATATAACTTTTATGTGTACAACAAAATGACAACATTTTACATAGAAGTAGTATTATAAGGTACAAGTTATCTAAACATAGACAAATGAAATAATAACATTCTCTAAGTGCAACATTTATCAATGGAAAAGTACAGGTACTAATTATCTTAACATAGGCAAAAATTGATAACTTTCTTTAAGCGCTTTATAATTAAAAAAGTTGCTAATTTCTTAATTGTATCACATGTTGACCTGAGATTATAATGTTTTATATTATTTCCAGAAATAATCACTCATGTATGCTTGTCTTAAATTAGAGTAGACTGGACAAATTAGTACAAAATGGTACTCATTTTCTTGTACTCATTCACAGAATGGGCAATCATCTATTATATTATTATAATGACCAATATAATAAAAAAAATCTTAACATATTAAACAAACTTTAACATATCTAGAAAGATGCATATTAATGATATGCATCCAATCTTTCACAATACATTTATAAACCAGTATATGTATATACATAGGGTAAAGACCAAAATACCCTTATAAGAACTGAATCATTGCCAGATGTTTTCTTTACATAAAGAAAACATTTACAAGCATATTTATGCTTATACCCATTTTTTATGTTGCTGCTAAATGGCAAAACAAGTAAACTATATTAAATCACTACACATGTATATATTTCATGTAGGTAATAAAACACTCTTACATACACCATGAAGTTCTAGCTACTATACTGAGCACTGACCACCGTATATATCCTATATATCCAATACACTAATTTATCTCCATTTCAATATAATGTAAATATAGAGTATATCAAAGTTTACCTCTAAATAAGTCCATACATTTATATACAAATTTTCCAAGAAAAGTACTTTTACTTAAAAACAGCACTTAAAGACTGAAACTTACATAAATATGTCATCTGGCTAATTTGGACATTGAAAAAAATCCATATTCTGTAGACAGATAAAAAAAAAATTGTCTGATTCATAACATACCACTACTACCTCTAGTGAAATGTTATATAACAGGGCCATATAATCATTTAATATTTGTAAATGTCTGCTATGACATATATCTAAGCTCTTGACATTGTCGTTTCTAAAAAAGGTTGTCAAGTTTTGTATTTTAACTAAATGACCTCAAGGGTTGGCCAATTTTTACCTAAAGGAAAGAGTTACATGTCTTACATAATTTTTATTTTGTTTGTTTGTTTGTTTGTTTCATTTTACGCCTTCTTCCAAAAGTATTTCACTCATATAGGCGGGTAGTTTCCTAACCATCGTTCCTGGAGAGTTACACCATTTTTTTACAATACAAGTCTATGATATTCATTTACATTCTATATTAGATTTATAATACTTGTTGAATGTTCACCTGAGGCTTGCATAATATCATTTTATTCAAAACATTCCAGAAATTCTGTTATACATCTATACCCATTCAGTTCTCTTTAAAATTACTAATAGTCATCATCATTATTACCTTCAGAATCATATGAGGTACAACTGGTTTGTCCATAATAAAGTCTTGAAACAACTTGGTTTATCCGGTATTTGAAATCTTCATTATCTATTTTCAAAAGAGATGAAGATAAAATACTTTGAAGTCCTCCACATGATCTTCCTTCAATTTTCTTAAAAGGTTTCAGATCACGCAAGGATGCACTTACAACTTGTTCATCTTTCTCTGCCTTTGGAATATTGTGTTTTGAACCAGTTTTTTTCAAATTAACTGATGAATCAACATGCTCACAAATTAGAGAAACAGTATCTGCTGCCCTTGTACTTCTCAAGATTGCCTTTTCGGATTTATTAGCACCAAGAGATCTAATAAGGTCTTTTTGATTGCAAACAGATATCTCTTGAGCTAAATCGCTCTCAATGTTATTACCTACTCCACCCCTAATATTAGTGAAAGCACCTTCCAACACTTGTATTCGCTGCATTGGGCTAAGAAGAAATTGGGTTTTTAATAGGAAGTCCAAACATTCTTCGAAGTACTTAGACAGCCTAGAATGCGCAAAAAAGAATGGCATTGTATACATGACACATGGTATTAGTCTAAAAATGTCCCCTTCCTTGACTACATCTTCCATCATCATCAATTGAAGGACCCAGTGACATAAATTGCTCGAGTAATTGTATACTGTATCTGAAATGTCCACAGATTTGATGTCGCTTGTTTCATGGTAGGCATTAAGGTACCCATAATTGGACATAAACTTATCAAGCATACTATTCATCTCTCTGTCACGGTCAAGAACAGACCTGGATACAGTCGGCACATTTTTAGTTGGCTCTGACAATCTATTTTCCATACCGAAATACTCTAAGAATTGCTCTATGATCATCTGCTTGCCAATAAGGAGTAAAAAATCATGATGTGATTTAAAGGCACCCTTTACCTTTCCGTTAACATCACTACGCTGAAGCTTAGCCTTGTAGTGGTAAAGGGTTCCTGGCTGGCGAAGAGTTGATGTTTTAAACAGTTCTTTATAGCATTTCTGGAATAAAATTTATGCAATGTTATAAAATTTCAGAAAACTAGCAGTGTAATTGAAAAATTCTGTTAATGTAAACCATGGGTAATGCATTACCTCCACTTTGAAGAGTTTTAAATAGGCTTTAGAATCACTTGTCAACTGCATTGAAAATGAGGGGCTTGTTTCAAACTTCATAAGCAGAAATTTTTTTCATCCTTTTTTTTTTTTTAACATTATTTATGTACCAGTATCTATCAGATTCCTTATGAAAGAAAAAAGTGTTTGATTTTTAATTTAAAATTATTGTAGGTATTTATTTGCTAATTAATACCAAATATTAATAGCAAATATGATACCAGATATTTCTAAAGTTTAATAAAAGAAAACCTACATGGTAAAAAAAAATTATATTTCCCATGATCAACCAATATACTTTAGACAAACCTCCTTGTGTTAGATTTTAGGGGAAATTGTCAAATAAGAGTTCAAATTAGGTGGGGACAGGGTAACATTTTTATACAATCATTTTGCTTGTGTAATTTTTTTCTTTACAATGAGCAATAGGAAAATATTTTTCATTATGATATTATCAATTATTTACAGTTTCCTCATTTATGAATAATAACCTTTCTAATAGCATAGTTTTTGTTCAGAAAAGTATCCCTAACTCATAAACCATATAGAAAATTTTATTTAAATTTTGCATACATGGGACTTTAAGACATATAACTGTCCTATGTTGTCAATTTAACACTTTCTTATAGTGTCCATTACCCATGGTCTACCTTATATGAGTTTTTACAAATTTCAACTGAAAAAGTTAATAAAGCTTATCATTCCCCATAAAAATTTTGATTTAGTTTTTAAAGAGGAGGAGTAGTAAACCTTGTAAAATGTCATTGATGGATGATTTTTTTACTTATAAAAAAACATCTGTCCATACTGAGACTTACTTATAAGTCCAATCAACCTAAAGCAAGTTACTTACTAAAATTTCCTCAATTCAACAATGTTCTAGTTCAGACTTTAAATACCTCCAAGAAATCTTGTTTCATATGCCAGAACTCAATTATTATTGGGTCTAAATTTTCAAATCTTTTTTTCCTGGTTGTTGCAAGAGACCTCAAGTTCTTTGCTTCCTCTAGGCGCACTCTAGTTAATTGATCTCCACCAACGGGAACTTTAAATTTCTGAAGGAGATCTTCAGATCCTAAAAAAATAAAACAAGAATTGCTAGACTTGTCAGATAATGACAATGACTAAAATGAGCAAATACAGGAATGTTATAGGTATTACGCATTTCAGTTGTAAATTATATGAATTTCTTAGCTCTTTTAGATTAAAATGGCACTAGAAGAAAACTTAGATCATCATGTTCAATGTGAAAAAGGGGCATAAGGCAGGAAGTACTAATAACTAAGTTTGATGACTATCCAGCTCTACTGTAAGAAATTTTCAGGTGCCCTATTGATTAAAAGTTTGAGTATTTGACTATATTTAAGTTCTTGAGAAAAGACAACAGCAAAACGGCTAGACTTATTTTTCAAAACAAGCTAAAAATATGAAAAAGAAAACCTGCATACCTCATAGATATTCAATTTGACATGAAATATCCAGTACCAGTATAACAGTTGTCATCATTGCTACAATAACACGCACTAAAAACATTAAAGTAACAATGAACAAGATTCAATGGCAATGTCAAACAGATGCCATCCTCAACTTCCTCTTATTTTCAAAGTCAAACACTTCTAAGGGAATACATGAAAGCAACAACATGACTCCAGCAATTGCTTGACTTCTACTTAAAAAGTCGAGATTGATTAAACACAAAAATAAATTTTGAACATGAATTAAGCAACATTGTTAAAAATCTTTAGAACATTAAATATGTGGTATTTTAAAAATTCACAATCATGATAAAATGAACTTTTAAAGATTTGATGCTTCAGCCAAATTTTTCATGTGCATGTATCACTGTTATGCATATAAGTTATTGAAAACATATAAAGTAAATGACTAATTTTTTTAATACATGATTGTTGATTATTTATAAAAACTGAAATGTTAAGAGAAGTATTTTTGTCATATAATAATCATATACATGTATATACATGTACACATAATTATCAAATTATTAAATAAGTAAAAACTGAAAGAAAGAAAGATGTTTTGTTCTCTTCTTTGGGGCAAAATTTTTGTCACACAAGTTCTTAGTACAGTAACTAACTATGGCTGTGGACACTGAAATTTTAACAGACTCAAAAAGCAAGGTTCTCTTTTTCTGTTAAAATTCTCAATACTTTTCTAACATTCTGCCGAGACTTTGTGACTGTTATCAAGGTGAAGTGCATGCTATCTACACTTTCTTAGTAACCTTTAGCCACATTTCACGTTTCCTGTTAGTAAAGTTGGTAATACTAGTTAGTTTGTAAATCTCCCATTTGTAGTTAAATGTCTATATATCCACAAGTTTAATTATGTTCTAAATTTGTAATGACATCATCAAACAATTTTGCTCTCTCTACATAAAAGAAACATTTATTCAGTTTTGAAGCCTTGTGTGTCAATTTTTCAAAAAAAGAACAAACCAGCTGAGGAAATTTTAATTTTAAAGCTTTAAGGATTGACTTTTTGGCAGAAAAAAAGTTTTGTGATACCATAACTTTGATATTTGAGGCTTTATCCCTTAATGATAACCATAAATTTCATTTTATTGTGACTGCCATAACCATTTGTGTAACTGGAAATCAGGATTGTTTTTTTGTTTTTTCAAAGACTTTTTACTGTATACAGTATAAGAGTGTATTATCAGAAAATTCTATAAAGATTTCAAACATATGAATTACAGTATTTTCCAATCCTGATTTTTAACTAACAAAACTATGCATCTGACAAGTTTTGATAGAAGTAAAAGAAAAAGGAAACTTACCGAATGCTTTGGTAAAAATTTCACCAAGTGTACTTTCATATTCATCCATGATGTCTACACATTCTTCATGCTTGGCTTCATTCTTCAGCATTATTGGTAGTTGATACACATGAGATTTCTGACTCATTTGTGTATGGTATGGGTGATAGATGTGAGCTGGAAGCACAGGTTTTAACCAACTGAATGCTTTCAACTCTGATAACATCCTTCCTAAATACATTAAGCAATCAATGTTATATTTCATGTGGCTGTGAAATTTCCAAAGAAAAATAAATAAATAAATGTTTTTTAAGAAATAATATATCCCAAACTGTGATTTTATCGCTCAATAACATCACTTTTTGGAGTTCGGATGCGAGGAATTATATCACGAGGGCGTAGCCCGAGTGATATAATGATGCGCATCCGAACGACAAACAGTGATGTTTCCCAGCGATAAAATCACCGATTTGGATATATTATTTTGATTCTAACACGACATAAACAAATAAATGCTGCCGTACCTGACATTAAGCAAAATTGCGCCTGATTTGTTTCCGTACTTATTGTCAGCGCGTCAGATTTTATAGTGGTTACATCACATGTTTAATGATTATGTTAAACAATTAGTGTAATAAGAATAGTTCTTGAAATTCAACAATATCATGCAAAAACTTAAATCAAAAAGAAAGATCTCCATTTCAGTGTAATGAAAGAAATAATGAATTAAGTAATTTAAGAATGCATTTTAAGATAAATTGTAATAAGAAAGTGCTGACCCAGAAGTATGCAGTAAGTATTCCTAAGAGTCTGCTGAAAATGGCCCCTTGGAAAAAACATTTCTGGCTGTAAACTTGATAACGGATATGGGTCAGCAACTAGGCTGTACTGTCCGGGTTTTGCAATCTGATAGGTATATTGTAATTGATAAGTACATGTAAATTTGTCATAGATATATAAATCTTATTCAAAATTTCTTTGAATTAACAATAGTTAACTATTCAAACTGATGTGCTTAATTGTATAATAGACATGTATATAAATTGATTAACACAATAAATTAGTTTACAATGATCATTTAATATGAAGATTTAAGAAGCAAGTAGAATAATTCAATTTTAGTATTCTTAGATATAAAACATACCCTGCTAAATATAATGTTTGAAACAAATAAATGGAGATCCTTGTTTGATCTATCCATTGATTGGTGTCCAGTGCGAACATATATGTCAAGGTTATCCCCTGTTATCTTTACCAATGGGTTGGTGATAACCTTGCTAGCTATACCAGCATTCATTAATTCGCCAGCTTCATCAAGCAGTCGAAGTTTTGATGATGGAGACATAGTGAGGCTTAAGTGGTTCAATCGCACTAAAGCCTGTATTAGACAACAAAATGATCTTACTAGATTGTTACTGCTATAAATATCCATTAAAACTAGTATACGTCCATATACATTTACATTCCTTTTAGTTTCAGCATTTAAGTAAAATGTTTAACACCAAATATATATGTTAAAATATGTTTGCATCAATTATTTATAAATTATCGAATATGATCAATATTTATCATTATCAATATAAGTAAAAATACAAAATGTAAAAACTGCTTACTGAGTCATCCAAGTGACCTTTTATTGCTACAAAAGTGGTCATCCTGTGCCAAGCAGAAAGCTGGTTATTTCTCGAATTCATCAGAATTGAGTACGCTGCAGCAACAGGTGCAATCTTACTCTCTGCTGGCTCTTTTCCTGCAGTGGTCATCACTGTGAGTAGGTCCAAAACAAATGGAATTCTATTAAAATACAAAATAATGATATTAATTTCTATTCTTTACAGGATCAATGAAGTCACAGCTATGTCTGAAAGTAGAAATAGCGTACATAATGTGGGTATCCACAAAAATTAATATTTCAATTGAATTACTTGACTTTAAAACTTAGTTACAGATATGATTTTTCTAATAGTGACCATCAATTTAAAGTTACTGTACTTGTGGTTAATGAGATTTGAAGTCATACCTAAAACTTTATCCCAGTATTACATTAAAGCCCCACTACTCAAGCTGAAAGTTTATCAAATGTACATTATGGTTTCAATTATGAAAAGTAACATTTTAAAAATTATTCTGAAAATGTTCTTTTCATGACAGTTTTGAAAAGAAGACCTACCTTGTGGATATTTCTAATATAATTTCATCTATCAGATTATCTCCATTATCAACTAAACTCTTCACACTCCTGTATCGTGACAATACACTACATAATGCAGGATTGTTTGAAACAAGAATGGAACATTCTTTATCAATATCATCAATTAATTTAGATTTTACAGCTTTTAATAACACCTGAAATCAAATAATAACAATATAGATATGATAGTGTAGATTATAAAAATATGTATATTGAATGTTTGAGCTCGAACTGCTAAGAAATACAATAATTAATTCAAATTCATGTTTTAGAGGTACATATTTCCAAAGGGGGAAATTAATTAAATTAAAGTACAAATTTAGCAAATGTTCAATATCTTAAAATTAACAAAAAATGTTAATGCTTATGCATATTAGTTACCCTCTATAATGTTTGCCAATAATACATTGTTAGGGTTTATAGGTACAGTTATTAGTATTGCCTCTACGGCTTGTGGTTTTAAATTATCATGTGCATGAAAACTTGAATTTCATACTACATTTACAAATGCCTGAAAATCTGTACCCATGTTATACAGATTTTAAGTATATGAAAAAAGCACTAATTATTTTTGCATTGTTCTTGGATTTTAGCACAGACACTGTCTTGGAAACTCAGTTTTCTCTTCTTAAGTTGAAATCATAGGTACCTGGTATGGGTGGTATTAAAAGAGCGTATATATATTGGAAATCATGAAAGTACATTAAAATGCTCTTTTTGTGTTTTTACAACTTATTTGAAAACTGAAAAATAAATCTGTTAAATACAGGTAAAGAAAACCACCAGATAAATAAAAAAGAATAAAATAAGTTTAAATAGGAATATATTACTGGATTAGAAAATATCTTCTTCACAGTTTCTGAAATAGAGGGCCTGTTTGATGCCTCTCCTTTTAAACATGTTTTCAATATTCCTAGGGTTGACCCAGATTGACCCAACCCTGAAAATTTACTAGAAGTATGTGCATTTTCAGGTTTCAAACTGTATTCATGGTCAACGGTTGAAGTGGACGTAATAGAAAAGGAACTTTGGACTGGCAGGCGAGAAAACTCTGCATTTACTGCTGGTTTATTTGACACATTAGATATAAATAAAGTCCTTCTAGTTTTTTTGAAATTTTTAGAATAATTTCTAATGGTTGTCTGACTCTGAGATTCAGGTGTTGATGGGCTTGATGACATACGTTTAAAACGACTTGTCGGTTCTTCTTTTGTTAATTCAGAAATTTTTTTATTTAAAGATTTTACATAAGTGAATGTTGTATCAATATTATCAAAACAGGACCTGCAAATTCCATAATCCCTGTCAAGGAGAACGGATTCCAATGAGTTGTCAGATGTTTTACAAATTAATGACAATTTTGATAAAATATCAAAGGAATTTTTCCCATCAACACTATAAAACCGTTTACGGTCACAAAGAAAACAATTTTCTGGCACCTTTTTCTTTGGTGTAAACATAATGAATAAATAAATAATTAACCAAAAAAATGTAGTAGACTCAAAAAGTGTTTAAGAAATTTAAAAAAAAGGTGAATCAACACTGAACCAGAGGAGTATCAGATCTACATTAAAATATTTAGCTAAGCATTTGTGCTGCTGTAAAAATTATACAGCAGTGTAAACTAACAGCCAGAAATAATCATATAAATAAATGTAACTAACAGTGATGGAAACATCATGAAATAGAGGAAAAAGTTTGTCAAATAAGAGAGGCTCAAAATTAGTTTAGAATCTACAGGAAATGCCACAGGACAATATTACATATCCTGATTTTTGTTATGGTAACACTCCACAGTAAATTTTCAAGTTTC